GTTACGAATGTGATATTGAGTATTATTAAATTTTCTTGTGCAATTCTATATTCTAACTGCATTATTCTCATATCAAGAAGTGTGTCATTTTTATTTTATTTTGTCGCTGACCTTGGCTAGATTTATTTGCCTCAATTTAAGTTTAGAATAAGTTTCTTTATTTATTATGTACGGGAGAGGCTAGACAGATTTTCCACGCTTTTACAAAAGCAATTAATAATTAATGACTAATTGGTATGTTGTAGGTGACAGTTATTGAAAATCTGTGTGTAGGGATGTTTTTATTTTTTGGAGCTGGTCGGTTGCTGATATTATTCATAATACCCAGAAATATTAAGTAAACATATCGCAAAAAATGCATTGAAATATGAGCCGTAGATTATAAATAAGATTCTCCAAAGTTTGACCACAAATCTGCGAATTCGCAGCCTAAATCCTTCCATATGACCCAGATGATTGAAAAGTGAGTTTCATTTTATTTAGGCCGCCCTAATTGTACAGAATTTATTTTATAATATTACACCGTACAAATGTTACTTTCATCGCTTGGGCGCCAGAGCAGATAAACAGAGACAAGGGCGTCTAAACCCCAAAAAATGCACACAACAATTTGAGAGCCGTTCAAGCAGCCAATTCATATTGACAAGTTTCTAATGGACATTGGGGGCATGAGAGGCATTTTTTTTAGAAAGTTTAAGTGCGCTGAGGCACACCGAAATGGTCAGTCATGTGGCTTCAAATTACACATGCCCCAAAGGACCAATACAATTTGTCAGTGTGAGCCAAACGAAAAATCTTGTTATTGCTCTTTTGTTTTATTTCCGTTTTAAGCCCCTCCCTCCCCTAGTACCCACCATTTGTCAACACAAATCTGTGCAGAACTTTGGCCAAACAACGACCAATTTGATTCAATTTGGGTGACAGCTAACTCTTAACATAAAACTAGTTTTGGCCACGCGAAACCATTAAATACTCAGCTTCGAGTAAGTCACGTGCCAAACTCGTATTCTACTCGAGTAGTTGAGTAGTCGAGCTGATGGGCTTTGGGTCGTGTCGAGACATATATAAAGACATGCAATAATAATAACTGCCATATCCACCAGCAAAGTCATACATATGCACACATATGCGAGGGGATGGGCTGTGTAGTCTGGTGTTTGTGTGTGTTTTCGCCATCAAACTCATTTATAAAAACGAAAACAAACAAAAACGATTATTGACAGCTTAGTTAGAGGCCCACACAGAGGGGTGCACAGTGGTTCGACATTCAATTAACAAGCGACAATATTAAAACAAAATTGCTGACAAAATTTTAATCATCCAAAGTGAAAATTTCATTAAATATAAAAAGTCAAAACTATAGCCTAGAAAGAATAGGTATGAAAAAAAGATATACATATATATAAGTCATTTGATAAGAAGCGAAACAATAAAAACGATAATGGAAATTGGATATGATTGAATCAACTATGTTGTTTTTCTGATCTTCAAAGACACAGCTTAGTCAAACATACTTTCAAAACCACATTTTTTCAAGAAGTCTTTGCAATGTTTCATTTTTCTTGTTATTGCATTTTATAAATTTTTTTATGAACAAACTATAAAAACCCAACTAAATTGAGCGGAAAATACATGCAAATATATTTGAATGGTGGATAGTGTCCATACTAGTATCCAAATTAGACCACTGCAGACATCATTTACATTTTTATAGTTTTGTTAGAGTATAACAACATTTAACAAATATTTGAAAATATTCCGGTTTCATCTTTCATTAAAATAAAAAAATTCACGATTTCTAGCAATCTACATATTTAAAACATAAAAATTGCACAGAAAAACTTGACAAATACGTATGGTTCTAGTGTTACAATACCACATCTAAGTGTTGCGAAAACTGTCGGTTAAGCTACAATTCGACTATAATTTAATTGCTTTCTCTATTTGTGTAAGACACTGTGCCTACGCATGACCAAATTGTCAGTCGCGCATCGTGCAGACAGGTGGCGTAGGTGGCAGCACTAAGTTTAGTTGCGGGCACTGCCATCGATTATTTTTGATAAGCAACGCTGACATGCTGCACTAGATGGAGGACTGTGGCTCTGGTGCTGCGCTTTGCAAATGCGAAATCATAATGAATGGTCTCCACTAATGCGCGGTACGACAAAACACTTTTAATGGCCGCTGCCAGGCGGGTGCCTATCTGTTAATCAGCAATGTCAACAAACCTACTATACGCCAAACCCCATTGTGTGGTTTTGGGTTATCGATTAATTAACGTAACGTGACGCGTGTTACGCTTCGGCTTATCAGTAAGATGCACACACACACACACACACGAGCGCACCCACACATATCTATTAAGGGATAAGAAACAGGTGGCTTATGGTGTTTGCGGCGGCATACGTTGACATTCCCACGTGAATGCTCTCAGCATTATTAAAATGCTATTTATAAACTGAACTAAACGCTGTTTGCATTCCAACATTACTCGCCTGCCCCGCACATATCTCATTTGCTTATCAGCCATAGAGCAATTGTCAAGGATACTTCCATTATTATGAAAAGTATTAGGAAATGGTAGCATTAAATATTAAACTGGGCTAAATACGGTGGGCGTCAATTCCATTGTTACCGAGTCTTTGTTTAGACGAAGGCATACAATTGTTAGACATTCTATCCACAAACAAAGTTAATTTCATTTTCTGTGCACATTTGGAGCAGATTAGACACCCATCCACACTGAAATTAAGCGAGAAAGCTCCTAATGTCTTTCAAGGCAATTAGCCATTCTTTCAATTACTGAAAACCGCATCAGAATTAACACTAGTTTGAAATTTTTGCATTTTGTTGTTGTTTTGCTTACCTTTTTTTGGCAGCTCATTAGCTTTAATTTCATTAGTTATGCATTTATTCCTCATAAGTAATTAGCATATTGCGCCTAATCTCTACAAAGAATGTTCTATTTTTAATAATTCATGATATATTGATTTATTTCTTTGAGTGTGATGAGCAAACAATTAATATGTTGGAGTGGGCATTTATTAATTAAATACATACTAACACGCAGATTGCGTTTCACCAAAAGTTTTAATGTGAAAGCACATTGCTAAATCAAAGTTTGTGCTCTGTTGACGTGCCACTGAAATGAACGTGAAACTAGGGCAGGCAGGCATTTTATTGATGTACGTTTAATTTGCCAAGTATTAGTATTTAATTTGCCTTAAGAGGAAACGAAGATAAACATACGTTTTGGCGCAGGCTATTCAAGTTTAGGATTCGCGAAGGATATAAAACTCATGGCCTTCTGGTCATAAATAAAGACGATCTACTCGTACATTCATGGCCGCCATAAATTATTCTTATACCCTGTACGCCGAATGTGGTTAAAAGAGTATATTAGGCATCTGCAAATGTATGTCATAGACTGAAAAAGAGGCATCTCCGATCCCAAAATTTACAGACATTCTTAATCAGTCTTTAGAAATGATTTCAAAATGTATATTTTCGTAAAATTTGTTTTTTTTTCGTGAAGCACCTTCACCTTTGTTTCAAACTGCATCCGAAGTACAGAGTATTTTACCGTCAGATTTGAGCAACTGTTACATTCCCCCTTGATTTATTTAAGAAGCGTACTAAAGCCTTTTATTTTCGTCGGCCAGCAGGGCAATATTATGGTTAGATGCGCCAAAGTTGTTATTAAAATCAACAGAACAAAAATACAATTTCAAAATAGAAATAGGAGCTTTAAAACTTTAATGTGAATTAAAATTTTTGGGGAATTCTTATATAAGAATCTAACAACAAAAATCTAAAACCAAACGTGAAAAGAACATTTGTTTCACAACTTATAATTCTGTACTAAATTCTTGTTTTCTTCTGCAGACCAATTCTAACTTTCAGACCCTACTTGTAACATAACAAATTTATATGCAAATTATGTGGAAATCTAACCTACAGAGCTTACATAGAGCATTAATAAATAGATTTGGATTTGAAAAAAAAAATTATTTATGTATCTTTTTCTAAGCTTTACAGTCGTTGGGCGAACATTTTTCCCGTGTTGTTCGTTCGTGACAATACATTTTTAGCTGATATTAGAGCATCGACCTAATGTCTTATCTCTTGCGTGTGCTTACCTAAGTTTCCATTGGGAGTTATCAGGCCTAGCTGGGTATTTGAAATTGTTATAAATAAATATAAATAATTCATGATATTTTGTATAAGAGAGAAAGTCAATTCTAAAGCACTTCTCTGTTGCTGCTATTACAGGTATTAATATCCTTCCTATTTACAAGTTTCGTTCATAATTATATCTAACTGTATCAAATGGTTTATGAAATACTTATATACAACTTACGTATTAAATTACAATTTGCATATTTCCTATTGCATTAAAGCAAATATTTCCTAAACACCATTCATCATCGAATACAAATATTGCCACGTACTCGCACTCGATTTGCGCAATGACTTCGTCACTATGGAAATCAATTGAGTTCTATTAAAAACAATTATCAATAACGCCATTGGGTTCACAAGCACTAACCAAACACAAGACTTTGTTGTGCAGTGTTGCCATGTTCCAATGTCGCCTGCTTCTGTGCCTTTCAATATTATCATGATGATAAATCTAATGTATGCGAGACGACAGTTCAAAACTTCGAAATACTCGTACATTTAGCGACGTCATCCGTAAAATTACACAAACAACAATAGGCAGTCGTACTACGATGCTGAAAGTTGTTGTTACCGCTGTCATTGTTATTGCTATTGTTGTTGTTGTTATTGTTGTTATTGTGGACATTGGCGTCAAGTCACATGACTGACTTTTTATAGATTTTTAATTGAAAAGTATTTGTTCTGTTGTCTGATAGCGAATAACGTGACCACATCCATGCAAAGCATACATAATAGAGACGCAAAGCAATTGAGCGAACCTTAAACAAACTCGTATTCGATACAATTAACCATTTCATATTTTCTTTATTTATTTACAGTCTGGAAATGAGGACCCCGATGAAGTGCTGTTGGACTCGGAAATGGAAAAGGTCTTTGCCGGCACAAATAAGCGACAAGACAAATTCGATGTGAAAACTTTTCAGGATAACACCCAAGAGCCGATTGGCTCTCGCAAAAAGAATAGCAGTCAGTAGAACAGCATTATTTACTTATCGATCATACCCTTAAGTTTGTTAACTTCACTTACAGTTCGCACAAATGACCTCAACATAGAGGAAGACTCGGAATACGAAAGCCAAACCGAACCACTGAATAATGCACAAAACTATGATGATATACCCGAAGATTTTCCATTAGTTTCGGAACGCGCTGGTCACGGCGATCATTCCGATAACTCAGCCGATGAGAAACATGTCCAATTCGGTGATGCCAAAAAGAAAGTTGTTGTCACACCTCCCAGCCTGAGCTATGATGAACAGCCCACAGATCAATCGCACGAACGTAAACGAAGAAAAAGGTGAGCACACTACTAAATTTTAGTATACTCGCAGCGGATAGGTAGATTAAATATAAATAAATTATGATATCATAAACTGAATGAGACTTCAAAGACTATATACTCCAAAAAAAAGCACCCAAACTATGCTACTTAGACACCAACTATCGATTTTCTATAGTCCTTCAATTAAATGTTGAAATATTGAACATTTTCAAAGTAATATTTTCGCTGCAAAATTCGTAGCTTTTATAAATTCTCCGGTTTCCGTTTTTTTGAAAAGTTATTTATTGAGCATTAAATTGTTATTTCTTGCAATTGGCTCTTGCTAATTTTATATTGATGCGTACATAATTAATATTTAATTTGTCAGTTTAGATGGCGAGTTCGCCATTTCCGCCTACCCAACCGTTCGACCGTCCGTCTGTCTGTATGAACCGCATGATTTCTGAAACTATAATACATAGAGCGACCAAACTTTCCAGGAACACGCATCTCGTCTGTGTATAACAAACCATATGTATGTTAAATTATTCTAGTATTTGGCTAAATGTTGGATTTATTTTATTTCTTAATAAATCATGAATTTTGTCAAAAGAGCCATTCTATATGACATAGCTGCAATTATCGGTGCGAAAAGTTAATTTTTTAAACTTAATTTTGACCGCCCATTTGTAAAACATTTTTACATTTCTACTTACAGTCGCCATCAGTATTATAGACAACGTAAATTCTCACATCAAGACAGCGTGGAACCGAAAAAAGTACTCGAAGAGAATGGTGATGCCGGCGCACGAAGAATTTCTGTGCAGCCCGAGGACGCGTCATTGGAGGTGAGACAAATACAATCTCTACCTTATGAGTACTACACTAGTTACAATTTATATCGTCACTCACACCCACACACACACCAACCTATAGAACAGCTAACTGAGATAGCTTTAAACCTGTTGTAATTATTACTATTGCTTTTCTTGCTGCCCCGCACCACGCACGGAAAAATATTTGTATAAAAATAATAATAATAATTAAACCTTCCTGCCAAATTGTAGACAAATGGCCAAACGCCGGCTACACAGGTTGCCCTTTTAGAAAGCATCTTTCATTCGTGTACAGTACTAATATTATGTTCGTCTTATTTTATACAGGAAGCCGATCTCAATGAGCTGAGATCGCATCGTTCGGATGATCCGCGCGCCATGCGTCGTCACAAAATTCATCACTCATCCATCAAGTTGCGAGAATTGCCCCAAATTACAATTTCATCGTTGCAATCCAAGAAGCCGGAAATCGATCGCAGTCCACATGAGGTGAGTTATCCACAAAATAAATCAGATCCGTCTTTATCATTTTTATAATGTTATTGAAATTTGTAGATTTTTGTGCAACTCGATGAACTCATTGGCGTGGGCGAGGAGCGCGAATGGAAGGAAACTGCCCGTTGGATCAAATATGAGGAAGATGTGGAGGAGGGATCCGATCGTTGGGGTAAACCGCATGTTGCCTCTCTCTCATTCCATTCGCTGCTCAATTTGCGTCGCTGCCTGGAAACGGGCGTTGTCCTGTTGGATCTAAATGAAAAGGATTTGCCAGCGGTGGCCTATCGTGTGGTGGAGCAGGTTAGTTGACTCTTAATCTTAGATTTGGAAATTTTGTTTAAATATCAAAACCAAAGTGCAATTTTCTGTAAGAACTATGTCAGTAATGCCCTTTTAGTTTCTATTTCACTTATTAATTCAGCAAGTTTATAGTTTTATAAACTTTATCGATTCTTTAGTTTTTCATTAAAAGCTTTTATTACTTTTTTTTAGCTTTCGTTAGAAATTCACGAACGCAATATTTTTATTATGCATTCATGCTTTAAAGAATTTTGCTACTCAATGGGGCTGGAAAATTTGGTGATGCAAAAGATCTTCAATGTTAGTCCGACATTCCAACGCATGGTTCTCAAAATAAAAATAATAAAACCGATTTAAAAAATCAATTAACGTCCATTAAAAGTTTGGAACACACCCAACAAGTTCAAGCAAGGTGTAGTTACATAACCGTTAAGAAGATGTCTGTTATATGTACTCTTTCATGCTTAAGCAATTTTTTCCACAATTTTTAATTTAATAATTTGTAAAGTTGAAAACCTACTTGTTACACAAAATTGTTTCAATTCTGTTAAAAAGTGTAATCGCAGGCTAAGTTCAATAGAATAATTAAAAGATCTTGTCAATCCAACTAGCTTATAATTAGTTACCATAAATTGTTTACTTAAATATTTCGATCGAATTCCACTAAACATCTCAAATATCATATTATTGCAGATGGTGATCGAAGATCTGATCAACATAGATGCCAAGCCATCGGTTATGCGTTCTCTGTTGCTGCGACATCGTCATGTCAACGAGCATCAGAGCGTATTGCCCTTCACAAAGCGCAAATACAACAGCTATACGAGTCTGCAGGTAAGCAAGAGCTCCTTATTTGTAAACAAGACCTGTCTATATCATATCATGATGTCTTGATGCCAATATTATTTGTCCATTGTCCATTTGCATACTTTGTTTGTCATTCATACTGTGCTTGTCTGCTCCCCAAATTGGCTATAAATATACTACTTATATTATATATTTAACTGTTTTGATCAAAATTTGTTAATCGCAAGCATATAAACATTTTCTGCTCTCTATTTTGCATCAACGCGCCCATAACTATGCTACATTTCATGATCATCAACAGCAACTTATACCCAAATCGGTAATAATACTAAAATGCAAATTGTAAATAGGCTTTAGTAAAACAACAAGAAAAACAGCAATAACTGCAAGAACAAATTGAATTTATATTGCAATGAGCTTTCGTAAAAATTGTTTATATAATATGTAATCAAAACTGTGCGTTCTTTATGTGTTCTTTGCTCTACTCTTCTTCTTTTGTATCATTTGTTGTGCAACAAATTTTTGCTTTGAACACACAAACAAACACACTTTTAACTTTATTCAATCAACAATTACAACATATGAACAACAAACACAAACGGCATACACTTTAGTTACTTTGGATGGGCGCCGATGTGCCGCAACCAAATCTACAATATGTCAACAATATGCAGCAGCAACAACAACAGCTACTCCTTCTACAACAACACCAGCAGCAACAACAACCACAAGCCAAGCCACGTCGAAGCATTTGCGTAACTTCGAGCGCACCGCCGATGGCAGCAACGGCCCTGAATGTGGCCGCCACGGCCCCCTCGGCCCTGGAGCAGAGACGGCACTCTATGATGCCACATTCGTACTTCAGTGTATGAAGAATAATGCTATTCACTATTTTCAAGTCTTTGTTAACTATTGTGATCAATCCCGTTGCGCCATAAGTTTAGAATTCGAATTGTTTCTTTTCTTTTCTTTATATATAGACCACCATACACCTTCATAAAATAGACCATGTCCATCCACGTTTTGTAGCCTCCCGAACTTCCCCTTAGCAACCACTTTTAATGCTCTTCACATGATTGGCAAGTTCTCAACTGTGTTTTTGTCTGTTTAATATGTTCTTGTTAAGACTGCTGCCTTAGGCCTCACACACCAATTAGAGCACACCTTTGACCTTTCAAAGACATTGTACATACATAAATGAATGTACTATATGCGTGTATAGGTCAAGTCTAAAACTGCACGCCTGTATTATATGATTCAAGCTCATTTTGCATGTATTGCCTGTGTTCCCTTTCTATTTCTAATTACACCATTAGCTTTGCTCAAACATTTTTCCGGCCATTCACAGAGTCTTTCCGGCGTAAATCCCAATGACAAGCAAATTCGCATCATGCCTGCCAACGAAATCGGTGGCAGCAAGCGCAGCAATGAGCTTAAAATCGACATGAAGGAAGACCAGTACTCATCCTCGCAGGAAGATCTGAAGAAGCTGCAAAATGATACCATACTCAAGCGCATTCCCCCAGGTGCTGAGGCCACCACAGTACTGGTAAGTCAACATAAAAATAAATTGTGAAAAAAACATGTTTGAGTGGGGATACCAATTTATATCCTAATACGTATTTAATTAAATACGCGCAGTATGTTTGTTATGAAAGTGAGAAGAAAGCACGACAAGTCAAATCCAATTAGCCTAATTTAAGCACTACTTGTGAACTCATTGAAAATAAAATTCCCCCACCGTCGTGTCGGATTCGTTATTAGATATTTTTGTCATTTTTATAGGCTTTTTTATTTCTTTAGTTTTACTTATTTTAAGTTCTCTATTGTATTGTACATCGACTGCACTGTTTGTCGATGGAAATAAATAAATAAATAAATTTGAGCAGACAATATGATAATATAAACCCTGTATTAAAACCAGATACTTTTTTGAGAATATTATAAACGAAGATTTGGGTAATTCGAACCAAACATGTCTTAATACTGGTAATTGGGGTGCATTCGTAATTGGATTATAATATTCATTAGTAGTAGTAGTAGTAGTAGTAGTAGTAGTAGTAGTAGTAGTAGTAGTAGTAGTAAAGCGAAAATATAAATTAAAACTGACAAATGTTACAAAATTATTCAATGATTTAGAGAAAAAATAGTGATAAAAATAATTAATTACCGTTTTCATCGCGCATTGCGTTTGAAATGCAAGTTATTTAATTAAATAGACTAATTGGAGTTTATACATAGTTTATAAGTACGTATGAAGTATGTATATTCATACATTTTTTGTGCTGTACAGCATCATTAACGCGCGTTCCTCTTTCCACACTCTTCAACATTATTGCATTCCCGACGAAAAGGCGCGCACTGCGCACTCTATTTGCTAACAATTTAACACATAAACGCGTGATTCAGCAAACAACCAACTAATGCACTATATGAGATGAATGCCGTGCATGGTTTTGTTGCTATTTTTAGTGCGGTGCACCGTAATTTAATAACAAATCTGTATGCGCGCAACCGCCAGCTGCGTTAAACAGTTTAGCACAAACAAATCGTAATGTAATCGCGAAGCGTGTTTTGCATTTTAATGAAAACTATTAAAATGGTGTTTGTTTGTTTGTACAGGTCTTGGTCAGGCAATTATATTAAATACAATGCACTATAATTTAATTTAATATGTAAATATTCACACGCGAGCAAGAAGGATCGCAAAAAGGAAAATACTGTTCGCAGTGTTGGAAAGGTCGCGAATACGTTGAAACAGCTGGCAGCCGGGCGCTGTAAATGGCCGAAGTGGCGCTTTCTTTGAATTGTGTCTTTTTAAACTACTTTCAATGAACTGCTTTGAAATAGTTTATATTTTTGTTGCAAATTAGGCGTATATAGCATGTTTACAATAAGTACTTTAAAAATCCCAATGCAAGAAACCGAGAACTGCAGTTTTGGACATTAGTTGATCTTTATTCTCAATAAATGGAATTGCACCAATTTAGCAAGTTTTCTGGGTATCTAAAATATCGAGGCAAATAATAACCACCAATTTACATTTTCCTCCCTACAGGTTGGTGCCGTTGAGTTCCTCGACCAGCCCACCATTGCCTTTGTGCGTCTTTCGGAGGGAGTCCTCATGCCTAGCATTACGGAGGTGCCTGTTCCTGTGCGTTTTATGTTTGTGCTGTTGGGACCACGCAACTTTGATCTAGACTATCATGAGGTGGGCCGGTCCATTTCCACGCTGATGGCCAACGAGCATTTCCATGGTATAGCGTATAAGGCAGATGATCGCAAAGACTTGCTGTCGGCCATTAATGAGTTCCTGGATGACTCAATTGTGCTGCCACCTGGTAATTGGGATCGTCACGATCTGCTGCCCTTCGACGAGCTGAAGGCCAAAAAGGACTGGATTCGCACGCGCAAAATCAAGGCGTTGCAGGTGAAACGCGATAGCGAAATGGTCAAGATTGGCAAGGACGAGGAGAAGGCACTGCTGGAGAAGACACCGCTAAAAGCTCTAGCTGGTGCTCCGGGTGGTGGAGACGGCGATGATGATGATGACGATGGCAAGAAGAAGAAGCCCAGTCCACTGGAAAAAACCCATCGTCTATGGGGTGGTCTGCGTAACGATCTTAAGCGACGCATGCCAATGTACAAGAGCGATATACTCGATGGTCTCAACACGGAGACACTGGCAGCTACCATTTTCATGTATTTTGCTTGCCTCTCGACGGCCATCACCTTTGGCGGTCTGGCCTCCGCCAAGACAGATAGTCTAATTGGCATTTCGGAAACGTTGATCTCTACCTCGCTGGTTGGTCTCGTTTTTCATTGTTTATCCTGTCAGCCTCTAGTCATTATTGGCACCACTGGCCCGCTGCTACTCTTCGATGAGGCGCTCAAGATTTTCTGCACGGAAAATAACTTTGATTTTCTGGCACTACGCGCATTCGTTGGCATTTGGTTGATCATCATTGCACTTTGCGTGTCAGCTTTTGAGGGCAGCGTATACGTGCGTTTGCTAACACGCTTCACCCAGGAGATATTCTCAGCGCTCATTACACTCATCTACATTGTGGAGACTATGATGAAACTGGTCTCTATCTATAAGCTGAATCCTCTGCTGCCTGACTACAATTTGCCGCCGCCAACACTTGTTGATGATCTGAGCAATGGCACACATTTCAACATGACTGCCGATGTGATCAATGCAACGACTGCTGCGCCTTCTACAACCTCCAAGATGCCCATCAATCAACCCAATACTGCACTCTTCTGCACCATTCTCACCCTGGCCACCTTTGTGGTCGCCTACTATCTGAAGCTCTTCCGCAATTCACATTTCTTAGGCCGCAATGCTCGTCGCGCTTTGGGCGACTTTGGTGTCCCCATTTCCATTGCCATATTCGTGATGGTTGATTATTTTGTTCCCGCTGTGTATACGGAGAAGCTCAGTGTACCCGAGGGCCTATCGCCTAGCGATCCTGTGCGTCGTGGCTGGTTCATTGGCTTCGATGTTAGCGCCACTTGGGTGCCCTTTGTCTGTGTTGTGCCTGCCCTGCTCGTCTACATTCTCATCTTTATGGAGTCTCAGATTTCGGAGCTGATTGTGGACAAGCCAGAGCGTGGCTTAAAGAAGGGCTCCGGCCTGCATTGGGACATCGTCCTGCTTTGTTTACTAAACATGTTCTGTGGCTTCTTTGGCATGCCCTGGCATTGTGCGGCCACCGTTCGCTCCGTAACTCACGTTTCCTCGGTGACAGTTATGTCTCGGTATGTTGCAACGCATTTCTTTGACCTATTTATGTTGGGCCAAGACGTAACTTTTGCCTTTCCATTTTTTATAGGACACATGCGCCCGGCGAGTCCGCACGCATCATCGATGTAAAGGAACAGCGCTTGTCTGGCTTCTTTGTTTGCGTCATGATTGGGCTGTCGGTGCTGATGGCGCCGCTATTGCGTCTCATACCCATGGCTGTGCTCTTTGGCGTATTTTTGTACATGGGTATAGCCTCAATGAGCGGCGTGCAGCTGTTCGAGCGGTAAGCATTACTGATCCCAATTCTAGACCCTTGAACAAAAAATAAAAAGTAGCAATTTTTATTAAAATGTTTGTAGTACAAGATACATGACGCGTTTATGTTCGACTGTCTGAACATCGATATTTTTTGAGCCATCACAGTTAAGGACACCAATTTTTGGACATTAACTTGTCTTTCTTATATTCAGAACAAGTTTATTGCAAATCATATATAGCGTCATTACTTTATGTATGTAGCAGCCATAGAGACAATCGGTGCAATCAAACTTCTTGATAACCGAAACCAAATATACACCACTATTGTCTGCATTTTAATTAAAATCAGTGCAATCTAAAATCGTATTGTAGTAAAGGGACTGCTGGACATGTTCGAAAGACTATTCGAAAGACTTATTTAATTTTAGATATTTAATTAGGTATTTATAGTTGGTAGAAACAAAGTTTCTAATCATCTCAACTTATTTCCAACCCACAGAATAAGACTTTATTTCATGCCGGTCAAGCATTATCCACCGACCAACTATGTGAAACGTGTGCGGCCTTGGAAGATGCATCTCTTCACCACCATACAGGTGCTTTGTCTTGTAGTTCTGTGGACTGTAAAATCCTCAAAATTTTCGCTTGCCTTCCCCTTCTTCCTAATCATGATGGTGCCCATACGCCAACGCTTGGACTCCCTTTATAAACCCGAAGAGCTGCAAGCGGTAAGATACAAGTTACAATGTTGTCCACCACCAAATTATTAATTTAAAAAAAAATTTACAGCTGGATGGCAGTGAGCCCAAGAACGATGAGGACGAACCTGATTTCTATGAGCAAGCAACCATACCTGCTTAGTGCAAGGATTGGGGCAAAAAAAGTATTAAAGCTAAGCCACCCTCGTATTAAAGGCCAACATAAGAAACAAAGAGCAAAGTTTGTTGCAATATTTTTGTTTTTGTATTTGTATTTGGAGAGCGTGTTAACGAACTACCTTCATTAGTATTTAGAACGAAACAAAGAAGAAAACTGTAGCTTAAAGTACAATATCTATAATGGAAGGGGATGGCCCTTATGTTGTGATTGTTAAGGTTGGGCAGAAAACATATTTTTGAACACCATACACAAATGCAGATGAAGGAAAAATAGGAAATGTGAAGAGGACGCACTTAAAAGGCTAAAAGTTAAAACTATTTTCATGAGTACTAAAGAACAAACCAACAAAAAAGCTTAAAAGCATAACGATGTACCTAAAAACGAGTTACAAAAAAATGGCAACGCAAAGTAACAAAAACAAATCAAAAACTGAAAGTAACCACTTTTTTCTAAAAAAAAAGAGAGCGCGCAAATCTGCTCTGCGTGTGCCATGACATCAAAATTATTGACAACAAGCAACAAAAATGTATGCAACAAAATATAAATGAAGTATACATATACATATATGCGGTACAAGTAATGTTTATAATAAACGCAACTTATGTACTTTAACTAAAGACCTATAACATAAAAGACTCTACTTCGAGTTTAAGGGTTTAGCCGCCGAGCACTTAGGACTTTCATTTTTGCCTTACGACAACATGTTTGCATAGAAGGTGAAAAATCAATGTAATTTGTTGTAAATTTGCATCACACACACACACACATACGCATATATATTAATATAAACATAAAGTATTTATTTAATTATTTGTTTTGTGTTGCTTGTTTTGCGCTCGTTTTCTATATTAGCAATAATAAACATTAGTTTAGTCTCATTTATAGAGCAATGTGCGACATTAGAGAAGAGGAAAAGTATTTAGCTTCAAAACTTGCGTAGTGATCATTAGTGTAAAACACACACATACCACCACACACACACACACACACACATACAAATATATAAACAAATAACTTTGTCGCGTACTTCGCTTCGCACAGACACTTTAAAAGTGAAAAATACTGCTCCGCTGTAAGTTTTGCCTTTCTATATACATACAAAGGAATAATATGATTATGTAAAACAATATCGTAGATACCTACTACTATTTATAGATTTGTTTCAATAATAACATACATGCATATAATATGTAATATTTGTTAAACTTAAATGCAAGAGAAGCAGAGAACCTTACCTATTTTTATGTAACATGTACTTATACTTGTATGTACTTACTCTTAAGTAGTTGTTGTCTAGTATGTTTTATTCAAATTCAATAAAAATTATTAAAAATTTCAACTTTAAAAGTGCTTAACTGGGGAACACAAATTAAAAACTGGAAAAGGTTTAAATGGAAGGATCAGAAACAGGTAAGTCGCTGTGTATTTAAATACATATTCAATAACATTATTTCTGTGAGTTTGTTTAAAATGTTATTACTCCAAAATTTGAATGATTTTACAAAATTTCAATAATTACATAGCATTTGATATTATTTTTCTTTAAATCCAGTTTTCAACCCATGAGCCCAATGTACTTCTCTCCGACTGATTCATTGTTCTGGAAAAGTCTAGTTTATATATCTGTTTTTGAAAAGTGTCCCTATTATTTCTTCTTATTCATATCATTTTAAGCTGCGGGTCTCAGTCTGTAGAAGCAAAAGAGATATATATTCTGCAAATCGCATCGCTGTTTTGCTTCAGATTATGGTTTCTGGAACTGCCAAAGATTCCTGTTGATGTCCTTTTGTGCATACTCTACCAATTAGCCAATGTGTCCTGGAAGCTGCTAATAATTGGTCATTTGCTAATTTATACACCTTTTTCCCTGGTCTCTTTTTAACCAGCTTTTTCAAAACAGGACACAATTAACGAATATAAATACTGATTACAAATAGTTATGGCCTATTCTACGTTTGATAAATTCTATGCTGACGTATTAAATAAATAAATAGGCTATCTTGTTTCACAATTTTGCATACTCATATTTCATGAATATTTCAACATTACCACGAAAACACTGAAAAAAACATCAAAAATAATCACCATGTTTTTTTAAATAAATGATTCGCCAAGTGATTCGCCCCGCAAGCAAAAAAAAGAAACGGAAAAGTTTTGGGAAAGTCAAACAGAATTTATTACAACAGCTTATAGATTTTTCTGTGTAGTCTCATTTACATAAATACATTGTGAGTTCGCTTTTTATATATTTTGACTTCATTTCGTTCTTTTCAATTGCATAAACAAAAAGTAACAGCAGGACCCATCAGTTTAAAAATAATACTATTTCTTTTGGAGCGGAAATGTTGATGTCTGTTGCACAATTTTTTGTGGGCCTCAGCTGGCGAAGGATACATTGTGTAAGGAGGTAATAGTCGTTGTATAAGAAACAGTGGAGCTATCTATTGTAAATTTGCAAGTTCGGCAGAATAATAGAAACTTCGGCCATATGTTTCATCTTTGACAACTGAGCTCCTTAGCTCCTTAGCATATCAGTGAGCATAAAAGTAGTGGCTGTGTTTTCTTTTACTTACTTCCTGGTTGGATTTAAGGGCTAGCAAATGTCCAGTTGAAAAGTTTCACTCAAATCAATGAGCTTGAGTCGTCCTCTTGCTCTCTCAAAGCTCTTGCTAAAAAGCTGTCCCAAAAAACTCAAAAAGGACTATGCCAACATCTGATGGCCAAAGCAGGCAGGATGATAATACGAAATCAACATGCCCAACAACATGTTGTGACAGTTGTAGACGAGACGCCAGACCGTACAAAACTGGCCACGGACCGGTTGAAGAATATCCTGCGCGATACGTAAAAGTCGTAAAAAGCGTAGAAAGTGTTGCGCGCGCGTTTTTATCTCGCGTGACAAGGACGAGCCAGCCAGACGGCATGTCGGCAGCTCAAGAATTCTGACATTAACGTGACAACAATTTTTGATGTGTGGTTATAACTTAATAAGCATAATAATAATAATAATAATCATAAGAATCATAATAATCATGATGATATTGTGGGCAGCTCCAGCCAATTCATTTGTTTTAATAAATGCAAATTTAAAGTGCTTGGCACAAACACACACTCATACACACACACACACACACACACACAGCTCAGCTGGTTGGCTTATATGTTGGCCTCTTGGTAGTGTTTATGCAAAAGAAAATTGCAATAACAGCGTCAGGGCCTGAGGCTCCGCCGCAACACGCGAACCCAACGCATATTACACATACGCCCGGTTGCACACAAATTATGTAATATTAAGCGCCATATTGGCGACAACTTTGACAATGGCGCATTCTTTTCTACCCGCCCACCCCTGCCTTAGCCCCAGTGCCTGACATAGTGATGCAATGTGATGTGAAGAGATTCTATTTATAATTTATATATATATATCTATGTATATTATATTTTTTCTCGCTTTTTCTGAGCTGCTTACATTACAAGTGGATTGTGGGTTGGTCGCTAGTTTGGGCTAAAGTGTTGAATTAGCAGAATACATTCTGCTCAGGATTGCAACGCCTGTCGAATATCCGATTCGGCGGCCACTAAAGGCGCACGCACTTCAATGCCACGTATCGGCGCACGATCCAAGTGATGAATGACTTTGTACACTTCGCTGCGATTCAAGTCAATCTTACGCTCCGGTTTCTGGTACTTCATGAAGTTCACCCTGTATATATGTATATAAAAAAGTACGTTTAGTATATACATATACTATATATGTGTATCGCCCACAATATTTGCTCTTCAAGAGTGCTTTACTTAGCAAGAGTGTTTTCGGGGGGTCTTAACGCATGCAATGAACCAAAAATCGACTGCTGACAAACTTACTTTTGCGTTGGCAGGCTGAGACTTTGCAGCTCCCTGAAGCAATATATAAATATATATATAGTATATACATTAAGGATGGCATGTGGCATGTAGTTGGCATGTGTTTAAGTACAGAAAGCAACAAAAAGTTTGTTGTTCATGTTAGCCTCATTAGAAACTCGAAACGCGAACGCAATTGCAATTCATTTGATTTTGATTGTGATTCTGAGTCTGAGTCTGAAGCCGATTTGTGGATACTTACCTGAAGCGTTTGCGTGATATGTGCTCGCCACTGAATAAACGATTCCAAAATTCAATCTACAAAAGAGATGAAGAATGCAACAGAGACAAGAAAATTGTAGGCAACATGCAGCAGGCAAGCAAATCAACTTAACTCACAGGACACGCACAGCACACACACAGACGCACAAACACATTCTGACAGACATTGCATTGCGTAGGATAATGAAATTGCATATGCGCGCTATTATGGCTTATAGGTCGGTTGCGCTCTCTATGTATATGTACCTTGAATCATAGCCAAGCAATGGACTTTCGTAGGGACAGCTGCTAATACGAAAATTTATGATGCGACGTGAATGACGAGAATGCCAGTTCCATGTAAAATGAGAAAATGAGACATGGACCAAATGAATGTGAGCATGTGACAGCGTGGCAGGACAACATTGCAAACAGTTCAAAAAATAGAAACGAGTTTAACATTAAAGTCGCGCTAGCCCGACTATTGCATTCCCTGCACCCGACCCCCTTTCCTTTTATTTTAATTAATAAATTAATTTCTCAGAGCTACAAGAATATAGTAATAGTGCTCTGCCTATTGGGAACAGTTAGTTAGCTGACGATATTTTCGTTCTAAGAGTGATTATTGCATGGATGCTTTCCATGGCAGCTGCAAGATAATCCAATTTTAAAATATTAAAATGAGAATAAAAATATTAAATTTGATTAAAATATCGTGATATGTATGATATAGCGCACCTCAGAATATTGTGAGACACTATACACAACTTGAAAATACTAGACTTGCGTAAGACATCTTTATAAACAAGAAAGTTGCTTGTTTTTAGGGGAGCTATACGATTTCGGTGCAACTTCAGAGTATCGCAGGATATTTTTGAATATTTATTCGCTTATGATATCATAATAAACAAAACATGTTTTTCATGTAGAGATATCCAATACAAAATAATGATGCCATTTATGGCTTGTGGAAAACTTGACCTGCATATGGTTGAGACCGGTTTAAAAGGTACAATTTCAAAAGTTATTGATTTTCATGCTGACGAGCAACTGCATAGTTGGATGAATGGTCAGACGTGAACATCTATACCGCCTTGTCTAGTCATGCCGATCATATGAACGGGTATATGGTACGCCCCCTACTGCCTGCTATACATGTTCAAACTTTTACGCATAGAGTTTCACCCTTCGGGTACAGGGTATTAAAAAAAATGAACGTGTCTGTTTAATTTTTGTGGGTATACCAACCCTATTGTGGTGCCTGTGATGAGCTCCGCATTGCCGCTCAGTATCGAGGCTATGAACTCCTCATTATAGGCATCCTTGGGACGATACCAACGCCGACCCCCGGGCAACACCAATGGACGTTCCGATGACGGTGTTAGGGGTCCAAAAGCACGCTTCGAACGCTTCGGATTGTTTTTGCGCACCAAATGCTCCTCGAGCTCCTCAATGACATCGTGTTTCTGGCATCGACACACGCACGCATGCACAAAAGCGTCCAAGTATCCGCCGATGGAGAGGGAGGGGCAGGTGGCGTTGCAGAAAGACACGCACACAAACACACACACACACACACACACACAAAGAAATATAGAAGTAGAGAGATAGAGAGAGAGAAAGAGAGAGCGAGAGAGAAATAGATAAAAGTTGAAGTGGTTGGGGGCTTAGGCAACAACGACATCGACAACGAAAACGACAACGACGACGCACAGTGACTCGGTTTATTTCTTTTTTAATCAAAGAGTGGACATTAACCACCTTTTTGCGGCACCCCAAGTTAAACTATAACTATTTTTGTAGTTGTTTTGTTTGATTTATGAGCTTAATGGACGCTTTGAAAAAGCATGGTATGTTAAGCTTTGAAGATAAGCCTTTTAACTTGTTGGAAAAGGAAAAGTTAAATCGCGTTCAAATTAATTAATTCAAAAGTTGATTTTTTCAGAAAATTGTGAAGCTGGTAAGCTGTAAAAGCTTTCTAAAATGCATTCAATAGTTTAAGCGATGGACACACATGCAAAAAGTGTGCATAGGGATGTGTTAAAACTTTTCATTTTTTAAGTCCGTCAAATGTATGTGGAATTTATTTGTCTGCCAGCTTAGAATATATATTTTGCTTCATCCTTCCGTTTTTAAGTGCATTAGTATTATATTTCAAATTAATATTTCAAGTTAACTGGCTTTTCCATTATCTCAATAAATGTTTGCAATAAAAATATACATATGTTTGTGAACTCTAGAGACTTCCCCATTTAAATATCTTTATTTTTATTCAAATATAAAATTTAAAAATTGTTTTAATAAATGGAAATATTTTCAGTTTGTAATAGTTTTTTATTAAATCAATCTTTTTTAAATATTTATGTTACTTTTCTAAAAAAGTAATATGTAAATCAAAGTGAGATGGTTCCCTTAACTTATGAGAATTTAGAATGATTAATTCCACTAGCGATTTAAAGCCACTTTTGTAACCTAACCAAAGCGTCTTTTGGATGTAAAAACAATTTTAACTACAATTGAATTTTCTGCAGAAAAAGTGTAAAAGTGTAAAAAAAGTAAAAGTTTTTTTTAATTTCCCTTATAAGATCGTCGTTGATATTTTTTTTAAAGTTAGCATTTTATTTAAAGTCGTAAATTATACTCATTTATTTTGCAAATTGTGTAGATTAATTAGAAAAGCATTTGAGTTACTTATACTTTTAAATTGTGGGTCACTGTGCGAAGTCTATGGCGTCTGTTTTTCGACTGCTGCCTACTAATTGTCTTTGGTTTCTGCTTTTTTCTGCTGCCGCTGCTGGTGCTTTGGCTGCTTCTTGTCTGCTGACTTTTATTCAAGTGTTTTACTACAACTGTTACAACAACAATAACAAAAACAGAAAGAACAACGAAAGCGTTTCTCCTTTTTGTACAATTTTGCGCTAATTTATCAAAATTTAAAACCGATTTAAGCTAACTGTGCAACTGACAACGACTACGTTTCGAAGCGCACTTTATGCTGCAAGTAGAAAAAAACAAAAACCAAATGGCATTTTAGTTAATTTCATTTGTGCGGCATGACCCGAGACCCAACAAGGCACGGTCTTGCGTGGGACGTGAACCCTAACGGACCAAAACTAACGCCTATGATCTGTACAGTCGCAACCGACTAAGCTGAACACTTAAAGTCACTTAGTGTCTTTGTATCTAAATTTCAAAAGAGTGTTGAAAGAAGAATTTGAATTGCAAATTATCAAGAAATCAATATACATATCATATATCGAAATACAAAAAATCTTTATATTCTTAAGTTTTTAACCTTTTATACGACCAATCAGGCAAATAATTTACGCACCAATTCATAGAATTTTAAGAGGAAGGCTTGAAATGTTAAATGTTAGACATTTTTAGTAGAAGTTCTATTTAAAATTATCCAAACTTTTGAAGCTTTATAAAATTGTAAGCAAATTATTTGCCTGTCTGACCATAGCAAGTGCCTTTTCATGCTTTAAAGTCAGACTGGGTATCTATCTCGTATACTCATGTGTACTCGTACTCGTAATTGTTTGATTTATTCAATTTTAGATGTCTGCACCATGTGGCAAGCAAACTTTTAAGTTTGTCAGCCAATTGTGTTGAACTGAAGAATAGAAATAGGATGTAGCAATGGTCGACTAACAAATTATATGGAAGCAACTTTTCTGTACAATTGTACAACGCACACATTCCAATTTGAAGGCTTCACCGCTTGATGGGCTTGACTGTAGCCCTTTTTTAGAATCTAAAGTTTGTTCGCAAATTTTCAGCACTTACCTTTTGCTTCTTGAGGCACTGCTCGCCATCCAGTTCCGGTTGAGGATTGTCACCATTTGAGCGCGAAATTTGCGCCACTTCCAGGTCATTGGCATCGTCAAGGATTATACTCTCAGACTTGTCGACGGCAGCTAAATTGTTAAAGAAGTGTGCATGGTTGGGGGGATGGGAGAGGGGGCGGATATAGAGATATGCAAAGTACGCCGTTAGACAAATTTAATTACAATAACTTCGGTTATAGTTTTGCACCTGTATGTTCGCCTCCGGCCAACTGCTGGTCTTCACCCTCCACCCCCTCATCGATTTGTGGCAGCGTCCCTTCATCGTGCGGTGGCTCCTGTGGGGGCGGCGATGGGGACGACTGCTGCTGTTGCTGTTGCAGCTTCAATGTGGGCAACAAATCGGCCAGCTGCCTGGTGACCGCATCCAGAGTCGATTGTATAGTCGATGGTAGCGAGGAAAGCGCCGCAAGCTGTTTTTGTACATCGGCTAACTGTTTTTCCAGCGCCAGCTCCTCCTCGGTTTTGGCCACGCTGCCTGTTGTTGACGGTGGTGTTGATGGTGGTGGGGAGCTGTCAGAAGGCATTGTGGGGCTCTCGTCCTTGGACGCATCTGCCTTTTCCAATTGCTCGTCATCAGCTGCCTCAGTTTCAGCAACATCGTCATCGCCAGCCTTCTCGTTGCTGCTATTTATGTCTTCAGCATCAGCGGCTGCAACATCCGTGTTTTCCACAACACTGCCGCCTGGCAATTGCTCCAAATTGGGCACCTCACTGTCCGTTGGCAAGGGTTCCTCCACCTCCTCCTCCTTGTTCTCTTCGACTTTTGTCTCCTCAACTGCTGGCGGCGGCGGCGGTGTCGCTTCCTTGGCTTCCTGTGGCGTCGGCTTGACTTCCGGCTGTCACAGAGCTAAGTTACTGCTCGCCCAAGCACATTAGTTGGCCACTTGGCCGCTTGGCTACTCACCATGGGCGACTTATCGCGTGCCGACGACTTGACTATCTTCACCTTGTAGGCATTGGCCGCCCTACGCTCCGCCTCCAACTGCTGTTTGCTTTTGGGTACCGGTCTATTGGGCTTCTGCAGAAAGGTCGACCATTTGCGATTCTCTTTCTCCTTCTCCAGCTTTGTTTTGGTCACCTCCTCGTTAAGGGAACGCAGCACATCGCTGGTCATGCAGACGCCCGGTTTTGGAAAGATTCTATAGAAATTAACGCTATGATATAATGAAATGGTTAATGGCCTCTAGGCTGGCATGCACACGCTTGCACGGCACAAACCCCAGGACATTGTGCTCCTTGAGCACCTCCGACTCGCCGGACAGCACAGCGGCAATTTCCTCTTCCACCAACTTAATTTCCGTCTGCTCCGACAGCACCGAGCACGGCCGATCAGGTAAATCGGGCAAATACAAAGCACCACTGTCGCGATAGTCTTCCGATTGCACTTCCGACTCAGCGACCTCTCGCGGCTCCTCCTCGTCTTCCTCCACCTCCTGCACCACCACTTGCTCCACTCTCTCTGTCGCTGCTGCTGCTGTTGCTGACAGCTGTGGCACCGCATCCGACATGCATGCATTTGTGGCTTCCTTTGCCATCGTGGCTGTTGACTCGCTTAAAGGAAAGCGCTTGGGACTCTGCTCCACCTGCTTTTGCTGCTCCTCCTCCTCCTCCTCCTGCTCGCTGCGAAAGGCAAAACAAATTGGATTCGCATTAACTTAATTTCTCCACTTACCGATAGACGCCAAAGTAGAAGACACTGCCACTGTTCATTATGATCCGATTTGCCTCCTCATGCGTCAGCGGCATCGCCGCCGTATCATTGATCCGCACAATGACGTCTTCGACACGCAGTCCGGCCTCGTCCGCGATGCTCCCTTCGATGACCTACGCAGAGGCTTTACAGCATTAGAGGCAATTCAAATAGTCGTACACGACAATGCTTAAAAATAAAATGCGCGCGCCAAATGTCAACAACAATGCTTCGCGAAGACAAACAATACAGGGTGCTGACAAAATACTTAAATTCTCCAACTTCTCTGTCAAGCCACTAAAGTTCATTTAATCGCAGCTACCGCTTCTAATGTCTCGCCAAAGTTTTGCATATTATAACACCAAAATTTATCGCGAACTAAAGTATGTGCGGTAGTTGTGCGAAACTTTAGTTGAAGTCGAAAGTTTAGTAATGCGCCGGTTTTTGTAGTAAATAAATTTTTTTTGAAACTCTCTCTCCCCATCTTTTAACATAAACTAAACTTGATTAAATTATAGAAATTTGACAATTTATGTGCGATCCCAAACAACTGAGAACAATTTCTCAACTCGACGACAAAAAAATATAAAAAAATTCAAAAAAAAACTTCAATTGACTATATAGATGTTATAAGTATATGTGTTACATCCATATACGAGTAGATGTTAGGCAATTTTAAACGAAACTCAAATCACTTTTATTTGATTGAGAATTGGAAATTATTATATTATTATATTATTATTAATTTTTTCCTTGCAAAACCCTTTTTAAATATTAAAATAGTTTTAAAAAAAGAAATAATTTTCGAATTTTGAAATTATTACTCTAATTCTGAATTAATTTGGTTTTATTTAAAAGTTCCATTCAAAATCACAACAAATTGAATACAAAATAATAATAATTATATTGAATAATGATGCAATATTTATCATAGCTTAGTGGATAGCTATTTTATTTGAATGGAAATTATATTGGTTGCAAACCACTTTTAAAAAAATTGTATTCTACTTCTGAATTATTTTGGTTCTTTTAATTTAAAAGGTCCCTTGTAATTCATAAGTTGAATGTAAGATTATAATAATAGATAAAACGTGGCAATATTTATCATAGCTTAGTGGATGGTCAACCTATATACTCGAAAGAAGCTTTATACTCTTAAATTTTAAATATATTCAAACATTATTTAGAAATTGCATTTGATGGGCAATACAATTATGAAATTAAAAGTATTACGTTAATTTAATAAGACTAAGAGGTTCAATTAACGCAACTGAATCGATAAAACTGGGCCCACAATAAACGTCTTTTTCCCACTGAAATATTCCAACAGTTTCATTAACAAACATTTGTTTAAAAAGATTTTTTTTAGAAACATTCCACATGTTGCACCCTTTATATGCAATGTGTGTGTGTGTGTGTGTGTTGGTGTTTGTGTGTATTGTCTGCCAATTAAAAATTGTTGCCTTTGCAATTTTGTCACAATAATTTTGCATTAAGTATAAATAAAACAACAATTAAATAAGTTTAATGGTCGAGCATTATGCGCCTCATTAGCATAAAAATGCATGAATTTGGCGATTAGATAAATACAGAGACCGCACACACACACACTCACAGGCACTCTTGTTTATTCACTTAAATTAACAAATTCGCAAATTTGCAAAATTACAAAACTGCCAAAAACACACACAAACATACGCACGCCATTACGTAATGGCCACATTTTCAATCAACTTTTGGCCAATTTTCCGCCATAATTGGCTAAAAGTAATTAAAAATTGGCTTCGCTAATGAATTAAAAGCGCACACACTCGCACAGGCACAGGTAAACACAGGGGCCGGGCAGGTGAAAAATGTAGTATATATATATGCCACAAAAATCGGTTTTCTCTAACCTTAACCACGGTCAGGGGATAATCATAATCGGCGCCGCCCACCAACCGAAAGCCCCAGGGTACATTGTCAAAGCGGCACATTTTGATGTCGACAACCATCTTCACTTTTTATTTTTTTTTTTCCTTCACTCTGCTCTCTTGATTAGTTAGTTGCGGGGTGTCTGGACAACTGACTGACTGATTAATTTGCGACCGAACGCAACAACTCTAGCGACCAACTGTTGCAGCCACATGCGGCGAATTGCCGATGCGGCAAACTTCTATCGATTGTTGCCAAATAGATTACAAATAGATAGATGAACTGATGTGCGAGTACAGTGCACATGCGATAGAATGAGCCCCAAAACTACTAGACTGATTTCTAGAACTACTTATTCAGTTCTCAACAATTATAATATATCATGGAACAATAAATGGCTCAGTTGACTAGGCGTCCAAAACTATTACTTCTCTAAAACTAGGAAAATATGATATTTTCATTACACCTCACTTTGTAATGTAATTTTGAAAATCAAAAAGTTGAAAGCTGACTTTGAAAATTCGGAATATTTGTCTCATATATGTCAAGTGTTTCGAAACGAATTCGTATTGATATGCACGTCTCTCCGTTCGTCCGACCGTCCATCTATCCTCCAATATGAACATCGAGAGCTTTTGAACGAAACATATACTCGTAAAGTGCATATTAACTTCATTTAATTTATAGTATATTACATAGGCTTGTATATGGTCTTGCTATATTTTTTATTGTGAAAGAGATTTCTCAAGTTTAAAATGAATTTTCTTTAAATCATTTTATATTTTCAACTGTCATTTAATTTCGATGTAGTTTTTTGGACTATTGTATAAAAATTAATGAAAATGTCTAGCTGTAAGCATTCGGTAAACAAATTACTAGATGCTTTAAAGATACAATTTCTGTTCAATATGAAACATCGTAAAATGTTATAATACCTGTAGACATTAATTAATTCATAAAAATGTCTAGTAGATAGGGATTTTTTGGCCTATACTGTATTCTGAATTCAATCATATCGCTGAGACGAGGTTCCCTAACGAGGTCTCTTATGTTTCCTATGATTCTCAATAATGTTTCTATAAAAAAAACTCTCAACTATATTCCTTTAAAAAAGTTAAATTCTATAAAATTATTATTAATTCTAAATCTTATTAAAAGTATTATTAATGATTAACATCGAAAAAATAAAATGCATAGTCAAAGGTAAAGCAAAAATTAAAAATTCAAACGTATTAATTTTAAACAAAACAATTATCAGTTAGTTATAACTATCTCGAAATGTTAATGATAAATTCCTTGTTTAGTTAATATGCTATATATAAAAAAAGACGTTTACTGAAATATTCTATGATAAATCGTTTTGCAATCTTTGTCTGACTATGGAAGTATTATTATGATATTTGATTTTAAGAATGACTGGTTATTATAATGAGTTTGAGGTTCAATGAAAATAACAAAACTGAAAAAATTGGCTTATTTATGTAAAACCGGAAATACAAACATATTTAAGTAATGCCACTGTAGCCACTGCCACATACGATGGTCTTTGACTGAAAGTCGCAGCAATAAGTCACATATAGATGGCGCCACTACATTCATTTTCAAAAGTACTGTTTACCTCAGAACGAACTTTTGGACATCATATGGAATACAATTATTTGACGCTGGAATGGAATTAGTATAGTGATAACAATTAACTATTTTAACTTGCAAAGTTCTACTTCACTGCTAGTACTTGTATTTAAGGCGTAATATGTCTATGTATAGAGAGGACGACGCGCCCTTACACACTGACTGCTCAGCGAAATGGCGGACTGGCAGCGTTGGCGGCATTGGCGGCATTGGCGGCATTGGCGGCGTTGGCGGCGCAGTTAATGAAGCATACTTTCTACCTGCTGCCTTTATGCATATTAATGTGACAGCCATAAGGTTTTGGCAATAATCGTGCGTGACAGGCGCGTCATTGCATTTTAGCGGCAACATGTAACAAGTGGCAGCTTGTTCCTAGGAACAGCAACTGGAACACCATTTCGCTCTATGCATATGCATATGGATGTGGTTGTGGTTGTGGGTGTGGGGCTTGTTAGCTGCATTTGACTGGCCAGTTGCAACCCAAAAAGTGCATTGAACTGGCAGACAATGTTGGCGAACTGTGGATGGTATAAATACCAGATGCCGGTGGCATTTGGCATATAAAGCGTTACTGTTACTACAGACTGCAACAAAAATGGCGAAGAACGGAACTACCGCTACCAAAGTTAATGGCCAAAAGCGACTCTTGTTCGTGTTGTTCGTCGGCTTGTCCTGCTGGCCAGTGGCCCAACATGCCCATCACGTTTACACAATGGGCCCACAAAAGCTGTGCGGTCAGGCACTAACGGACGCCCTAGAAGTTGTTTGCGCTAAGGGCTACAATGGCATATCGCTGCCGCGTTTAACGCAAAAGCGTGCCCAGCTGGGGCCGCTAGAGGAGCAACTGGAGCAGCTGGAGCAACAGCAACAGCCAAAGGAGGAGCAACAACAGCAAACGGAACAGCAGCCTAATATTGAATATTCCGTGAGTCCGTTGCTGTCCAGCATTTATGGAACCGAGGTCCTCATCAAAACGATGCGTCGCCAGAGGCGACAAGGAGTCTATGATGAATGCTGTCTTAATTCCTGTACTTATACCGAATTGGTCGCCTATTGTCGCTGAGCGCACACGCACACACACACACACCAATCCAACACACTAATAATATACACTATATTATATATAATCACTTACTATCATATATTCATTCATATATAAATTCTTACTTTTTTCCTCGTGCAGTTGCCATAAAAAATACAAAAGAAATTATTTATGTGCTTCAAGAGTGTATTGCCTTTATAATAAAAATCTAAAATCAATTGATTTTCTACAAAGCAAAAATAATTGACTAATCCAAAAAAGCATTTAGCGAGTATGTTTATTAAATTTTTTTTTAAAGAATTTATCCCTACGGTACACATTTTTCATGCCTGTCGACAAAGATAAGAAATACAGCCATATATTTAAAGCCTTGTACGCTAAGAACCCCAAATAGGAAAAATCAAATTACCTTAATATGTGATAAAGACATCCAGCCAGATATACCCAGATAAGTGTAAATCATAAAATAAACATTTAAATAAATGTTGCCATATGGGAAGCTGTTAGACTGGATAAGGACTGTTCAGCAACGAAAGATTAATAAGCGAAAAATTAATCCAGGACGTTGAAAGCTTGGTTTAAGCCACAAAGAGAAAACGAATAAATTTGTTTTAAGCCGACTCAATCCGACCCTGAAGAGAACTATACAGTCTTTGGACTAACCCTAATTGAATCCAGGAACACACTTAAACGCTCTTTTGCATATCAGAGAAGTGATGATTGTAATTTAATTTGAAATCAAAAGAACTGCAAGATCTTCCACTCTCGTTGCATAACACATAAAAATAATCTTAGGACAATAGAATTAGAATGACGGACTAGAAGAATTTAACATATATTTAATATTCTGATATATTACATTTCACACATTTTCAACCTTCGAGTACAGGATGTAAAACGAGTTCTGTTGGAGAAAGACAAACAATAATTTAGTTGCTGTTCAGTAAGTAATTAAATGCAAAATGAATATATTAATATATGACTATATTAATATTGTAATAATTTCAAAGCAAAATGAACCGTCAGCTGAAATTAATGTAATTTTCCCAAACTCCAAATTATTATTTAGCAATGAGAGAATAATGCTTTTATGCTTTTCATAAATATCTAACAAAATATTTTATAACCTTGTCTGACTTTTTTATTGTATTGTATGGCGGCTGTTGGAAATAAGTTGATTACATAAGCTCATTTACTAACATACTTATTTATGCAGTAGAAGGAGAAATAAAATAACACAAAATTGCTAATGAATAAACTGTGAAAAGTACTCAGAAGCGCAAAAGTTATAAAGAATATTTCGGAAGCGCAAACCAAAGCCAACTTTACTAACAACATGAGAAACATGAGCTTGGAATTGTTGCTGAGTCCGTTCCTCTTTGCCGTTTTGTTGTCAAGCGCCCACGCGCGCATCGGTAAGTACATATACATATGTATATACATACATATATAGATATATACACACATACTTATACATACGCATATTCGCACCCATCAGGAATTTAAGCAACTCATTTGGTATTCAAATGGGAGAAGTAGTAGTGGAAAAGGGTTTTTTTGGGGTCGCGTCGCGCCATCGTCTTTACACATAAATTGTTTAATTGGCTGACACACGCCCACGAAGATGGGGGGAAGGACAACAACCAGGAGGACCAGCAGGACGTTGAGGACATTGCTTGGCATTTGCATTTGCATAAGTTAGCAGGCAGGCAGGCAGGCAGGCAGTCAGGCAGGCCGAGTTGACATTGAACGAGCTGAGCAACAGAGAGTAACAAGTACTTGAGAATGCACTCAACTTGTCCTTATAACCTCTAACACAATTTGACACTAAAGGCTTCTGACTTGACACAAGGACTCCGACTCCTGACAATAACACTGACGCTAAGGCTGAGGCAGAGGCTGATTTTCCGAGTGTCTGGGTGAGTGGGTCGATTGTTGTATATAAAAGCGCTTGCTGCCAGCTAAGGTAGCGACAGTTCTCGTAGTTCTACTGGCATTCAAACAAACCAATAATGTACAAGTCCGTATCCTTAATCCTTTGTGCTCTGTGCATGCTAACTGCGGCCAGTTACAATTCGAATAAGATACGTTGCAGCGAGCAATTGAACGAAATGATGAGCCTCGTCTGTGACGGCAGGGGCTTCAATAAAATAACTTCGTATAAGCGCAGCTCCCGTAAGTTATTCCCCACAATCCGCGATTCGTATATCCAAAATATTATCTATCCACAGTCCATGATGATCCACTCGATCCCATTGCTTTTGTGGCGGAGACTGAAGGCAAAACAGATAGTGCAGATCAGGATGCCGAGTTCTTGAACTATCCACTGACCAACGATGGGCTGAGCAACAGCTACGGAGAACGTCTGAGCTCCTTGACGACCACACGACGGCGCCAGCGTCAACAAAGGATTGTGGACGAGTGTTGCCGAAAATCCTGTCGCGTTTCCGAGCTCATTAGCTACTGCCTCGCCTAGAGACATTGCACCGCACACTGATCGAAGTACAATGCGTCCGAATGAATTATTTGCCAGCCACGTCCACTTCTTCCACTTAATTACAATATAAAATATTGTATGGGGTTTCATATAACTAACTAAAAACATATACGTATTTATACATAGTACTATAAATGGTTGCCATTAAAGCTGAAACTACATATATTTATCAAAGTATTATCACAGTTCTAAATAATGACAACATTATCTTTGTGCAATTCCATTACAGTTGCGTAATAAGAGATTGGCAGTCCTTAGAAAAAATCATCAACCCTATCTCGAAAGTTATCATCTATCAATAGCTCGGCTATATAGATGCTCAAGCAATCTTTCAGGTGTAAAATCGATACATTTTGTCTATATACCCTCAGATTACGATTAGTAAGATATAGTATATCCAGGTAACAGTTTAATTTGTATTTCGATATCAAAAATTGAAGGTTTTCTAGTCTTTTAAAAAATTGCTGGCCCCCAAAACATTTCCGCGCATCAATCTTATTAAGACATACATATATGTACCATCTACATCCAGGCAAATAGTTTACTATTGAAATTTCTGAAGGGTTATGCTTTATAATCGGAATTGAATCAACAAACTAATTTTTGCTCTCCACAAAGTCTTGAGGGAATGTTAACAAAGGGTTCCCATTTTCAATAGTCATATTCAAAAGCATATATCTTAACAATGCAAACATATAAAAAACAAATATAAACACAAAAATGATCTAGATTCTACAAAGATAGGAGTATATATGAAGTAATTAATGATCCTGACGATATTGACTAAAAGAGCTATGCAAAAAGAAATTGTTCGGTCCAAATAGTAGCCCGAAACCAACATTTTTTTTCGTTGTTTACGTTCTTTAGCCTTTCATTATTATTTTATTTTATATTAGTAATTGTAATAGCTATAATACAATAAGACGAACTGGTTGGTGCATTCAATGTAGGGGCTTCTTTTTATTTTATTGTATAACTAGTACCGATTTGTATAGGTTCTGCAGCAATTAACTTATATAATTTATTTCACATAAACATTTGCACAATATAGAGTATTATAATACATTTCTTTCCACTTTTTTTTGCATGGGTTTTTTTTTGCATTTTTTCAATAATTCTTGCATTTGAAAATTCACATACAGTTCACGTTTAGCGATCGCGCCTTGATCAACCATTATCTAAGATTTAACAATTAATAATAAGTATGAGCACATCTGAGAAGAGGAGTCAGTTAGTGTTCCATTGAATAGTTCTGTAATTCGAACTACACACGACCTAAACACCAACAATTCCACTGATTTAACGGCAGTAGGATTTGAGTTCTTGGAAGGTGCAGGCCTTGAGACAACACTCATCGGAGACACCAAAACGTCGTCGTCGTGTCTTCATCAGCTGGGCCGCACTTTCGCCCAGCATGCGTTCCAATAGCAATTGATCACCCAATATGCTCAGGACGCCAGAATTGTCATCGATCTCATTGTCCTCCACTGAGAAGAGAGGGGATATGTAATCGGAAATGATTGGATTGGTGGTAGGATACTCTTTGAACCTACCATGCGACCGCTTGAACATGGGGTTGAGACCATTGGGGCAAATTTCATTGAGTGCCTCGGGCAGATCCCGTCCACAAAGCCGCATAGATTCCACGCAGAGCACAAGGAATGCGAGGGCACAGAATATGCTCAGTGCTTTCGACGGCTGCAACTGCATCATGGTGGGGATGGTTACTGGATGCTGCTCCTTCGTTTGCTATCCAGGGAATGCTTAGGTGCCGTTAATTACCAAACCACAACTGTGTGGCCTGGCAGGGCGATGCATCGTTTTATATGTAAGCCCGTTCTCGAAACTGCGACGGAGTGCTGTCAGGGTGCGTTAGTTGCGATGTCAGTTAAACGGGTTACCCTCTACGTGCATGAGATAATAGTGTGGGGGAGTGTGTGTGTGTGGCATATCAGCTGACGTTATCGCCATTGTTTATATTTTCACACCAAAGGGCCTTGCAAAATAATTACGCAGCCAGCTTAATTCTTGAAAAACAAGATGCTTTCCTGTTTTCCCACCTTTCTTTCTTCTTTCTTCCCTTCGCGCATTTGGGACACAGTTGTTTTTGCATATTTTGTTTCGGTGTGTTGCTGCTGTTGTTAGCATCAGAATCACTGCGTCATCTAATTAAAAATTCACAATTTCCCTTATTGCCACAAAAGGCCAAATGAAAAATGGGACAGGGTCGATGGTCGGTTGTCGGCGGCCTGTGTGGGGACGATGCGGGCGCTGCACAGCTGGCTGTAAACTGGCTTTTGTTGCTGGTCTTTAAGTAACTTTATTGCTTCCATTAAAAAATATGACAATGAAACGTTTAAAAATAATTATTCTGTATTATTATATTTATGTTTAAGTGCAAGAAATTGAATTGCAAATACGTGATCGCCGTGTCCTCGTTGTCCGCTTTATTGGTCCCCATCCAGCCCATCGCTGCTTGCCTTGTAGCCCACTTGATTAGGCGCAGTACTCCAATATGTCCTCGTAGGTGCAGCCATCCTTGCAGCATTGATGTGCAATCCGTCGACGGTGACGACGCAGCGTGCCACTACCAATCTCCACATTGTTGCCGCCTCCCTCCAATTTGTGCAACAATGCACGCCATTTGAGCAAAAACAACACCGATGCAGTCAACGCGCCCGACTGCTCCAATCCCTCTTGTGGCTTGTCAATCGCCTGCACCACTTGAAACTGTGGTTAGTAAAATAGGCTACACTGAAGCGTGATATATGGTGGCATGACAAATAGCATCGAAAAATATCCCCCATAAAGCATAACATTCCCCATAACTGCCTACGAAAAAAAGCCCGATTTTATGAGGCTAATAGAGCAGCGGTGTTGGCTGTTTAATCTCTGGAGTCTAATTTGCTTCTGTCTATTCCCTATATAGTTGCGATATAGTAGCTCATCAGACATTCGAAGAATGCCGATAAGAGTTATAGTCTCAGGTCTTGAACAAACAGACATAAGTAAATTAATTTCTTTAAATAAATTATGATGGCAATATCGGCGCTTTAGTAGTTCTAGCTTATTTCTATGCTCTTAATATAATATGTAAATCCGATTACAGTGAAAGGGTTTGCAAAAAAAAACCTACTTTAGTGCCAAACCTCATAAAAGTACCAAATATTTATATGCTCTGGCGAACAAACAACATACTTGTATTTCGAACGAAGTCCATCTCTACATATCTCCGAAATGATGAATTATAGATAATTATAGATTATGGATAATAGACAACAGTTCTAAATGTGAAATTGTTTGTCCTTTGCATAGCTCTTCTTAACTCCAAGATCTAATCATTCAGATGAACAAAGAGACATATCTGATATACTTTCCCTGCATAATCGATGAGAGAGTGCTCAGGCAAAATGTAGAGCTCTTACAGTCTTCAAGTTCGAGGCTTTCCTAGATCTAATCATTCAGATGAACAAAGAGACCTAGCTAGATCCAGATTGCTCTCTAATCTACACTTTTAATCTATGTATCGCACATATCTGATATACTTTTCCTGCATAATCGATGTGAGAGTGCTCAGGCAAAATGTAGAGCTCTTACAGTCTTCAAGTTCGAGGCTTTCCTAGATCTAATCATTCAGATGAGCAAAGAGACCTAGCTAGATACAGATTGCTCTCTAATCTACACTTTTAATCTATGTATCGCACATATCTGATATACTTTTCCTGCATAATCGATGTGAGAGTGCTCAGGCAAAATGTAGAGCTCTTACAGTCTTCAAGTTCGAGGCTTTCCTAGATCTAATCATTCAGATGAATAAAGAGACCTAGCTAGATCCAGATTGCTCTCTAATCTACACTTTTAATCTATGTATCGCACATATCTGATATACTTTTCGTGCATAATCGATGTGAGAGTGCTCAGGGGCAAAATATGCTGCTCATACAGCCTTCAAGTTCGAGGCTTTCAAACGAATAGACAGATATGGAGTTACTGGATTAGTTCTTTATTCTACTTCTGCATGCTCTATCAAGATATTGCTCTAGGCTTTTTGACATGCCCCCTGTTTATATCTCAATGTCGGTCTCGTGGCATTTGTACTTACAGTCCCGTTTGATTCTGCGTAAAAATCCATTGACACAAATCAAGTCAAGTGCCTCGTTGAGGGCGTCGCCACAGAATTTCTTTCTGCCATGCACTCGCTGCAGCAGCTGCGCCGAAGTCAGCGACAGCAGGAGCAGCGTCAGAGCGAAACGCAGGCTCATGTTTCGGACATGAAATCTGGTCCCGTGTTATTTACGTTTAACTTTTTCAACTTTTCACAGCTAATGCTAATGAAAGAATGCGAATGACTGGCAATGCGGGGCCGCATCGCAGCTCAATCCAGTGTAGACTAAACCCATTCTGACTTCTGACTGACTTCTTGACTTTACAGAGAGGCTCAGGTAGTCAGCACTCAAGCTATTTATCAGCTGTTTCGTGTATGTACATACATATATGTATATGGATGGGAAATGGGAAATCTATTTGTTTATTTGCTCGCTGTGGGATTTTTATGACTTACAGGCCATGTGCGTTCGATAACGGCCTTTCCCACCTACCTATTCTCACCAACCCCTGCCCGATCCCAAAACTAACAAACTCCTTAACACTTCTACTACTCTCTGTGTTTGCAGGCTACTTTTGGCACATAACCGATCTGCATTTGGACACCATTTATTCCATGGAGGGTGATGCCCGCAAGAGCTGTTGGCAGCTGCCGCGCTCAGGCGGCGCCTCCAATGGCATGTCTGTGGCCGCCGCCTCCTCACCCGAAACGCCGGGAGCTTTTGGCGACTACCATTGCGATAGTCCGTGGAGTCTCATCGAGTCGGCCGTGAAGACCATGAAGGCCAAGCAGGGTGACAATGTGGAATTTGTGCTCTGGACAGGTGATGCGCTCTCGCACTCCGCCCAGCCCCTCTCTGAGCTGAAGCAGCATGAGATTTTACGCAACATTACGGAGCTATTGGGACGCTCCTTCTCTTCGCAGTTCATTTTTCCCGTTCTCGGCCATGAGGATGGCACTCCACACAAGTACAAGCAAATGGGCGAGCTTTGGCGGCATTGGCTGCCCAGCGAGGCGCTTCTAACTTTCGAGCAGGGTGGCTACTATTCCATCGAGCAGACAAAGAGTCGTCTGCGTATTGTTGCCCTGAACACGAACTTTATGCGGCACGATCCGAAGGTGCCGCAGGCTAATGGGAATGGCATACGCTGGCCAGCAGAGTACTACACTGAGCCCAGAGCTTCGAGCAGTGCTCAGGTCCCCGATGAGGATCTGCAGCAAGCCGAGCAGCAATGGCTTTGGCTGGAGGAGGTGCTCACCAAGTCGCGCAACAAGCAGGAAACGGTTTGTGGGCCAGGACATACAACTTTTTTCTTGTTAGACATAGCTCCTCTGTTTCAGGTTTACATCGTTGGTCACATGCCGCCGGGCGCCGATGAACGCCATCTCGGACCGCAACACAATGGACAGCTGACCTTTACGGAACGCAATAATAAAAGGTATCTCGAGCTGGTGCGCAAATATGCTTCGGTCATTCAGGGTCAGTTCTTCGGACATCTGCACTCGGACACCTTTCGCATTGTATACGACGAGCATGGTACGCCTCCCATATACCATTTGGCTATTCAACCACTCACCTCTAACCCGTCTAGGTACGCCCATTTCCTGGCTTATGATTGCGCCCTCAATTGCACCACGCAAGTCGGGCATTGGATCAAATAATCCAGCGCTCCGTCTCTACAAATTTGATACGGGCAATGGTCAGGTGGTGGACTACACCCAATACTGGATGGATCTGCCGCTGGCCAATCGTGCCAATGAACCCCTCTGGTTGCCCGAATACAACCTCACCCACTATTATGCACTCAACGACATATCAGCAATCGCCTTGCACAATTTTGCCGAGCGTTTCACCGGCAGCGATACCTCGTGGTTTAGCAGGTGAGGCTAATTTTGTTTGCTTCAAAAATAAAATAAATAAAACAAATTACTGCAAGAAAAGAATAAATCATTTGGAAAAGAATATGCAAAAAGTGTAATGAAAGCACGTCTCAGGAAAATGAAACTTTTTAAAACTAGAATATTATATAGTTGGGGGTTCCTGAGATGACGGAGCCACTCACTTTTAGCATAAGGTCGAACCGGTTAAAAGAAAAAGTGTTTTTTTTTTATTTCATTTATGTTTTTGTTAAACTCTTCTAATACCTATAATCAAGACGAGCTTTTATCATAAAATTTTCATAAAAGAGGTTGTTGTGCTTATACTTGTAGTTCTATGACACTATTTTCATGTACAAATCATTTATTGCACCTAGAATTAAAATTAAAAGGATTATTAAAAGGCAATTAAATATTTATTTTCATTCTAATTACTCTTTATCGCCTTTACCCATTATTATTTCAATTATCAATTTTGTTTTCTGATTATACTCTGTACATGAAATGTACAAGAGTATATTAGGTTTGCGGGAGCTGAAAAATGTAACAGGCAGAAGGAGGCGTGGCAGACCCCACAAAGTATATATATTCTTGATCAGCATGACGAGACGAGTCGATCTAGCCCTGTCTGTCTGTCTGTCCGTCTGTCCGTCTGTCCGTCTGTCCGTCCGTATGAACACCTGGATCTCAGAGACTATAAGAGATAGAGACACCAAATTTTGCACGAAGATGCGTTATGTGTGTATTCTATACGAGTTTGTTTTATTTTTTTGATTTTCCCCCCCACTTCCCCCCTATGGGGGTTTTCCCGATTTTCCATTCGTATAATCGCCTATATCTCGGAGACTATAAGACCTAGGAACACCAAATTTTAGTCCCAGATGCCTTATGTGAATACGCAGAAAATGTATATTTTGGAATTCCCCTCCCTCCCCCCTCTACCCCGCAAATCGTAACTCCCGTAATTCTTGGAATTTCGAACTAAAATTTTGGAAATACCCCCAGTTAGTTATTATGTGTCCGTATGCCAAATTTCATTATGATAGACCGATTTAACAAGAAGTTATAGCCATAAATATATTTGCTGATGCAGCGCTGCTGCAGCGCTGCTCAAGCGCTGCCCGCGGCTGTTGTTGATGTTGCTGTTTGGTTGACTGCGAAAATGCTTACACAGACACGAATAGATGCGCATAGGCATACATACACTCACACAGACGCAATTGCTATGTAAATGTGCAATTATACACCCTTTACGTGAGTTCGAATACCGAGAGAGGTAAAATCGATCAAATTTTTTTTTTTATTTTCTTAATTTTTTTTATTTTCTATAATTATTGTAAACATATGTACAGAGTATTTCGAAGTCGGGACACCCGACTTTAGCTTTTTTACTTGTTTCCACTTTATTTTGTTTCTTTGCTTTATTTAAGACATTTGTAAATACAGCAAACGAGCACAAAATTCGACTTAAGAGAGAAAGCCTGCAGCATCCAGTTATAAGACTATTGGCTTTCGCACTTTTAATTTAGAATAGCAAATTTTCTTAGGAAATTAAAAGGTTTTGTCGGTGCGAAAGGAAAGATGCTTAACAAAGTTTACATATCTTAAAAAATGGTAAAAAAAAAGTAAAATTCAAGTAGGAACAGGCCATATGTATATTAAATGAATCGGGAATACTAGAATAGTAAACAAAAAAGAGATTAGATAAGAACAATCAAAAGTTGCTGTTACCAACAGACTACTCTTTACCTCCCTGTGTGTGTCTCACTCTTTCTCTCTCGCTCTCTCTCTCTCCCTCTCTCTCTCTCTCTCTCTGTTTCTCTGTATGGGTTGTACTGCAGATATTACCGTGCCAATGCCGTGCGCCACCAATCTGGTTCGCCCTGTCTGGGACTGTGTATGCTCAATCATTACTGCGCCATCACACGTCTGGACTACGATGAGTTTCGTCAGTGCCTGGAGACGGAGCAGCTATCCTTGCACAGCCATGCGGCCATTGCGGCTCTGAGCAGCTGTTGTGCCCTTTTCTCGCTCTGTGTGGCGCTCAGTTTCGTCTGCTGCTGGCACTACACTCTGCCCTGGATGCTCCACATGCTGGACACGTCAGCTACAACAACAACAACAACAACAGCAACGACAACATCAACACCAACAGCAACAGCAACAAACATGGACTACGATGGGCAGTGTGAGGTTGCGCCCACCGAACCCAATGCGGGCTTTATTACAGCCATACCGGGCCTGTTGCTGCCCGCACCGAATATGAGAATGGGCGTCCGATCGAGGCGCCAAAGGATGTCCCAATTAGCGAATTTATAAGCATACTACTCCATGCAGGCTCATTTTCCTATATACACAACTATATATATATAGATATATACATACCATAGCTACAAATATTGCGCTATTTTAATCTCAATTATGCTTACATATCCGCATATGTATGTGCACATGTGCATATAGTATATACATACATATGTATGTTTGTGTGTCTGTGTATGCTTCCACGTATGTGTGTGTATGTGTGTCTGTGTTCTTTGTGTGTGATATGAATACTGAAAATCGTCTATAAAATAAATAACAATTTTTAATGTTCATCTATCCTTGTTTTGGTTTTCTTCGAATAATTCCCCAACCGCAAATATTTAAGCAACAATTTGTTGCACAAATAAATGTGTTTGTTAATTTGAACAAACAAGTCAAAAGCCAAATAAAACAGCAGCAGCTCTGCATGGAGTGGGGCCATCGGGATGGGGTCGGAGGTTGAAGGTTGTGGGTGCTGCAATATTTTGACTGCGCGTTTCTTTTTTATGGCCAAGAAATTGCCATTAAACTGGGCAAAAAACCGCAGCGCACCAATAAAAATGTTGCAGTCACAGCGTTCAACTTAAGAGCAAAACGACACTGTGCATACCAGATGTACTCCCTACTACATAATGGGCCATATAAGTAACAAGGTACAGTGGAAAAGACCTAATAATGATGACAAATGGATTTCAACAACGCTAGGATCAACCTTGTCGACCTTTTATCAAATCAGAAGTTTCGTACTTTACTAACATTTTTTTCAGGTATTTTACAGGTAAGATAAATAATAAAGCATAATAATAAAATATCTTAAATAATTATTCCAAATGCATAGCATTTCGTTCGATATTCAACCAGGTCTACCATCACGAAACATCACTCTCATAACACAGTCTCTACTTTTTTGCACCAATTTCTAAAAATAAAAAATCTATATATAATATACTTTTGTCTGCTTCCATGATCACTCATCTTTTATGAACTCATCGAAATCTTTATACTCTTTTGGGACAAACATTATTCTTGTTTCTGAAATCAAAAAACTTATTTCGTTTCTTTTATGCTAATTGACAGAATGTTCGTATGTTTCTCAATTTCATATTCTTTATAATAACTAATTATAGCGCTCTAATTACTAAACTTTAATATAATATAACAAATAAAATACAAAAATAAAAAGCTTTGCACAGTGGCGAATAAAGAAGATATTAGATATTAGAAATGCTTCTCTTGAGCAAAGGGTTGGTTCAAAAGAGGTGAAGCCCCGCCTTGAAAATATGATATATGTAATTAATTTATTTCGGAAGACTTTAGACGATTTTCGCAATGAACAGAGATTCTGTCTTTTAACGACCTTTTTATTGGTATGTACTTGCAAGATTATATATTTTTTTGTTTATTTAAATTTATTATTAATGTTCGAGCTGCAAAAAAGTTACATGCATATTCCGATTGACATCAACATGATGGATGGACGGATGTACAAAAGAAAATTCAGTGGAACAAACAAAATTGTTAAGGAACATTTCACAATTACAAACACTGAAGCACAATTTGCCTTTAAAAACATGGCGATGGGGTTTATAATATGGACCATAAAGTAGTAGTAGTAAGATCGTAGTTTTCAAAAAACAGAGGTTTTCATTTAAATTAAATTATATTTTTTATAAAATATATATATATAAAACAGTTTGTCCTGACTGACTGACTGACTGACTGATTGGTGATCAACGCACAGCCCAAACGGTAAAAGATGAAATTTGGACTCAAGTATCCTTTCATAGTATCCATCATAGTGTAGGAGCACACTAAGAAAATTCTAGCTCCAAAGGGGGGAAAACGAGCTTTAAAAAATATTAGTTATAGTGGTCATGTTCGTTTAACGAAATAGTTTGGCAAGAACTGAAATGTAACGGACTACTGAACAATTTTTTGTCAAGAACAGAAAATGTTCATTTAAATACCTTAAAGGCCTTCCTACTAGTAACTTATAAGGTGAAAACATATGGGTAGGTTATGCACACACAAAATAAATACAATTGGAAACATTATATTGAGCCGGGTTAAGACGGGCAATACCTGCTAGTAGATACATATAATATCACAAACAAAATTATTGCGACTTTTGATTTTTATCGCAATGCTGACCATAAAAGTGAACGTAATTTTTGATTATAAGCATTTTGCAACTCTTGACCTACTGTGCAGGAAGCAGTAGCTGTTGCTTGGTTGCCTGGGCAGAGTACCAAATGGCATCATAAGTAATGCATGAGCCGTCGCACTGACTGACCCCGGGGCCTGTAAGCCGACCGGCCGGCCGTGCTTGTTGCATTCGATTCCCAATTCCAGAGGCTCCACATCCCTACATCCCTGCACCCCACACCACTCGCTACAACGTGCGTGACACTCTCTACGTGCCACCTAAGTAAATTATGGGCAAAAATCTACGCCAGTCGATACACGAAGGTGTGAATGGGAGGAAGGGGTGCTCGCTCAGGTTTTGTGTGCATAAGTTTTATGCCTTCAGTGTGTCTGCTTTTATAAGTTTGCCTTGCATACTTTCGGGCGCCACAGTGTTGGCATTGTCAAAAATCTATCAAGCTTGCTGCACTCCCGACTCCCGCCAATTTCCGAGGCACTCATTAAAGTTTATTAAGAAATTTTGCACTGACTGACAGCTGGATAGACAACTCCGGTTGGTTCGTCGGTTGGTTAGTTGAATAGACAGATAGAAAGCTAAAAAAGAAGCCAAAAGCCCCTGACAATAAACGACACCCAGTGACTGTTTTCTGTGGCTTTCGCAATTTGGCAAAGTTTATGCTGTTCGGGTTGGTTCAAGTGTGGTTTGAATTTGGTTTTATTTAGTTCTTTAGAGGCTCCTTCCGTTGCTTCTGTTGCTTCTGTTGCTTCAGTTGCGTATTTGCTCATCATCGTATTTAATTCCCAAAGAACTTTCCCTCAGCTGGCAGGCAAAAAGCTGCACGCATAGATGCTCAAGCACTCACCTGACTAAGCAAATACATTATGTACATACTATACATATATATTGTATCTACCTTTCTCTTTTTGTGTGCAAAAAACATATACATACATATATTCACTAGATTTTATTCCACACTTTCCACACTTTGGCTCTGGCATGCATACCTACATATATGAGAAACACTCACCTGTTTGGCACAGGTACTCGTAGAAGGTAGCAACAAGCAGTCAGCAGTCAGCAGCCAGCAGCAGATATATATCGCACATTTAGCCTATATGCAGTGGCATATATAAATATTTGTATAATATAGCCATATATACATATTGCTAGCTATATATGTAGGTAGCTCTATATTCATAGGTTCTGCTGCGTTTGGCAAAAAGAGTGAGATGGTTAGAACAAACCTGGCATCATCAGCGTCCGCACACAAGCAAAAAACAATTTCAATTCTAATGTCCCATTAATCATTCACAAACATTAAACATATTATATTTGTATACCCTAACACAAGGTAGTTCACCTTTGATCTGATATTGGTTAGCTATTGAATAAACATTACTTAAGCCTTATAAATTTCGCCCGAATCCAAAGCAGTCTAGTGCTTCAGTTATTTGTGTATTTAGTTTTATTTTGAAATGCATTTTGTTACGTTTCTAGTATGTATATACTTTTGTAAATCATTTATTTTGCCTTTTTTTGATCTAAAGGGCTATTTTTGTCATTTTTGTTAATTTTACATATTTCGTTATTTAAGAATAATTTTTATATCTTTTATAATTTACTTTTTCCAGTTTAACAATTTTTACATGATTTCTTATTTACAAATCCCTAAAATATCCTAAAATTCCTTCATCTAAAAGATTTTATAAAATTTAAATTTGGTGATGAAATTTTTTTCTACATTTTTATTCTTCGAAAATTCATTCTTATTTAACAATTTTGAATTACACAGATTGTTTTTTTAATTCTTTTGTTTTACTTTTAATGCTTTTTAATAGGCCGTTTTTTAAATTAAGAAATCATATTTTTACACTTTTGTAACAATTTCAATTGCTGTATTTTGTTTTAATGTCGTTCAACTAGAAAAGGTAGTTTCTTCCTTTTTTAAAATCTAATATGGTTATTTTTAATAAAATGTGTTTTTGTTAATAATATTTCTCCTTAGTTGTTTTTAGAAATTTATTTAAAAATGTTGATTTACTTTTGATTATTTATTGAAATATTGGTAATTTTATAATATTCTTAAATTTGAACTATTTAATAAAATTGAACTTTCTGTTTAATGCATTCATTTAAAAATGACTTTCATTTATTTACTTTTATTTAAGTATTTTAAAATTTCAATATTTGATTTTTTAAATTTTTATGTAAATTTTTATTTTACTTTTTTATTTTGAAATATATATATTGCACGTTCAACATCATATAGCCTTCTCCAATGTGCTTGTGTGTGTTTTTTTTTAAATGTAGGGTATTTAAGCGGCGATCAGCAGAAGCTTACATATGTAATTGCTTCTTTTGAATTTTTTGTTTTGGTTTGGCTTAATAGCGTAAAATACTAACAGGAATTGCACAGGGCTTAGTTGGCTGTCAACTGGGCTACTTATCAGTTTTGCATATAGAAAAATATCGGATTAGGGAAGCTGAAACTGAAACTGTTGGAATGTCAGGGACGAAGCCACAATCCACCACATAAAAGATGCATTCAGAGTTATTGTTATTGTTGTTGTTATTGTGTGTCCATGACGCGTGCTCAAATATTTGACCATTTAATGAAGTAATTGCTATGCCAAGAGATAACAACACATGTAAGTAGGTATGTGAGTATGTCAGACACTTAAAGGCCTGAGAAATGCGCTTCTTCGACCAACAACAACTTGCGATAGTTGTCTGTGCCGATGGCAGCAAAAACACAATTCCGAAAATATACAAAAATAAATCCATGTATACATATGTATATTGTACATACTTACAAGCATATAAGTATAAGTACTCGCATACAGCGCATGGAGCGGTAAAGTGCCGAGGAAAACATTGAACTGACCAACAAAACTTGGCTGCATGAAACTTTTATACCCCTGCCATTAATTTGGATACTCAGCTATGTGTGTGCTTATGAGTTTGTGTATTTAGGAGCATTTAACTAAATGATGCTCACTAACTTTTCTTATGCTAAAGGTTGCAATCGAATGTAAATAGACAGGTATGTATAAAGGCAGGGAAAAAGTTTAAAGTCTTTGCATTTTGTAGTTCAAAAAGGGTTTTTTTTTACAAACTCAAAGAAAAATAATCAATAGACAGAGGTTCCTTTTTATTTGAAGATTTTTATTTAGTTGAATTAAGTTAGGCTCATCAAAATGTTGGCAAAAATATTTAATAAAATGCATACAATAAATTTTTTTAAGAACAGGAAAAGAAAATCGTTCAAAACAGTTTGTTGCTTTACAAAAGTAATCTTTTTCGTAATAAATATCTTAAAGCCCATTACGATATTGTTTATTTCACGTTGTCTATTTGGGTACACTTTGAAGAGTTTAATTAATATCGGTCGCTGTTTGCACTTAAATTAAACTATAGTAAATTAATGTGCTTAAGAATTCCGATTTAAAAACATGTCAATTATCAGTGAATAATAATAATACCGAGAGCATGTCTTAAACTGGTAACAATCATTGATGAAAAAATCATTAGATGGCCCATAAAGATATAAATAAAATAGATTTCAAAATAGATATCCCATCTCGCTGACAATGTCAAGTCTCAAAAATACCAAATTATCTTACAAAACAAAACTGTTATTCCACAAAGCACAAATTTTTACACAGACCACTCGTATGGCAGCTATATAAAATAGTGGGGCTATATTTTGTTAACAATAAACGAGCTCTGCATATAGATAGGATAAGTATACACGCCAAGTTTTAACACCCCACCTATAATGACTCGAAAGTTATCGATGCTCAGACTGACGGACAAATGCACAGTCGGACAATAGATGAAGCATGTCTGTCTAAGTTTTAACCTCAAACTGATATTATACTTGTGGATACTCGTACCTATATCATGGGACTTACAACATTTTTCTGCACCTTTGGAAATTGGAAATGATTTCCATGCAATGAGCATTATATAAATAATTTTAATTTAAAATCTTTTTATTATCAATGTGAAATGTTTTCTAATTATTATCAAATTATATAGCATATGCTATCCATATTTTATGTAGCATATAGCCGCGCCCACCTCGCTCTCTAAAAACGTCACAAGGCATATATAAATAAACAGAAAACTACTTAGCAGCTAAGGCGAAAAAATACTTAAAAATTGCTTTCCAAAGACCAAAAATAAAGGTCGAAAATAAAGCGCATATAAATAAATATGTACATAGGTGGAACGGAACAGAACATATAGAATTTATGTATTGTAGTTAATTAGGTGGTCTGCGCCAAGTTTACGCAAATTACGTGTATGTGTGTGCATGTGTGTGTGTGTGTGTGCGTGTGTATGTGTGTTTAGTATGTAAAAATGTGTTGAGTATTTATTGCTTGTTTTCAGCTGCTTCTTAAGGATTGTATAAAAATACGTGATTAGGCAGCGGCTATAAACACACACACACACACTCACACTAAGACACAATCTTTTTAATTTGTAGGTGGGTGTTACATACATGTACATTCGTAGATGTGAGTGTGTGTGTGTGTGTCATAATTTTCCATGGAAATAGCAACAACAACTTTCGCTGCTTTTGCAAGCCGCTTTCGGTTGTGGCCAAAAGGCCTTTACGTACGAGTAACAATAATAATTCGCATCGCGAACGCCGTCACTATCAGACTGTCAGTCAGTCCGTCAGCCACTCAGTCAGTCACTCTCTGCAGGTGTGTGTTAATGTGTGTGCAAATGTGTGTCCAAAACATACAAACAAATCAACTGCAGAAACTGCAGGCGACTGCAAGTAAAACGCGAGTGCGAACAAAAAAAAAACTGTGACAAACTACAATGCAATGAAAAATGGAAAATTAAAAATAAAAAAGTGAAAAGATAGAGAAATGGAAAGCCAGAAAATGTCACCGAAACTGCAGTCGTGTGTATGTGTGTGTGTGCGAGAAAATGCAATCAAATTTTAATTAAATAAAATGCATTAAAAAATATCGCCAACAAATTGGCTGCACACACAAAAGCTAATTAGCATTTAAAGTACAATTAAAAGTACATACAAAAGCCAAGCAAATAAATAAAACTTAAAACAACCAACAAAAATTGAAACGAAGAAAAAACCAAATTGAGGGAAGAGCAATAAAACGATAAAACGAGAAAACCTGCAACAATTAAATGACATTTTGCGCGTATTTTTTTTCGCCCCTTTTCCAATATTCATGTCTTGAATATTGTAGGCGCCGTCGTTGAACTGGCACGCATCTCTCGATTTCTAGAACCACAAAAAAAAACCAAAATAAAATTAAATAATAAAAAATAAAATACTCAAAAATAGATTATTAGAGACAGCAAACCGAGGCACCATTATAATGTGTTGTAACAAACCACACGAGGCCGTCGCTCATAAGAACTGCATATGCGTTTAAAAACCTACAAACATCCATACATGCGAGTATATCGCTATAAACCTATCTATACATCTAGCTTTCTATCTATCTTTCACTCACTCTGACTCTGACTGACCCGACGCGACGCGACTCGCCTCGCCTCGACTCGACTCGATGCTATGGGGTCTCGTCCATCGACAATTTTTTATTTAGTCTCCTATATGTGTATATATGTATATTCTTTTTTTATGTGAGAATTCAGCCAAAACTGCTTTGAGTATTGCGACTGTTGTTGTTGCTGTTGCTATTGCTGTTGCTGTTGCTGCTGCCATCGGGGTGTTTGTATAGAGAACGTATAGAATTGTATCGCATCCATACAGTGGCAGACGATACAAGAGTTGCAGGTGCAGCATTTATTATTTTAAAATGCACGCTTCGCAGCCATTCAAAAAATTTTTCAACTGCCCCACAGGCATGGCATAGAAATTTTCACTATGATTGAATACCCAATTCCCAACGTACCAATCATGTGGCAGCAGAATAATTCATATTGCTATATACTTAGTATGTATGTATATGACGCCGTGAACTATGGCCCTCAAAAATGTATTATTACATATTTCTTAGTTTTATTTCTACTGATAGCGGGCAAAGAAAGTGTTTAGAAAATAATCAACATTTAACAAATATAGTTTTGTTAGACGGGCAGACAATCGACAAAGATTTGTGAAGTAAAGTAAATCTTTTCAATATATTTAAAGCAAATCAAAAAGCTGCCCCAAGCTGCTGTTCCATTTAATAATAGTTGAAATTACAAATAAATGAACGAATAAATAATGATGGCACAGTACTAAGAATATAAGAAACATTAGCTTATCAGACATTTAAATGATAAATTTATAAAACAACAAAATCCCAATTATTTTTATTATTTGTTACGAATTACTGCTGATTTATACTTTCTCAAAATTGTATGTATTCACAATGTCAAAGATTTCCGAACGTTCTTAATTTTCCTTCTTCGAATCTGTACATCTGAAAATGTTCAAATATTAAGTGATTGATGTTTAATCATCATTGTTGAAATTTTCGCATTTTATATGCAAATATTTTATGAGTAATCTGCTTAATGATTCAATTCGTGCTTCTTAAGGTGACACATGAACTTATACCATTTACGAGTACATACTATATACATAAGTATTATGACTTGATGATTTAGTTGGTTGCCAATTTTGAACTCATTTACGACTTAACACATGCTTATGTTCAAAGGTATTGAATAAATTATTGACTTCTACTTCTGCTTCGATTTAAATAAAGTATGAAGATAAACTTTAAAAGTATGCATCCATATGAAAATTATATATACAACTGCGGTCAACTTTGACAACTTCATCCCACCTACGAATGGATATTTCACTAAGCAAGCCCAAATCTAAGCAGTTGAAAGTTTAATAAAAACGATGAAAATGAATAGATAATTGAGAAAACCCCATTATTTTATATTATAGCTGTCATAGTGACGATCACAGTAAGAATCACTCTTAATATGTTTATGAAGATATCTTAAAAAAATATGGCATTTATAAGTTTTGTTCAATGTTTCATAATATTTAGAAGCTTACCTCACAATAATCTGAATCATGTAGCTGGTACAAGAACGTTTATTTTAGTTAAATGGCTTTACCATTGATGGGTACAGGGTATGCAAGAATGAGGTTGGCACGATTCTAACGTAGTTATTACTCGTAGAAAAGTCGAAATAAATTTTATAAATAGCTATTGAAGAACAAGCCAGCATATCTTCAATATTCTTCTACTTTAATTGGATTGAAATAGAAAGGCAAACTATGAATGTAAAATGTAGACTCGTATTTAAAGGCAATAATTTCAAACTCGATCAACTGTTTCCACTTCTTTCCATCTATGTAATGTCAACGCATTGTACTCTTTTTATGTCCGCCACTGTAATGCTCACATGCCATGCTCTGTTCTTCAATTTGAAGATGTGAAAATGTAGAAATGAAAAACCAACAAAAACAAGAATCGAAAAATAAAAAATAAAAATTGAAAATGAAACAAAAAAAAAAAACGCGTGATCATTGCGTAAAGTTTTTCGCAGCACAACCAAAAGCAGCGGGTTCAGTTCGTTTATAGTGCGCTTACAAAACGCCGGTTGGCCGTAACGGCTGCGGAAGAACGTGGCATGTACCCGTATATTAAGTGAAGGGGGTTCCCTGCCTGTATCCCGAAGCTTCTTTCTGTATGTTTGTACGTCTGTCTGTCTGCCTCTCCTGCCAGTTGCTAGTCGACATCATAACTGCACTTGCAGCTCTTAACGCAAAGAGTGTTAAAATTCGCGGTAAAAGTGCTACGAAAAAAACACAGCGGGGTTAAGGGGGAATCCAAAAATAACAAACTTGCCGCCAGAAAAATACGGAAAAACGGGCAACCACGGTGGCAGCAGAGACAACAACGACGGCGACACGCTCTAAAGACGAACTTTAGCAATTTGGCGACGTTATTTTTGGATTAAGCAGCGCCAAATTGAGAACGACGGTAAGCAAAAAATATGCAATATATATATAAGTACAAGTATAGCATAGTATAGTTAGTATGTGTTTATGTTCAAGCAGAAAAAACTATATAAATACTATACATAATTCAATTACTCAAGCAAGTGGAAAAACTATTGCGAGTTCCGCAAAACAAACACATTTCATTAAATATTTAGCGATTCGACTAAAAACAAATGATGTTTGTTAATAATTAAAGCAAATGGGCAGCCAAATAGGCAGCCTGGCAAATATTAAGGCAAGCGTAAACCATGCACATACATGCTTAAATACATACATACAAGTATACACAGCATCAGATACATAGATGTGTATGAACATATAAATGTATTTTGTAGATTTGTGAATTATTTGGCCTCGGCGAAAATCCAGCAATATTTGCACCTGATTTCAATATGTGCCTACTTATGTATATACACACGTGTATGGAGCTATATATGTGGATATATGTATTTATATACAAACGCGTGTTTAAAGGTATATATGCATATGCATTGTCTACATATATAGTATTCTTCGGCACTGTATTGTGTTATGCGTGGCTTGGAACGCAACACAAATGAGCGCAAAAAATATTATTGCAGCACTCTCAAGCACAACCGCACTAAAAAGCAGTCGAGCTACGCTATAATTAACACTTTTTTATTAATTTAAATACGTTTAGTTGCAAGAATATTCGATCTTAAAGCTGGTAATTCCAAGGTGAGGACGGCTCCTACTTAGGGACGTTTTTCACTTGCTTTTAAGAAACTCGCTCTATAAAGCTATATGACCTAAAATCTATCTGTAAGATAAATAAATTCTTCAACATATATCCCGACTAAGTCAATTTCACATTTACCACTTCAATAAATAATTAACTTTAAAATTAGTTGCATTTTCGATAGGGACAGATAATTGATTAACTGATTAAAAATCCCGCTTTAATATAAAAATTATTAATTTAATGACCAATAGGGCTGTCATAAATGAGAGAAAGCAAATAAAATCAAATATTTGCAAAATAATACATATTTAAGCTTTCAAAGTTTTTATAAGTTTTGAAAAACATTAGAATATCTAAGTGCAATTTTTTACCTTAAATGAATTTTCCAAAATCTCCTAATTAAAGACGACAAAGTAAAAGAACTAATGGACAGCTATTTAGAGAACAATTCGGAATCTCAAGTTTACATATTAGCTCAATATTTTGTATATTAACATGATATTATTGACTTATAATTTGTACCTAAAATTCGATTCATAAAGTTTCGGAATCAATTTGGTACTTTTGCTTATGAAATTAATTGGCAATATTAATATACTCCGTTATTATTGTTACTAAAAACATTGAATTAATTATCAATTGCTATTTAGTACATTGTCCACCTTTCTAATGTGTTGTAAATTTAATTGAAACAATTATTTTTAAAATTTATCAATTTTAAAATAGTAGTAGAGGCCACTGGTGGTCGACTAGACTTATTCTTAATTATTCTTATTTTCAAATATGCATTTACACCAAAAAGGGATGAAATACTAAAAATTCAAATATTTCAATGAAGTTGATAAAGGCACAAGATTTATAAAACAACAATTTTTTTGTTAGAAAAAACAAAGAGTAAATGTTAAAAGTATTTAAAAGTTTGTATCAAGTTTGTTTGAAAATCTCTTTAATAACACAATGTAACTACATAAATATCTTTCAGAAACACATTAATAGTGAAAACTATTATTTTCAAGTTTTCTTCAAAAACATTTTAGTGATAAAGATATATGTATATGTATGATATTAGTACTCCAATTTAATTTTCCATTATATAGAGGCACACCTGTATAATTGTATATGCACTGTCTATGTGGCCGCCCACACGCACGCCCTGGCCTGGTGTGGTCGGTTCGGTTCAGCTCGGTTCGGCTCTTTTTCTGCTCTGCACTAAGTACCGCTTCAGCCATCACTCATACTTGCACACTCCTCCACACACGTAACTACACACACACACACACACATACACACAAAACAGCAGGGCAGCAACAGTCGTAGGTGTGCTCGTATGTAAAAAATTTAATTGGAACATCAAGTGCTGCTTGGTGCCTTTTGTGTGCAATTTTAATAACTTGCCATGAATAATTTATTAAATGTTGATTAATTTTTTGCGCTTCGTTGCTAAGTAGCAGAAATTGTTGCGCTCTTTTGGGCGCACTCATAATTTTTAACTCTCGAACAGCTGCAGTCTGGCATTTGGATTTGGGCATGTGGGAATGCGAATGCGACTGCAACTGCAACTCAATTAAAACGCACGAAATGCGGTCAAAAAAATTACATACACATGTTCAAATGACTGGCTAAGCATTCATGAATATATCCCTGCCAGCATTTGCAAGGCAGAAGTTTTCCTCAAAGCTCTTCCGAGTTCTTCTCTTTTGTTGCAAGGTAGCTTTTGTGTAGGTTTCACAAAACAAAAGTACCTTTGATTACATTTTTAATTATTCAAGAGCAATTTGTTTGACGAGTAACTGTTTAAGTTCCTACCCCTCACCTCACTTAATTTCCAAGCTCCGTTTTTAAATGGTGCAAATTCCTTTGTGATCACAAACTAAACAATTTTAGTTTGTAAATATTTCTGAATAACAAAATTAAAAGCATACAGTCTGAAGAATGGAGAAGAGTTAAGCAAAAGCTCAGACAGGTAAACAATTTGCAACCACATCTATCGAATGTTGTATTTCATGCAAATATCTTCAATGCAATTCTTGCTTTTTGAAACCTACTTGTAAAAATACGATAAATATATATGCAAATAATTTGCATGTGTGACCGTATTTTAGGAAAATGTTCAATAAAACAAAAATATTTTATAACTCAAGTAATTTGTGAAGGGATTTTTTTCTTTTCAGTTCTCACACGAATTCCTTAGAACTACTAATAATCTGCCCTAGCAAGTCTCTATTTGCAATTCTCGCCTTTGTTTTGTTGGTGAAAATGTTTGCATGGTTTCTGCACCTCCATTCGTCCTCCGCTGCTGACGCTGCTGTTGCTGCTGTTGGTCATAAATACAACACATATTTTTTCATAATTTTCTTTAGAGCTCTAAACATTTGGCGCTTCGTACACTAACGACAGAAGGCACACAAACCACATTATGATGTTCAGCAAGTGTGGCCATCTCAGCCATGCTTCTTCTTCGTATTATTCTTCATGTACTGCTCGTTTTTTTTTTTGTTTTTTGTTTTTGTTGCTGTTGATTTTCTGACCAAACGACAGCAGAAATGACGCAAATCTGTATAATGTTATTTGCTCACAGTTGCTAATTTTATTTGAGGTGACACACAAGGCGGGAATGTGCATGTGAGGAGCAAGCAGCCAGCCAGCCAACCAGCCAACCAGCCAACCAGCCAGCCAGCGAGCCAGCCAGAAACAGAGACAGAGAAATAGAGAGAGAGTCGTAGAAAAAAAGTCATCAAGTGAAAAGCGAGCGACGGCGATGTGGTTGTGCGTGTGTCTCTGTGGGTGTGTGTGTGTGCGTGTGGAAAATATTAGAATAGAAAAAATGAGCATATTTCAATTTGAAATATTGTTGTTGCTGTTATTCTTGTTTCTTGCATCTATTTTTAACAGAAAAAATATAACATATACAAATAATAATATTTCGGCATATTGGCAATTCGAGCATTCGAGCGCTACTCAAATTAGTTTAAAATACCATTTTAAAAGTGACAGTAGTGAGTGTCTGTTAGTTAAAGCCAAGGTGCAATCGAATAAAGCAATTTCTCGCCTATGCCATCCAAATAATAATTAACAAAAAACAATGAAAATTTCTGTTATAAATACAGAACTGTGAACGATTCGGCATAGAAGAAGCTGAAAAAAATATGATATAAATATTGTGACACAAATGTGTTGACTTCCAGTGATATAAAAAAGAATGGGTTTTATACATACATACATATGTATATGCAAAGCTACATTCATACATATATGTATTTATATACATATGTATATATTTACACATTAAAACACAATATGTGGACACGGAAATTGACGCATTCGTTGCAGCTTGCAATACATTCGCATTCATTTATTGTATCGTATTTAATTTTTAAACATGTATATGTGATTAATTTAATTAATGCTTTCTGTGTTTTTCACTTTCGCTCTTTGAGCTTTGCTGATAATATTTTTTAAATCAGTAATTACATTTCGTTTGCTGCTGAAAGATGGCTGCAGCTTATTGTGTCTGCCGAGAAAATCTCTTTTTGAAAGCATACATTTTATTAATAATAAAAATTCATATATATACGTATAATATATGCTTTTGTCGATCATTTCACAGACAATTTGCGTCACGTTTTTATCGATAATTTGTAGAATATTTTACCTATTCTTAATACTATATATAGGAAATATGTGTACGAAAATTTTGAAATTATTTGAACTTGAAAAATATTTAGTTTTTCTTATCGCTCTCAATACTGGAGCGGACTCGCAGAGTTCAGCTGCTTTAATATGGCCTTAGAAAGGACACATTTGTTGCTCAGCTTATGCTTGAAATGATAATTCAGCAGCTGGAAGTCAACATGAATAATTAATCTTGGATGTGTGGCCGTAAGGGCTGCCTGTTTAATGTCAAGACTAGATATGAAGCAGAAAATTCAACAGACTTTTATGGATTGGCCTTGGTTTGCATAAGAAATTACAAAATAGTGTCCCCAACAAACAATTCAATTAAATTGCATAGATATTTCCAATTGATTCAGTTTTTGAATAGCTCTGCAGATGTAAATTGTTGCTGCGGGCCGTTCAATTTGAATTTGTGAAATTTGTGCCGAAGCCAGACAAATTGGTATTGTAGTCAAGCAAGGCTGTCATTATTATACAAATCTTTCGTTATGCGATGAAATTGATTTTATGAATGGATAACCTCGAAAATCCCATGCCAACCTATAGCTACACAAAATGTGCCACAGAATTCCATTAATGCAGAACTATGTTAAACAAACTGGTCGTGCATGAGACTTTCATTGCAATCAGATGGTATTATTGTATTTTATACGCGTGTGTACATATGCTGGTGTGCACATATATTTTATAAACATTGCGACAACATATTCTATGCCATATTTCAATTAAATATAATTTTGCTCACAAACATACACATACTTACTAATTATATTCATTATCATTTCAGAACGAACGACGACCAACGATTAACGACTAATAATAAACTAAAATTAAGGAAATCACATCTTCTTTGAAGATAGGGGGAAATTGTATTACAACAACAAAAGCAACAACAACAAAAGCTGCAACTACGGCAACAATACATATAAACTTTTAGAGCTGCACTTATTAAACGTTAAGCGGCCCATACGAACACTTGCTGAAAGGCAAACAAGGCAAATTTTCAAATATTTTTAATCAACTATATTTTAAAAAACTTTTGAAGACACAACCGAGTAAGCCAACAAGCCAGCCAGCCAGCAAGCCAAGCCGTCAAGTGAACTCAACCAGGAGCAGCAGAAGGCAAACACAAGCGTAACCAGGACCGGCAATCAGTCTCAGCAGAGAACACAGTGAGAGAAGGAGAAAGAGAGAGAATAGTGGTAGGAGAAGCTCAAACGTAGGCAAACAAAATGGCCGCCATGCAACGCAAACTGGTGCACAAGCAATTCAACTCGCCCATGGGCCTCTATTCCCAGGAGAACGTGAAGGCAACGTTGAATCGTGAACTGAAGGCCTTCGGTGCTGAGGGGTAAGTCAATTGAAATGATTATACCAAGTACCTACATTTTAAATGTGCATAATTTTTATGAGCATTGCGTGAAAGATGAAAGGCAATAAGCGATTCCAAAATAGAAATGTAGAAACCCCCACCCCCGAAACTACGAACACTGCATGCTCTAGCAAATGTCCTTTGGGTGGCCATAATTGCTAGTTTGTTGATTCTAATTTAAATTATGCATGAAACTAAAACATGCCATAAGCACAAAGTAGCTGTGTCAAAAAGGAACATAAATTGCTTCTTTTCTATGAAAAAAGAATGGGCTTGGGCTATTTCGATATGTAATGTTCTACAGCTTAGCAATTTACAAGTGCAATTAAATTATCAGAAATATAACAGTACAAAACTTTACAACTAGATAGCAATTTCTGAGCAATTATCTAAAATAATTTACATGTAAATATTCAATGCAACGTATTAACTTTTAAATTTACAAATTGCACACAATTTTATTTTAAAAATTAGAAAAGATGTAAGAGTGGAGATTTACAATTGTAATTTTTTCAACTAAACATTTTTTGTGAGGGCTTCATAATCTAATGTCTCAAATATTATTCGTTCGAAATTTGATTTTTGAATAAACTTGAATGTCATTTTCAAATTCAAAATTTCAATTTGTTACAGTATTCGTTATATGCTTGAATATTTCGCAGATATGCTATGGCACAAATATTTGCGTTCAATTTACGAATATGAAAATCAGAAACAAAGAAAATATCACAATGCAATATTTTGTGAAAATATAAAAATTCTACACAATGCAATGACATATATACGTGTATAAGCAACAGACAGTTCTGCCAATAAATGACATTCTTATGACAAGACTTGGACAGACTCTTGGACAGCTTCTTGCGTTACAAAGTTTGAGTTAATAACACCCTTTACAGTCTTTGGCAGTGAAAGAGGCAGAATATTGAGATATTCTTAGTTTGTAAAAGTCGAAGAAAATATGTATAATAATGAAATATTTTGTTAATATGTTTACAAATGATTTATAGGTCTAATTGTGGCATCTGGGACGGACAGTATCGCCAACGAAAAGACATTTCTATGCACCTTTTTCTTGGGTAGCAAAACCTTGACATTCGCTTATAACACCCTTTGCAGAGTTATAGTTTTGGAGCTGCTGGGCGCTGATGGCCAAAGTATGTTAGTGCTGTGGCAGTCAAAGAGCAAAAAAAAAAAAAAAGACGAAAAAAAAAAGATATTAAGATATTCTAGGTGGTGAGCACAGGTGCACACAAAGGCGTGCCAATGAAAAGACATTAATATAATAGATGAGTGAGAGATGTGGCGGCGACCATCGGACTGTGGACAATGGACAGTGGGCAGTGGCCAGCGGGCAGAACAAATTTGAAGCGCACTTTGTGCATTGCAGCGCAACGGCAGCTGTTGTTGCTGTTGCTGCTGCTGCTGCTGCCGCTGCCGGCGACAACTGCTGGCAATTTGTCGCACACACACACACACACACATACATAGAGATACAATTAAAAGCACTGACGTTTAATCGTAATTAACGAAAGCTGCCTAAGTAGCGAGAAAACACTTTTATTCGCCTAGACTTTAATATACGAGTGTATGTATGTACAAGTATGTATAAGCATTTGTAGCTGTTGCTGATGTTGTCGCCACTACCGAAAAGGCAACAACAACATTATCTTGGCATTGTTATTTGCAGTTGTTGTTTAAATAAACCGGCCTAGCCCCATGATGCTCAGACGCCATAGATGTTGTCGTTGCAAACTTTAAGTAGCTTTCAGTTTTTCGTTGTCTATGCGTGCGTCAAAACGTGTGCAGCAGCAGCAGCAACAGCAACAGCAAAGTATCAGCAGCAATAGCAGCAGCAACATCTAGCAAGCAACGTAGTGCGATAAAGTTTACAATTTAATTAAAAGACATCGTGTCGAGAGAACTTGCAGGCTTGCATTCAGTAAAAAAAAAAAAAAAAAAAAACAACAAGAAAGTGGTGCCTTTGCGCGTGTGCGTGTTATATTTAATCAAATAAATTAATTCAAATAAAATTTTGACAACGTTTCGGCGCAGACAGCCTCTATCTGCCTGACTGTCTAACTGCACTCAACAGCAACAAACACAACGCCCTTAAAAATGTACGTTAAGCTCCTTATTTTATATAACTAAATACTCGTATATGTCAGCTAGCTAAGTATACATATAGTATATGTAGTATATAGAGCTGGTCGCTGACTCATACGCACACTGATCAGCAACCGCAACAACAACAACAACAATTAGTAGGATAACAACACCAGCAATGTCAACAAACACAAAGCAATCGTTCGAGCCAACAAAACACGAACAAATAAGTATAGTTGTTGAGACTATTTTCCCATTGCAGCGCCAATTGTTGCAACCTGCAGTCGCCACCGTCATGACTCATTCGGGTATTTTAATTAATTTGACAAAGCGCTGCCGAGATTTTGTGGCACGCACGGTTGGCTCTTTTGAAAATGACGTATTTGTACTGCTATTAGCAAATCACCGTTTAAATCATTTAATTAACAACGTCAGGAGGAGGAAAGAACCAAGACACGTTATCTTTGGCACAGCCAAATATTTATCCTCCACTTTAACTGATTAATGCCCATAAAAACGGACTCTGTTAGAGATAGATAATTCTCATAGGCAAACAAGTTGTTTACACAAACACTGATATGATATAACAATGTGATCTGTTGGAAGTATTTTTAAAAACCAACAAGAACTTTGTAATGTTCTGTCTTTGTAGGTCGTTTAAAATCATTTCGAAATTAAATCTTGAAGTAAAAGAGTTGGAACGTCAAGCTAGTAGACATATATATAAAGCTACAATCAATACTATTTGAAAACCTTTTAGTAATAAAAACTTTCTGCAATTGCATTTTTTCTATCAAGCCCAAAATAAGAGATTTTGTAATCGGAAGCAGACACAAAAGTGAACTGTCTAGGGCTTAGGGAAATATGGTTATCAAGTTTGGGTTTTCTAGCTCTTGATCGTACAGCCGAATAAAGATATGTACATGGGTTTATCAGATCGTCTTGTCATATTGATTTTTTACCTTTTGGGTACAGGGTATGCAAATACTATATTGTGAGATGGATTTTTTTTTAAAGAAAAATGTCAAGGTATGTAAAATAAAAGACAGTAGAGTAGTCAAATTTTTTAGGGTTTTTTAAAGCTCGATATGATTAACTCTATTACGACAGACTTTGTGCAATTAACTGATCAGGCAGAAATTTTTTGAAAAACTATTATGGTATCTCAGTATCTAGTTTTTTCAAAATTTCAAAACACCTTCATACTATTTCGGTTCAAGTGTACATTATCTGTAATGAAGGGGATATCTAGAAGAATTCTTCTCGTATTGCTAACATCAACCAAGTTGAAAGACATATTTCCATTCAGGTGCTTTTGCAAAGATTTTAATAAACAGCGCGCATAGTTAATTTCAATAAAGAATTTACATTTAGATATATACTATACAAATACTATATATATATAAATAACAACAAAGTCTAAGGTAATGTTTCAGAGCGAGTCCAGTCGGCCAATGGGTATTCGGGTGTGTTCTCTTCCTCTACACCTAATTTAGACAGTAATGTTTCATTTCGCTAATTGAGCAAGCCTTCTTGCAACACTCGTCCGCGAGTCCGCGCACACGTCTTCGGGTACCAACAAGGGAGTTACGACTATGGGGCTGCCACCAGGCGTTCTCTGTGTCCGGCAATGCCAACTCATTGCCACTTTCAATGTCATCCTCTGCCTCATCCAGATGATCCACATAATCAAATATGTCGACTGCAATAGAATAGTTTTATTTATTTATTTACTTCAAATGGGCATACGATTTGTTAAATTATCAAAAAACATGGTTAATTCCATCGTAACTTAATAATCAGAGAATTTGTGGAATAGCTACTCACGTAAATTGCTGGTTCGCTTCAAGAGTCTGTGGGAGTTAAACCTTCCGCGGCAAATCATGGTCACCGTGTCCGACAGTTGATTTCCACATATTTGTATTCGGTTGCGTTTGCTGGGTGCCGCTTCAGTAAGAATATTGTGTGGCAACAATGTGACATAGATCGTCACCAGAACCAGGAGCAATGCCAGCCTCATCGTCGATTTCTGCATCATGGTCATGTACGAGTACGTATTATCCCGTAAAACAATTTGTGCCAATGACTCGACTCCGGTGGCAAGTTGCTTGTTTACACGCTGCACAGGATTTGATGCATTGTGTGCCCGAAGCAACGGCTTTTATATCAAATTTCTATTGCGGGTGCTTGTCAAAGTCGATTAAAATTGCGAGTCATCTGGGTTTACTGGTGTGGTTCCGATGGGTCAGAGTGGGCAACACACGCACTTCACTTTTACACGTGTGGCACTTGTGGCATTCGGTGTTGCCAAGAACACAATCGATATTGTCTAATAGTGATAGACTTAATTTATGCAGGGGAGTAGGCCTAAAATACTCGAAGAGTCTGCTATCTGGTTGGAGGCTACAAGAACAAATGCCCCAATTTATTGCCGACCCAACTAATAAATGCGCAGGGGTTAAACAAAAAATGAAAGCACGTATTAAAAATTGCCAGACGCGCAGCTTAAAATAGTTAATCAATTCATTGGTAGGTGGGTGTAATTAAATTTCAATTTAAATTATGATATTTTATAAATATTTTATTGTTGGATTGTGTATCAATATTATCATTTTAGAATTATGTGCGTAAATAAGTATTACTTTTTTGTTTTGCCTGTAACATACTAGAATACTAGTTAAATTTAGTTACAATATTTTCGACCCAACTTTCTCCTCTACCCAATACGAGTATGTATGTTTCTCTATGCAGTTTGCTTGCTCAACTATCATGCAAAAATAACAACAAACATTCGAACGGTATTTGCAATGGCATTATTAGAAGTCTAAATCGGGAGTGTTTCTCTAAAAATACGCGCAGTTTCTTTCCAGTACACTCCTCAAGGCTTCTCGACTAAGTGTGTCATTAAATTTCAATTAATTAATTTTCCATTTATTCTAAATTCCTTAAACTTTTTATAACATATCTGTACTATTTTAGTCGATATTTTGAAAGAGTCCTATATATAAGGCTGCCATTTTAATTTTGAGAATAAAGCACAAAAGCAAATATATTTATTCAGAAAACTATTTTGAGAGTTAATTAAAATATATTTTTACTGAAGGTTTTTTAAAAACTCTACTGATAGTGGCATTGATTTCATTTTCACGCCAAAGGTTTCATATTTTGTATAATTATAAAATATTTTCCCCACTTTTATTATCCATAATACTCTACTAAACTCCTGTATTGATTGTTTTGAATGCTAATATTTATTTCGTACATGCGCATATTATTATTTTATATAGTTCTTAAAATAGAACATTTTTATTAGGATGCCATTATAAAATAATATATTGCTTGAACAATAAAATTGAGGATTATCTGGAAATTCTAGTCAACTTTTGTCCCTATTTTACTTTTGAAAATATTTCAATTAAGTATAAAGAATATTAAAATGTAAAATTTTTTCTTAATATTAAAACCAACGACAAACCTAAAATCAAAGCTTAGAAAAATATTCTAATTGATTGTGGAATACGAGTATAATGAATTGGTTTATTTGTTTTTTGAAGTGGATGTATATTGAAACTTAATTAAGTTCAAATTTTAATTGAATATCATTCATATTTAAGTATGTAATTGATAGTTCTTAGTTTTATTAATTGGAACAATGAATTAAATATGAAAATATTCACAAGTACTATGATTTTTTTTTTTTTTTTTTTTTTTTTGTGAGTGCTCGAGGGCTGTCATTTATATTTTCAGAATAGAGCAAAAACGCAAATTTGGTTTCTGGAAAAACATAAACTTAACGGGGCTAAGGCTTCAAAAATGATCAATACCAAGTTTAGTTGTTCTAACTCTTATACTTTTCGAGATCCTTGTGTTCCTATGGAGGGTTTTCGAGTTTTACAATTTGTCATACCCCTTCATCTCTATTATCTTTTGAGGAAGAATTCTTCTAGTATTACCAATATCATTTCAAATTAAAAGACATATTCGCAATTAAGTGATTTTGCATAGATTTTAATAAACAGCACGCATAGTTAATTTCAATACAGAATTTACATTTAGATATATACTATACGAATATATATGTAAATAACAACAAAGTCTAAGGTAATGTTTCAGAGCGAGTCCAGTCGGCCAATGGGTATTCGGGTGTGTTCTCTTCCTCTACACCTAATTTAGACAGTAATGTTTCATTTCGCTAATTGAGCAAGCCTTCTTGCAACACTCGTCCGCCAGTCCGCGCACACGTCTCCGGGTACCAACAACCGAGTTTCGACTAGGGGGCTGCCACCAGGCGTTCTCTGTGTCGGGCAATGTCAACTCATTGCCATTTTCAATGTCATCCTCTGCCTCATCCAGATGATCCACATAATCAAATATGTCGACTGCAATGAAATAGGTGTATGTCTCTATTAACTCGTATTTCAAATGGGCATATGATTGATTCTATATTGTCTTGAATTATCAAAAAAATGTTTTATCCCATCGCATCTTTATATCTTAAATGGCAAAACATTGCTATTAGGAGAAATAATATTTTAATATAATCAGAGAGTTTGTAGAATAGTTACTCACGCAAACTGCTGCTTCGCTTCGAGACTCTGTGCGAGTTAAACCTTCCTTTGCAATATAAGTTCACGGCATCCGACAGTTCAGTTCCGCACACTTGTAATCGATTGCTCTTGCTGGGTGCCGCCCCAGTAAGGATATTGTGTGGCAACAACGTGACATAGATCGTAACTAGTGCCAGCAGCAATGCCAGCCTCATCGACGATTTCTGCATCATGGTCTTGCACGAGTACGTATTATCCCGTAAAACAATTTGTGGCAAGTTGCTTGTTTGCACGCTGCACAGGATTTGATGCATTGGGTGCCCGAAGTAACAGCTTTTATATCAAATCCCTTCTGCGGGTGCATGTCAAAGTCGATTAGCATTGCGAGTCATCTGAGTTCGCTGCATTGCTTCCGATAGGTCCGAGTGGGCAGCACACGCACTTTATGGTACGCGTGGGGCACGGTTGTTGTCAAAAACACAATCCATATTGTCTAATGGTGATACATTTAATTTTTAACCACAACAACAACAGGTGCATACTCAATCTGGTTAAAGGCTACTAGAAAAATTACCAACACAACTAATGAGCCGGCGTCTTTAAAATAGTTCATTTATTCAATTTAAATCACTTTCAATACATATCTTTTAAAATATACTATATAAGCAAATTCATTTCATTTATTTTTTTTTTTTACATTATCGGACCTTCCTCCTTTTATGAAACAAAGTTTTTTTCAGTTTATTCTGAGACACATTAAATGCCATCCATAATTTTAAAATTAAAAAACATGCATATTTCTAAGAATACTCCAAAACTGTCCAACATTCATATAAATAACATTTTCAGATATCTAAACGCATTTCCAAATATTTTTGTAAGTTAAAAAAAAATTCTACTTGCTCGACCATGACAGGACTCGAACCTGCAATCTTCGGATCCGAAGTCCGACGCCTTATCCATTAGGCCACATGGTCACCTTATTAGGCGCCGACCAAGTGCAAACCACATTATTATGACAATCAAATTCATATTTACATATACATCACACACACCCACACACATACATATGTGCCCATTAAAAAAATATTAACACCTGCTTACTAACACAATTATTTGCATAAGTATGTAAAAAATATGTTTTATTCAGCTACCGCTTCGTGATATACAAATACCTTTTTTGTTCTTCGTGGCGAGTTTTCGAAACGCTTCTTTTCATTTTTATTTACAAAAATGTACTCAGTACATATTTGTTTCTTATTATTGTGCAACCTGCTCTTTACGACAATTCTAAATATTTTATAGTTTTCTTGTAGCTTCAGATCATCACTCCCATCCCTTGAACAATTTTAAAATAAACTTCGAAATGAAATGATTCGAAATGATTTTTCAAAAAGTTTGAAGTTTTCGACCGTGACAGGACTCGAACCTGCAATCTTCGGATCCGAAGTCCGACGCCTTATCCATTAGGCCACACGGTCTTGTTGCTTCATCTTGTCAAATTGCTAACTTAAGCAGTTGTGGGCACGCGCAGCAGTGCGTTTCTAAAAATAAACTATGATTGACAACTAAAACCCAGTGCTTCGTAAACTTGAGCACAGAGAATTGCGTTGGCATTTACATACACAACTGCTACAAAATATAAAAAATGTCGTCATACAAAATTCATACTAATTTTTATTTTAAATAAATTGGCATGTTCGTTATACATTGGCTAATAACTGATGTGTGTAAAACCGAAAAAAATACAAAGCGTTGGTTTCAGTAGCGCGCACTGCTTGCCAACAATAAGCAGTCGAATGTAAATATTGCAGCTGAGATACCCAAACTGTAGTGCTTCGAAAACTGTGATGTTCAAAAGCAGCCGCAACAGATATTACGGCATATAATTTCATAAATAAGTAGATACGAGTGAGTAGCTGTGTGTGTGTGTGTGTGTGTGTTTGCAAATTTATTTTTAGAACATTATTAAAATACGTTTTTTATATGGGCTTAATACACACAAGCAAAATAAACATTGCGAAACAAGAAGAAATTTTATACCAAACAAATTTTTGAATATTTAAAAAATTGCTGTGTTATTTTCGCTTCTGAATAATTAAGATAATCGCCATTCCATTTGATAATTAATTCATAAATTATAATTTCCATGTTTTTAACGTTGCAGGATCGAAGTAGACGAACAAATTTCAAAGCCATTGAACTTGGCCAACTCGGCAGTTTTGCGAGCCGTCGAGGAGGAGGAACAACAAATGAAATGCGGTGAGTAGAGGCAAATGTTTTATATATATCAGCCATAAATGTTTATGTGTGTCTCGTCCAGAATACACACGTATACACACACACACACACACACACTCAAACAGAGAGAAACCTTGTCTATGTTCAAACAGAAAAACATTCAACAAGAAACGCACAGTGTGATCGTTCAGATAAGTGTTTAAATTAATGAGAGGACAACAAAAATTATAGGTTTAATTGCAAAACACATCTCCCCAAAATAATCCCTTGACATGCAGAAGACTTTTTTCCGCGACCAAGTCGCACACGACAGCGTCAAACGAACGCTCCACCACACCATGCTCTGCATCAGCAGTTGCTCGATCAGATCAAGACACATTATCTGAGTCATCAGCAGGATGTGACAATAGATAGGGACACGGTATTGCGCATTAATCGTCTCGCCACGCGCCGCCATCTCTACAAACGCGATCACAGTTGGCCACCGGCCGACTCAGAGCCAAAGGGCACATCCTTGGAGGCGGAACATGGCACACACATTGATCCCAAGCTCTGTAGGCAGCACAGTATTGATGCGCTGCGGGAGAAGTTCAATAGTCCCACGCGAATTGTCGAACCCACGGCTCGACAGGTGCGCGAGAAGCGTCAACGGGAAGGAGCCACCCATAAGTCCATTACGCCGGAGAAAACTAGGCAGCCCGCAGAGCAGGAGGATGAGAATATACCGCCACCGTTCAATCAAACGCCTTTGGCAAAGGGATTTTCCGCGCCCGAGACAAAAGCGGCAGATGTGGACATTGGACTGGTGGCGCCAAAATGTGAATACTACGAACAGCTGGCTAAGAAGCGTCCGCCTCCCCTGCTAAGTGCCACGCCCTATCGCCCCAAGCGACAGGCCTATTCGCTGGAACGAGGCAGAGCGCGTAAGCGTGCAGTCGCAGCCACAGAGCTGCCACCGCCGAAGCCACGCAACACCACAAATGGTGGCAGTAGCAATGGCAAAGCCAAAGTGCAGCGTCGCTCCATCAAGCTGGCCACAGAGATTAAAATTAGCTACGACACGGCCAATGATGGCGACAACGAAGACGAGACCAAGGGCAGTGCTCATGTCATCGACTTGGAAGATGTGCCCCTGCCACCGACGCCAGCTGCCGACGACAGCAGAAAGTCTGCAATGGTAATTGACAAGCCTGTGGCACTTAAGCAGCAGCAGCAGCTGCCTTTAGCGGACACAGCTAGTGACCCAAAGGCGGCAAAGACAACGACGCGCATCATACCAGTCACCGTTGAGCAGTCGGGCGAGCCTAGCCAGCCACAAAATCAGCTTCAGCTAAGTGCCCAGAAGATTTACGACGACGCCTGCATCTATTTGAAATCGGTGGACCAACAGGATCAGACTGTAGCCTACATACCAGCGGCCATAACACTGATTCCATCGACCACAGTCGATGCCACAATGCCACAGGAGTTGCCAAAAGTGGATGCCAAAGATGTGCCCGCGACCTTCGTGAGTGCCACTAGCGGCATTAAGCTGCAGCGACAGCCGAGCCTGCCCAAAGGCAGAGCTCAGCCAAACATACCCACGCCACCACCCTTGCCACCGCCACCAACACCGCCAGTCACGCTTATGCGTGTCAAAAGCAGTCCCGCAACCAACGCGGAGCAACTAAATCGTCGCCAGGGCCGTTACTATGGCAGTCCGGAGCACGAGGCACACGTGGAAATTGCCCAGCTGGAGGCCAAATATGCGCACATACAGCAGTCCATAGCCGAGCATCTGAGACAAATCGACACCTACATGGAAAATGCAAAGACAGCATTAAAACGCAGCGTCCATAAAGAGCAGGAGCTGAAGGAGGAGGTTCAGACAACCACAGCACCACCACCACCGCCACCAGTGACGGCCCCATCAACCAAGCCAGCTGACAACAATAATATGTGGGATATGTTCACCTCCCGCCAATCGCCCATTCTGGCCATCGAGAGTCCTTTGCAGGCCATACTCCGTCAAATCTATTGCAGGGCAGCGACCACTAAACTGGTCGAGCCAGCACCAGAGTTGGAGCAAACGCCCAACCAGCTGGAGGAGAACGTACCCATTGTGGAGCGTGCCTTGGCCGACCTACACAATATTGCACTCGCATTGGACAGCAGCAACAGCATCCAACAGGCCCAGCCTCCCTCCCCCAAGCTGCGACGTCGCCAGCCTGACGAGCCATTGGTGTTACACGTAGTTCACAAATCGACGCCATATGCCGCCCAACCGCAGCACGTAATCATTGAGGAGGAAGCGGAAATGCCAAAGGACGCAGCAACAATTGAAATGGACGGGTGTGAGCCCAGCGCAGACTTCAAACATGTGGCGGATGTAATTGCCAACTACGAGCAACTTGCCGGACGCAAAGTCGCAGCTGACGAGTCGAAGAAGAGTCTGCCGGGGAAGAAGGAGGAGGATGCACTCATGAAGGTCGTGACACAAAATGCGAGTGCAGTGACGGACAAGGACAAGCAAAAGGTGGAGTTGCACGAATCGAAAATTGCCACAATGGAGCAGGAAAAGCAGAAAGAGGAGAAGGAGCGTCTAGAAAAGCAACAGTTGGAGAAGAAGAGGCTAGAGAGGGAACAGGTAGAAGAGAAGCAGGAGCAAGTGAAGGACCAACTGGAGAAAGAGAATCTGGAAAAGCAGCTAGAGAAACAGGAATCAGAGCAGCTGGAGAAAAAGGTGAACCAGACCTGCCAGGACCATAAGGAAGACCTTAACACCAACGCCAATTTCTGTGCAGTTTGTGGCGAGTTGCGCGCATCACCACGCAGTTGGGGCAAGCTCACCCAAGCGGATCAATGGCGCTTCGATAATCTGCACAACGAACAGCTGGAGACCTACAAAGCCACCTATGAGATACCCAGTCCGTATGTATCCCGTCAAATATCCTGGGAGGACACACAAGCGCAAGCCGATGCCACGCCAACTGCTGAGAAGAGCGAAAAATTAACGCGTCAGCGCAGCGTCATGGAAATTGTGCCCACACCCGTAATGGACAGTCTTCCACTTCCAGAAGCGCAGCCCGAAGACGCAACGAAACCGCAGCCGCAACAGCAATGGCGGCGCAGTCGCTCGCCCAGCCCACTGCCCTCGCGTCTCTATCCAGCACCACTGATTGAAACGGCACAAAGGGCCAGTTCGCCCTTCGGTCTAAACGCTGTGCAGTCAAAGCCAACCACACCCACACCAACAGTCCCGGCTGAGCCCAAATTTAGTTACGTACCACAGCTAGAGGGCCATAATATAGGCTTATTGGTGCACACCGCTACTGAACCGCTACAGATCAGCATGTCCACATCCTCGTCCATGCTGGCGGCTAGTCCTAGTGCCGCCACTCCCACTGGAGCGGGCACACCACGTTGTAATTCGCAGCCGCCTCCATTTGATTTTCTCATGCAACATGGCCTACAGCCGAGCTTAGCAACATGCTGCAGCAACATGACACAGCAACAATTCAATACGCTGGCCCAAGAGGATCAACAACAGTTGGCGCGCGACTTCAGCATTAATGTGCAGCGCTCATTTGACAATGTTTCGCCACGTCCCTATGCAGGCATTGAAGGTGCGTCCACACTCTCCCATATTCATGTCCATGTCGCACTTCTCCTCCGCCCCTGTCGCCACCTCCACCTCCACCGCCACCTCGACCTCCCTCTGCTGGCTGTGGCCGACAAAATCGCGATAATTGTCTGCAACTTGTCGCAGCTAATTTTTTGGTGTGTTTAACAAGCGTTTTCAATGTCACTTGTTGCGCCCCATCATCCAAATATATATACTTGTACATATATATTTATATATGTATATACGTTTAAATATGTTTGTATTTTCATCTGTAAAATGTGAACTAATCATTTTAATGAGCCAAATTTTGCGCTACACCTGTGAACATACGTTCAAAACAAATCTCTTTTACTTGCCCGAACAACTGACAGGCGTTTAAATTTTTCTACATTGTTACAAACATGCAATGTACATGCATTATTAAGTACAGTGAAGACTCTCATTAGCGAATGCTGCAAATATAAATAGATCAAAGCGAATTTAAATAACTGTGAAGCTAAACATGATTTAACCATTATATACTATATTTATTTAAAGCAAATAATTTATTTACAATATTATACAGAATGGAAAAACGTTTATTTAATTAGGGAAAGGGAGAAAATGGATTGTTTCGAATAACAGGTTGCATCAAATAACTGGAACTTAAATTACGTTTTATATTTATAGCTAAATAAAAATAAATCCTATAGAAATCCAAAGTATAGTGTAAATATTTTACGTTGTAGGAATATTTTAAATTCTGAGCCTTATTATCATTATTATTAATTTTTATTTTATTTTCAAAAGTTGATTTGAATTCCTTTTTAACGACTAGAAGAAGGGAAAAGTATCATAATCTTCTCATAACCATTATTTATTTTGTATTTTAAAAGAGAAACTTATTTATTATTATTTTAAAAAGAAAGAAAACATTTTTTTTATATAAATGAAAACTAAAGGCTTATGGGAAAAGAAAATAATCTTAATCGAAATTTCAATTATATTTTATAGCAATTAAGCTTTTAGGAGTACTTATGTACTTGCTTACAAAGTTATCAAATCATTACTTTTTAATCTAGCACCCTTTAATTTATTGCTTAGACTTGTGAAGAGATATAAGCTAAGATGCTCGCAGTCCTAGAATGTCAGTGCTTGGAAAGTTTTTGTCTGGCATATCTTTCCACAGAATGTTAGCTTGAAAGTGTAGTCTCTGATTAGACTTAAATTATGGATATATCCACCCGCGTACTTTGTTTGAGTAATCCGATACATTTTTAATTACCAAAGTATCAAGAATTTTTTAATATTAATTCTTCCACATTTAAAGCAAATTATTGGAACGATCTTAAACTATTCATAAGTGAATACATAAGCATATGCAGAATTGCAAAGTTTCTCATATGAATTATAAAGGGAAGATATAGATATCTCCAAAACAAGTATGTTATCCTCTACATATGCTATGATATTTCCATCCTCTACTCCCCAGCTGAAATATTACAAAAAGGTTCACTAAATGTCCAGATTCGAGTACATGTTTTCGTTGTTTCCAATCCAGGAAATGTTTCACCTTTAATTCAATAATATTAGGGAAATAATTGAAAAATAATTAATAAATAAAATGAATATTGAGCTCATAAATGTAATTTGGAAACCAAATCGTTAATACACTCCAAATCATTTCGAAAATTATGATAAAAACTGGACTAGGCTGGTAACATGTTGAATCATTAGGAAAATCAAATTGAGAAACGCCCAGAAATTCAACAAAACTTGACATCTAACAGGCAAAATCATTTGCAAAAAGTCAGAAAAGAAATATTTTTATAGCTTGCGCGATGATTAAAATAATTTGTGCCATCCATAAAACGAAAAACAATAAACGGAAAGATTTCAAATTTAAATACAAACTCAATGAAATTGATTGAGTAATTCCTTTCAAAGCAACGCTTTATAAATGCTTCATAACTTATCTATTTAAATCAACAAATCAAATAGATAAAGGCATTTCAAATCCCTTTAAGAGACCCTTAAAGTTGTTTTTGTAAAATTTCTCAAGCTCTCTGCAGTTCATTCATACTTGTAGAGCTATGTATGTACCACTGTAAGCCATTATTATATGGCTTGGCTATGACTTGGCAGTCGGGATGACAAATGTTGACATCATGGGCCGCCCATTCATTTTAGTTACCACAATCATACATGTATGTACTTATATTTGCATGGTACTTAATAAATCGGGAATCTGTGAATAAGTAGAAGTCGAAGAAAAATCAGCATTGCTAAGCAATTTATTTTTAAATCATTTTTAATCAGCGCTTGCCTGCGCAAATATGCCAGATATTTTGTGGGATTTGCTTCTTTTGCGATATATTCTTACCCATTTTATTTTATTTTATTTTTTTTTTTTGCAAAAATATATTCACAGCTATAGGTATATGCTAATACACATATATATAGAGAGCAGACAGCGCACACCTTGAGCGCTGCTGGCAGACCAAAACGGTAACAAACATTTAGATATATAGACATACAGATACAGATTTCAAGGTGCCGTGCCGCACAAATCAAAATCGAAGGTGTAAACAATGCAACCGACAGCGCCCTAACGGTTGAGCATCATTAGCAACAAATTGAATTCGAATGTGAATTTCAATTGTTGTTGTGAGTGGATATAGTACAAGTAATACACACACACATACACATACATATATACATGCGAATTTGTTGCTCAACATAGGCACACACACACACACATATACACCCACATGAATGAAAATATCATGTATACGTATGTGGCTCAAATTTAGCAGCACACACAATAATTTCCTTCTGCATTTTCCGAGCTTTTCACTTAGTAGCATACAACGAAAGCAAAAACATATCGCGCGGCAACGCGCAAAACGATTTAAATATACAATTAGAGAAAAGTTTATACCACAAAATTTTTGTCAACGATCAATTCGAATAAAATAAAAATAAAAAACAAAACGAAACGCGCGCACAACACAACAGAAGAGAAAAAACCAACAAAAAATTGCAAAAAAAAATTGATATTACGTTTAAAAAAATTTAGGCAACGAAATTATTCATTTTGAATGAAAACTACCTGGCCCCAAAAAGTCAATCAATTTAATTAATTAAAACGCGTTATATAACGTTTTGTGCGGCGCCAGCAAGCAAAGAAATTCGAAATTTCGAAATATAAATTGCTGCAAAGCAAACGATTTGATTTTTTATTAAACCATCGTACATATATTTGGAAGCAACAACAAAAACTAGAAGCATATTTTTGTGTTTTTTTTTCAACGAATCTTATTTTCACGCGCACCACCATCATAAATAGCCCGCAGCTACAGAGCTACTCGTATAGAAAACAAATTTATAGACCAAAAACAAACACACACGCACATAAAAACAATTTATAAAAATAAAATAATAATAATATTAAAAAATGGGTGCACAGTGGAAAGTCATTAACGAAAATTATAAAAATTTGGAGGGTAAAGAGCAAAAACAAAGAAACACAATATTCAAATCACAAGACATAGCAACAAATGTGGCCAACAAGTGCAAGATGCAAAGTCTGTACACAACATCTGTGGGCAACATCGGTTGGCAACATCTGCGGGCAACATGAAGCAGCAGCCGAAGCAACACTCATGCCACCCACACACAAAGTTTTGTGCACACAGAGCGTATGAGTAACATAGTTGTTAAAATCTTTGGTCTCGTCTTCTCTGTCACTGCCGATGATGTTGTCGCTGCAGATTCTTTTTTGATTTTAAATTTGATTCGTCTTCTAATTTTAGACACAATGACAGTGTATGACCAGCGTATGATTTGCAAATCGAAATAACGCTCGCTCCTCACTCTACATGTACACTTGCCACTTGGCCCGTATAACGGGGAAGGAGTGGGAGAGTGGAGGCGAAGAGTGTCTGCTTAATAAATAGCCGACACATATTGTGTATATTGTGCATTTTTAATTGGCTTAAATCATTTTCAAATTGTTTGTCTCGCAATAATACGTGCAAATGTACAGGGGCTGCTCGATAAATACTCGTGATGGGCAACTCAATTGAATTCTTTAATTGGTGGAAGGACTTAAATTAAAATGAATGCTTTCGCATTCTTCAATAAATGCACACTTATTTTTGCCTTTCACTGAAGTAATATTTTAATTATATATTTATATTGCCAAAATTTACATAGAAATATCATGATTAGTATGAAGAGAAGTATGAAGATAAACCACATATTTCAAAACTTAAAGCAGTAATAAAAAATATTGAAGCTTAAATTAAGACTAAATTTAAATGTTATTAGTATTCCGTATGAAGATTTGTTAGTTAGTTTTATTTTCAGATAATTATAAACCACATATTTAAAAGAATTGGCAAAACTTTAGCTGCTTTTTTTTACTCTCTCTCTCTCTCTCTCTCTCTCTCTTTGGGTAAAAAGCTGTGAAATTATTTATCTTTAAGGTCAAATTCAATCTATATTGACTTGTAATACATATAATCTCTGATAAGTAAAGAGTATTCAATAGAAGAAAGCTCTTCAAAGTGAAGTCAAGAATTTAGCCAACCTTGACATAGGACGTATAAATAAAGTTGCAAGATAAGTATCTGACAGAGCGGATGCAGGAAGATTTTCTTCTTCACCGGAATGTAACAGCTTCTTTTGAAGTCGTTTGCCCAGTTTTGGTTCCTATAACCTTCTGAAAAATCGTTATTTAACTGAGTTGACAATAGTATAATGCTTTATAGCCAGGTCAAATTTCGGTTGAAATTTCTCCTCTAATTATTCTCCCACTTTTCGCTGAGTGTACTTTATGAGGTCACCTACCTAAATAGTACGTGTACTTATCATACCAACCTCTCTGTGTCTTAATTATTTTTGTTGGCCTCTTTATTCCTATGTGTATGTATGTGGGTTTTGAAGGCCAAAGTAACGCCCACGAAGGCGCGCGTGTTGCATTTGCATTTTGTTGAATGTTTTTTGCCAATGTTTGACGTGGTCTACAACAACAACTACTCGTACAAGAACAATAATATGCTAATGATGTTATTTAATTCACCTGACAGGTTATAAGCGTGTTGCCTGGCCACCAGCGTCAGAGGAGCGTATTGTACGCGAATTTACGCCGCAGCCACAGGCGCAAAGTCCAGCGCCCGGAGTTGGTGGCTACTACCCCCAACAACAACCACTGCAACAACAACAACAACAACAACAGCAGCCAGCAGCAACCGCTCAACAACCTCAAGCTGCGCCAGCACAGGTAATTCGAAAATGTCGCGAAATTTCTTTCCGATACATGTATTTATAAATACTATATAAGAATTTAGTGAACTTAAAACTCAATTTGATTTTTGTGCATATAGCTAAGTAAGTGTATAAAGTGTAAATATATGTTATACCGCTACATGCTGTACATAGTACCTCAATATATATGTGTAACAAACGAACAAACAAACATACATTTGTACATACAGACACTTTCACATAACCCTTACCACTTCACACCCATTTACAGGGCCCCATCTATAACAATGTTCAAGCTCGACCAAATCCCATACAGCAACAACCAAACTATCAATCCACAAACAATGTTTATGGTCAACCAAGCACTAACTATCCTTCAAATGGTTATGGTCAAGCACCACAACAACTACCACAACAACCACAACAACCACAGCAACCACAACAATATCAAGCCCCAGTCCAAGCTAATAATCCAAATCAACAACCCATACAGTATACACAGGCCCAGTACAATAGACAACCATCAAGGGAGCCTGTGAATCAGCCATACCAGCAGCATCAGCAGCAGCAGCCGCAATATCAGCCGAGCTATGCACCCCAGCAACAGCAACAACAACCACTACAACCAGAACCACCTCAGCCAACTCATGCTGTGGATAATGTAGGCGGCGGTTGGAAACATATTGGTGCCCCTCTGCCCAAGGCTCACACCGATTTCAGGGCGGGTGGTGCCAATCCACAAGCATATCCAAACTATCACCAACAACAACAACAACAACCACCGTATCAACAGCAGGTACTGCATATGTTTGGCACTTTGGAAGCGCGTACTCTGCCTCTCAGCTTAGCAACAGCAACAGCGCTCTCTCGCTCTGTACTACATACATACGTCTATATCTATCTATCAACTGTGACCGCGTTAGATTGGCTTTTAGATTGGCAATTGATTGGCCGAGTTGCGAATTCAGTTCATCAACAATCGCTGCTGCTGTTTATGTCTATCTGTTATACACTCTGAGCTGAACTTGAATCCCCCGTCCCTTATCAGCAACTAACAACTAAAAGCTGTGTACTAATTAAAATAAATATTAATGAGACTATGGCAGACTAACAATTCGTAAATTTAGAACTTGAATAATACTCGCTGACTTTCTTATCTGCAAATACTGATCAGTGATCAAAGCTTTTACAAATACTCGTGCTGTGATATGTGATCACAATTAGGGTGATATTTTCATATTTAATTCTTAATTCTTGTGTCCGATCATCCGATCTGTGGGGTCATCTAAAATTATTAAATTGATGCCGCTGATCAATGATCCAAAAATAGTTCGATATCTAACTACCTTTGTTGGAATAGAACATACAATTTAAATTTGATAATTCAATTTACATATCCGTGATAAAAGATTTTAATAGATTTAATAGTCTGGCATATTTCTAAAGATATAAAAATGAAATCTACATGTTCAGATCAGATCTCAAAACCTGATCTGCTGCCTTCTCAATTGAAGTTTATTGAACCAATCTTCCCTTCGAGGTATAAACTGTGCCAAATGATCGTACAGCTTAAACATGTGAGAATTTGTAGTTATCGATAATGTAAAGACTGGAGTACTTAGCATTAAAAATACATATTACTGAATTTCTGCAAACATTTTAAAATTCATAGACAAAGAGTACTACTACGTGCTGTGGTTTTAATAAAGCTTTGAGTTTATTTAATATATAAATGTGACCAGTATAAGTTTCTAAATTACATATTGGCTTTAGTTTGTAATTGATTTTAAAATAAAATACTTAAAATTGCTTTTTAATATCAATTAAAAAATGTAACTAAAAAAATTTTAAAGAAAAAAATATAAATGAGCATATTTCTAATTACAAACAATAATTAGAATAATATAATAAATATGTGATTATTAAAAGGCCTTTAGTTATAGTCAATTAATTTATTAAACTTTTTTAAGGCTTTCATCCCATGCTTTTGTTCGATTGCTTACCTCATCAACTCCAACTCGTTATAATTATTAAGTAAATACCTACGATTAGTCCTTATTACACTTTTTACATTTTGCTTATAAGCTTACTACTAATTCCGATCTTTGGGCTGCCATTAACATCAGCTTTTCTCCGCTCTGCTTATTCTCTAAACATTTCAGTTGTAAACTGCGACGCTGCTTTGAGCAAAAATCAAAATTCGCCATTGCCTAACTAACAAGTCAAAGACTAGTTTCTATGCCTAACTGTACTATTGTCTTATCTGTCTATCTCTCTATCTGTCTACTTTCTACATACCACCCACACGTACTGTGTTCTGTGTTGTTTTTATACCCATCCATCAACACCAAACCAACAATCAACCACCAACAACAACCAACCACCCATAACCTGTAATTTGGCACCTGAAAAATCATCACGTATTGCATGAATTTTGCACGGCGCACCAAAAGCCACAGCAGCAACAACAACCACAGCAGCAATATGGTGCGCCCATTTATGATAACTACAATCAGCAACAACAACAACAACAACCACAACAGCCTGGAGCACCCTATCAGCAACAGTGGCAACAGCCACAACAGCAAAATCAGGCACCCTATCAGGCGCCACAGCAGCAGTGGCAACAACCGCAACAACAACTGCAGCAGCAGCCACCGGCGCCACAGTGGTCGCAGCAGCAACAACAACCACCTTATCAGCAACAACAGCAACAACAACAATACCCACAGCAAAATGGAGTTGGCCAAACTTATGCTCAACCACCATATAATTCTTATTCGCAGCCCCAGCAACAACAACAACAACAGCCACAGCCACAGCAGCCCTACTCCCAGGATCAAACCGATCAGTATCAGCCAGCAACGGGCCCTGGTAGCTATCGTGGCGCCAGTCCTGGCATTATAACGCTGCGCAAGGAGGCACCCGTGAGCCAACAACCAGCGCCAGTTTACACTTCGCAGCCAGCAGCCGTTAGTTATCAAGGTAAGCCATTATTATTATTACTTTTAAAAAATATCACACTTTTTCAGAATTAAGCTGACCTTATTATTAAAGTATTATTAGCCTGTGGCTAATCTGGCTAGCTGGGAAAACTAAATGTAAATTATATTCATCCAGTTGGCAGATAGATAGTCGTATTATCTTCTAATACATTCAATTTGGTTGGCTTTTCTATATTTAACAACCTAAATTCTAAACAGAGATAACTGTGTAGATCTGAAATATTTTCTCACTTGTTTTCTCAGACTTCCAACTGTTTACTAATTAAGATCACCTTTTCAACAGTGTTTTCATAATTGCGTTTATGTATTCTTCATATTAAAGCTCCCATGACTTATCAGTTTTCAACTTTATCTGTTCAAGAATTCTAAATTATTATTTATTATATTATATAAAATGTCAACCAAAATTAATTTTCTACGCATTTTGATTACTATTATCAAAAAGACAAATTTTCAACCTCTACAAAATATTCCATTAATAATACTTGGTTTGTAATTCGTTTCTGTTCTAATTTAAAACCATTGTTGATATTTCTTATTGTTACTAATACAAATAGTTTAGAAACAATCTCAAAAATACATTTTTTAAATTGCAAATCTATTCAATAGGAATTTTTTTAATATAATATTAAATTTTGTTTTGAATATAAAAAATAATTCGAGAAATTTATATCTTTGAAGATTCAGTTATATTTCTGCTGAATTAAAAATATGTTTTTGTTTACTCCTACATATAGTACAAATATAACTTATTTATTTTTTTCAATGAGTTAGATAGATGTATACCTTTCCATTCGTTGGTTATTAAAAAGGTTCCCAAGGATCACTCGAAGGAGCTACAAAGCTTCTTTACAGCTACATTTGCTTGACTTGTGGAAAGGAATAGCAACTTTTTCGTAATAGGTGTACGAGAAAAGATAGCAGTGGCCCCCAATATCGATTTGAAACATTTTATTACAATTTCTACTATATACTATATATCCTTCCATCAATCTTTGCAGGAGGCAGTAAATTGCGCGGAGATTTGAAATGGCCACCACCGGAGTACAAGGAGGCCGCTGCACGCGAAAACGAGGAACGTCGCCAATTGGCGTTGGGCCCCGTTTGCCGTCCACGTAAGGTGAATCGAGTAAGTGTTCCTAAGACAATCAAATTATATATAAATATATACTATTGAGTAATCATTTGAATCGTTCTAGGACTACACATCTTTCTTTGCCAAGCACCAACTGAACAACGCCTATCCAAGCTATAAGGTGCCACCAGGCACTCAACACATGTTGGCCTAAAGCTGTTGACGATTATGGACTTTTTTTTTGGCTACAAATCCGGATGTAGCGAAGCAGATGAAGAAAACAAAAAGGATTTAGAAAATATTTCAATGGAACCCACTTCATAGAGAGCATTACATTAAATAACGAATTATGTGTTACTAAAACGACAACTAACGAAACTTTATGCTATATATCTGTTAACAAATTGTTACTTATGACTAACGAAGCTACTACAAGTATATATAACTACGAAACGAATATGAGCGCAAAAAGTGCCTCTTAGTTTAAAGAATCGGTGGTTCCCATGCCGCTATCCGAACCTATAATTAATGTGCGCCCCAAGTCCGACTAAACTCAAAAACTGAGCGGCCACATTGAGGATAATGCCGACAGCGACACGGGAACTCCATGTTGAGAAGGATTTATAGAAAGAAACTATAAACAATCGGTCTTAGAGATTAAGCAAGCCATAAGCAAGCCAGCAAATATAATTACGTGTTATATATATCTATACTATATTGGAGCATATGCATATATATAGTATAAAATGTTTATATATATATATATTTTAGCGACTTACTAATTTATATAGCGACGATACCTAGCAAATGAAATGGACATGAAACGGACTTAATTCTAATGGAAAATGAAAAACGAAAGTTCAATTTGTAATTTTTTTCTTTAAACTAACACAATTTTTAAATATTAATATATATTTTATTGTGAAAAGCAAGTTCGAGCAGTCCCGTATGCTCTCAGCACTCATGGAGGCCTTCAACTATGTGCCAGCCAATAAATAATAATTGTAAATTGAATTGATAAGGCCCGGCCATAGTTCAAGTGCTGGCCATATCTCACGTGCCGATTGTTATGCGCGCTGCTGAAAACGCTTCCAAGATTTATTGTTTAACGTTTTGAGTTTGCATGAAATATTTCTTTATATACATACATATTATTAACCAAGCAGATGATATAAAAAAATGTCAATTAACCGTTAAGTAAGTTATACATATATACGATTTACGAATAGTTTTGTCAGTGGGCTAGCAATCCATGTATATAAAATATAATAATCTCAATTCGACTGTGTGACGACGCAAAAAAAAAAAATTAAAACGCTCCAAAAGCGCGCATCGCAATTCGCCAATTGCAATGAGGTGTTATTTATAAAATGGTTGACTGCAACAACAACAACAACAACACCATTAATTGCAATAACAACCTTTGTAAATAGACCTCAGCAATAAATAATAATATGAGGATGCCTTTGTTTATTGCCTTTGTGCAATGCGCGAGTTTTGTGCGCGCGTTTTGCGCGCGTCTTTTGTCGCTCGAAACACAACCCAAATCAAACAAACACTCGGACTTGACACAAATCAAAAATGCGCCCAGCTAGAACAAAACCTATAAACTGTATTGTGTTATATACATATACAATTATATATATTATAACCAAAACAATCAATCATGTACGACAACTATGAAAAACTAAATAATTAAACAAAAATAAATGGCAAGTTTTTGAATACTCGCAACGAGAAGAAAATCCACATTGTAGTTTGAATTAATTTGCACATCTTACAGTTAATATTTAATATATAGCAGCTTATGTCAGAAATCTTGATATGTGAAATGGTCTAATTCATAAGCTGTTGTTGGGGGAGATAAAGAGCGGCATATGGTATTCAGAAATCGTGTTGACACATTGTCGTGGCATTTTTTGCTTATTCTTTGTTTTTTTTAGAATACCCGCAGCGAAAAGAAACCCAACACTTATTGTTTGATTTGTTTTGCAAATTTTTGCAGTTAGCATTTGTTTTATTCAAATTCTCATAATAATTGCTAAAAACTATGTTGTTCACACAATAATAGTAATAATAATGGTATAATAAATAACTAAAAATAAGGCAAAAGTAATTATTAAATTTTTTCGTCATCAATTACAACAAATTTTTGAAGTTGCCGTTGAAGACGGAGAGCTTTATATTTAATTTTTACATTTTTGTGGCACTTTTTGTTTATTATTCTTTCTGTGTTGTGTTGAAAATTAAATGCGTTACGCTTGGGCTCAAAACTTTATGGGTTTGTATTGTACAAGGCGTAAATTTAAAAAAATGTTTACTTTATGTACGCTACACATTTGAGTTTTGTTTTTTGTGTTTAATGTAATATTCATGTATCTATCGTGCACAGTTGTTAAAATTGCATTTTGTAACTAGAATTTCAGTTATTTTATTATTACTTTAGTTATGTATATGCTGGCGTTAACAATTAAGAACAGTTTTGGAACGGCAGCCACTAATTTCCACTCGAAATCAATTATCATTATCATCTTCAACACATTTGTTACAATTCACAACATCACTGCCAGCCTGAGCGCCTTTCTCATATGCCTATTATTGTTAATGTCTCCCTGACATGGCTCTTAGTTATGAGATTGTTCAACATCCATATTGCTGCCGGTGCTACTTGTTGATTTTTTTGTCGTTTTTTGGCTTGAACTGCTGGCAAAGCAGGCGGTTGCAGTTGTTGCAGTGCCGGTAGCGGCGGCCACAGCTGCAGCAGCATCTTGCGCCACACTCCTGGTCGCACAACCACTGGTGCTGGCGCCTGCCGCGTCATCACCATCATCGTCATCCTCTTCCTGTATGAGCTTGCGAGCCAATTTCACGGCCTCAAATTCCCGGTAATGTGCTTTACGGCGTCGCTCGAACTCACGACGTCTTTCTGCAATGTTTACAGTAGATTTAATATACATATTCGATTTGATATGCTTCAGACTTACGTCGTTCCTCTTCGCTTACGGGCGTGTCATCGCCGGAAGAACCTTCATCTACGCTTTGGGAAGACTGTTGGGAGGTAGCCGCTATACGTAACCTTTAAGTATAATTAAAGATAATTAGAAATCTCGGATCACTTTCATTTTTATTAAGTGCCATACTTTTCCACTAATAATTCCGTGTCCAGCTCGTCTCTGTTCTCACCGTATTGCTCCGAATAGTTATATGGCGTTTTCGGCTCATCGATTTTCATGTGTCCGTAATCCTTGTCAGCCGGATGAAACGTCTGTAAAACGTTCAGTTCATCGAATTTGGCGCTTTTGCGAAAACTATTCAAAAATGGAACGGATTAACACCAATTTGTCGAAAAGGTCAAAGTTGAATGCTCGCATTAGCACTCACCTGGCGCCGGACTTATCGAAACTGCTGGAAGTCTTTAAAATGCCCTTGCAGGGCAGCTGTGGACTGGGATTGTTTTGCATGGCTATTCAGTGGCGTTACCTGTTAGGCAAACAAAACAAAACAACAAAAATATAATTATAATTTCAGATATTTGCATAGTGACGTCAAAATGACTGAGCTATGAATCACGAGACCGTGTCAGTGGTAAATAAAAAAATACGCGCAGCATTAAGTCTAGAATATTTCCAACAGATACAATGGCCATTGCAGCTACAACAAGAACAACAACACAACAACAACATCTACACTTACGACACCTTTCTGCGGTTACCGTGCCCTTGGGGGGGGGTCGCCACCCACTGCGCACCTCGCACGCCACCCACCCACACAGTCAAACAGACAAATAGCCGGACTAAAACCTATGGTTGTCGTTGTTGTTTTTCGTCGCCGCCCTTGCCAAACTTATGCTATTGCTTGTCTCTTGCAGCCTTCTCCTTTTACACTACTTACTTGGTATGCGCGTTTTAACTGCACTGTTGCTATTGCGGCTGCTGTTCTTGTTCTCCTCTCCACGCTGCGGCAATATTTATACGCCTTCAAATCTCGCAAAAAGTATAAAAGGTTGAATGCCGAAACTATGCAGCGCGAATTTATGCAAAGATTACGTGCTTAAAATTTGGAAACGTCAAATTTTGTTAAGAACTTAACGAGCATAATTTATTTAATTTATTTTTATAGATTTTGCTTGAAATTTCGCACCTGAAACAGTTAACATCTATTAAAATAAAGAGGTGAGTAATATTTATGTACCTGTTACTTTGTCACGTGTAGTGCTCGCACACATATCGAATAACATTCGTCTTTCTTATAATCATCATTATTGCCATCGATATCGAACCAATAGCTAGGTAGAATTTGCCTTTACACATTTTTAAAACAATTTATTAAAGAATTAATGATTTAAAAGTCTGCTCTATATATTTGTTTGTTTCTTAAAACATTCAAAAAAATTGTAAAGAGTGCAAAACGATTGTTTAGTTTATCATTATCATTGGTAGGCGATGAATAATCATAGTAATTGCTGACAATAATTGTTAAACTGACCAACCTTTTATTTCTTCAATGCATTTATTAAATTACAAAATTCTGAATTTACCGCATAATTCCCACGATAAATATGTTATCGTTTTTTGCGGGGTGGCAGCCTCACTCGTGTTTCTAGTAATCTATGTCAGCACTATTTATTGCAAATACAAAGCTTGGCAAGTTTGCAAAGGAACGGAGAAGGCAGAGGCGCTTCTAGTTGATAATTTTTAAACAAATTTCAGTGACAACAAACAAATTTATTACAAATACAGTGTGCTAAAACAATAACAGTTTTGTGTGGAGCGAAGCGCATAAGACAACACAATGTTGAATGGTTAGCAATATTACACAAACAATGTGCATACATACGCAAAACTCTTTTGTTCTTGTTGGTGGCTATAATTTTTATCATGTGCAGCATTAATCACCTTCCTTTCATATATCTCATATCGTGCTTGGTAGCTAAATTAGCCCCACTATCGATTTACTGTGCGTTATAAAGGGGGAAAACACGTAAGAAATTCGTAGCGGTAAGAGAGGAATATACTCGTAAACGAATACGACACGCCATCAGAGCAGTGAGCGCCCAACTGGCATCTCATATATGTATGTACATACATAGTACATATATAGGAACTAAGCATATGTATATAGTATGTGCATATAGCATGTAATCACTTGATCTTATTTCTAGAATGTGAATTTGTTGTTGAGTCATGATTGGTCCGTTTAACGTTCACTGATGCGGGGTCCAAAGCTTTTGCAAATACCGGCGCAAAATGTATCTCCGTGTGTTTGTATCAGTCGGATGTTGTTATTGATTTTCTTTCCATTTTGCTGCACTGCGCGTGCTCTTACACTGATAACAAGCGCGCAATTAGCATACCAAAAACTATTTTAATACCCACTATATAAGTACTATTAATATTCTCTTGTACTTCGCGCCAGGTTCATCATCACGCACATAAAAAAAACAAATGAAAACATTAACAGGTCACAACACACACATTAACATAAAAATTTGCCCTCTCACAAAACATAAACTAAGCAAGCAAGCAAGTTACAAAGTTCAAAGCAGCATCTTTAGAAAAAATCAGCAGAACTCATCATCATCGACGTCATCAACAAGTCAACAAAATTAGGAATGTCGTGGATGGCATTTGGAGCGCTCGCATCAGGCCTGGGTATAGACTAAACTCTATTGAAACAATTTCCAATGTTTTGATGTCCCTGTAGCTTTGTAGCTTGTTGTTGTTCATTGTGGTGCTGTGTGATTTATTATGCATTACTCATATTTATTTTCATCTAATCTGCAGTACTTCAGCGTCTGCTTGGCGGGGACTATCCACCCAATAAGGTTGTAGAAATAAAAAGCGAATCGCTGGGAACGTTGCAGGTCTTGGCACGCGATGATGCTATGGTCCTGTTTGCACCGCCCTATAATACCAACGATAAGCGCTCCAATTATGAAATTGTATTGCAACGTCCCACATCAGACTCAAATACCACATCCTTTAGTCTATATCGCTCGCCTGTGCAGCAAGAGGCGGAAGATAAGTTCAATGCGTTTATGCAACGTTTGCCCGTCTTTGTCAGCATTGTCAAGGAGGTGAGTCATAGGTTGGATAATTATTCAAAACACACCCTTACCTTTTTCACCTTTCGCAGTACTATAATGTCAATGGCCTGCAAAAGGTTTGCGACGCACTATCGGAGAATCCGTCATGGTCGCTGACTCATCTGATTGCCTTTTTCAATTTGGTTGACTACATAAGCAATCCGAAGGTCTTGCAATGCGTCGATCATGCCGATCACACTAGTCTCATGTCGCCATTTCAGTTGGCCATCAAACAGAGCCATATTGAAATGGTAAAGGTACTGTTGCCCCTCTGCAAAATCGAGCATTTGGATATTAACAGCAACTCCGTGTTTCATTATGCTGCCAGCACCACCAAAGAAATAATAAATGTAAGTTTTAGAACGGGAAACGTAGCTTAAAACAAATATTTTTATATTATTTATATTCGCTCTTTGTAGCTTCTCACTGAAAAATCAACAGTCAATTTAAACCATTTGAATTCGGATGGCTATACACCGCTCCACTTGGCCTGTGTCTCAGACAAGCCGGATTGCGTTAAGGCTTTGTTGCTGGCCGGCGCCGATGTTAATTTAAATGCCAAGAATATCAGCAAATTGTACAAAACCTCCACACCCACATCTGTGGCTTCCTTTTTGCGCACCAATGCGAGCAAACTCTACACACAGGATATGAAATATGGCGGCACACCCCTCCACTGGTGCTCCTCCCGCGAAACATTGCACGCTCTGATCATGGAGGGCTGTGATGTGAACGCCACAAACTTTGATGGACGCACCGCTCTGCATGTGATGGTGGCACGCAATCGCTTCGAATGCGTCGTCACTTTGCTTGCCCACGATGCCGATATCGATGTGTTGGATAATGAGGGAAATTCTGCTTTACATATTGCAATTGAAAAGAAACTAGTGCCCATTGTACAATGCCTGGTGGTGTTTGGATGTGACATCAATTTGAAGAACAAAGATGGCAAGACGCCTCGTCATATGGTGGGCACCGAAACAAGCGACAATAAAGAAGATGAAATACTTTACATATTGCATTCGGTCGGTGCCAAACGCTGTTCCGATTCCAGCTCCAAATGTCCACCTGGCTGCCATGCCAAAGGCACATACAACGGCATACCACCGGAGCCGACAGAATATGTCGAGCAACGCGAACATATTGAAAACATGTTGGCCTCCACCAGTCGACAAATGGTGGGTGGCTTTTTGGGCGCTGCGGCCAATGATTTTATCGAAAAGCAAATGCCGCAACCACAGTAAGTTTGAAGTTAAATTTTGAATTTTTGTTCGTTTGAATGTCGAGCAGCTAGGGACAGCGAAATTTTAATAATAATTGGTATTAATTCAGATGCTATTAACATTTTTATTTTTTTTAATTTTTGTATTTAAAGCTCGCAAAAAATCATTGGATGTGAAAAAGTTCTGTTTTTTTTTGCTTTTTAGTATTCGTTCAATGTTAAATCCGTGAACCTAATTCATTTTTGCTTTCAGAATCCCCGTCGTAGTTGACACGGAGAAGGAGCAAAAGGGTCAAAGCATTATGGACGCCCTGCTTGGCATGTTTACCACCAAAGTGAATGCTGACGAGATCGTAAAGGATGGTTCATCCGGCAGTCTGGCCAGTGCCGTTGCCAGTACGCCCGGTGTGGCCAGTCCCGAACAACTGCCTTCACCTACATCGCCCATTGCGGCCGAGGTGGGTGACAAACCCTATGGCCGTGGTCGTCTGCTTTGCTTGGATGGTGGCGGCATTAGGGGTCTCGTGCTCGTGCAGATGCTGCTCGAAGTGGAGAAATTGTCACGCACACCCATCATTCATATGTTTGATTGGATTGCCGGCACCAGTACGGGCGGTATTTTGGCCCTGGGTCTGGGCTGTGGCAAGACAATGCGGCAATGCATGGGTCTGTATCTGCGCATGAAGGAACAATGCTTCGTGGGCTCACGTCCTTATCCCAGTGAGTATTTCGAGTCCATACTGAAGGACAATCTGGGCGAGTTCAATGTAATGACGGACATCAAGCATCCAAAGATAATGGTGACGGGTGTGATGGCGGATCGTAAACCTGTCGACTTGCATCTATTTCGCAACTATACCAGCGCCAGTGACATTCTGGGCATCGTGACTTCCATAAGTGAGTGGGATTGTGAATTTTAATAAAATTTAATTTAAAATCTCTACAAAATATTTGTGTTCGTAGGCAACCGCCGTATTCCGCCACCACCGCCTGAGGAGCAACTGGTTTGGCGTGCGGCTCGTGCTACAGGTGCTGCACCTTCCTATTTCCGTGCGTTCGGTCGTTTTCTGGACGGCGGCCTAATCGCCAATAATCCCACTTTAGATGCTATGACGGAAATTCACGAATACAACAGCGCTTTGCGTAGCGTCGGCCGTGAATCGGAGGTTATTCCCGTCTCAGTTGTGGTTTCACTCGGCACTGGACACATACCCGTCACAGAGCTCAAGGATATCGATGTATTCCGTCCGGAGAGCATTTGGGACACGGCGAAATTAGCTTACGGAATATCTACCATTGGTAAGTGGTGCCTGCAATTCAAATTAAAAGCTAAGAGCGAAACTCTGTACTCGGGGCGAAAATACACATATGTCGAATCAGATATTAATACCTTAGAAAGACGAACAATACATTTCTGATCGGTAGATACAAAGATAGATACAAAATACGTACAAACTATGGAAAAGACATATTGACGCATATAATTCTGACATTTCTTATTTACTTTTCATTCTGGAGTAACGTAATTTAATGTATATATCTGATCTGATACCATATTTCAGATGGTATCTGGGTATATGTCTGTATCTGATACATTAAATTCTATGTGTTTCCTTTTATCTTAATTTTAAGATAAACAAGCTGACGGATAGGCATCTGATGCGTAAAAGTTGACGTTCTTTATTTTGACGCGAAGCTTTAAATGATAACAAATCTATGAAATCAAATAATTCAATGCATTGAGAATTTATTTTAAATAGGAACGCATACATTCAATATTATTTAGACACCTACAATGTGGAAATTCTAACGCGTAGACATCTGATTCTAATAAATCTGATGTTTTTTAATTTGCAATTAATGTATAAAAATATTTCAAAAGTGAACGAACTAATGTCTGACTATTTCAAAACCGTAAAGACTTTGACATTTGGACGTGATCCGAAATCGCATAATACATTTTTCTTAATTGCTTAATTTATCAATTAATGTTTACCTATTTTCTGCATAGGCAACTTACTCGTGGACCAAGCCACCTGCTCTGATGGTCGTGTCGTTGATCGTGCACGCGCCTGGTGCAGCACTATTGGCATACCATATTTCAGATTCAATCCCCAACTGAGCGAGGACATTGCTATGGATGAGAAAAACGATCAGAAGCTTATCAACATGCTGTGGCATACGAAGGCATACATGCATAAAAACCGCAATAAGATTATCGAGATGATTAACTTTTTGAAATAGCGCTCAAGACGGATTTAGACCGCATACACTTTAGGGGCCTCCGTCAAGGCCAATTAATAACAGCGAATTGTCGAATTTTGTCTGTTCGATCCTTTTCAACTTTCGTCTTGCTATTTATAATTTCTAAATCATTTTTTTAGCACCTTCCGCGGTCTAAATCAGCACACAAACACACACACACAAATACACATACAACACACACTCTTGTATAAACACATCCAATAGAATAACATTTGTTTTATGAAAATAGTTAAAGACGGCCGAACACAACAGCTTTTGGGGTTGAAAAGCGCATACGTGTATGCAAATTAGTCCAAATTGTTTTATACCTAATACGCTTTCAATATTGTGTTAATGGTTGATAAGTTTCTAAACGATAAGTGTTAGCCGTGTCTCTCAATTGCTGTAATACCCTGTATTATTTACCAATTACTCTTACTGCTACGTCCCAATTGAATTGGTCCCATTTGTATCTTAACATATATTCTGTAAAATGTAAACATTCCGTGGCGGTTTGTTAGTTAATGTTTAAATATGCACGAATTTTTGAATAAATGTGTTTTAAATATAAATCATTATCGCATTATTATTAAACAGATGTTGGATTAACGAAATAACTGATTGGGAATAACAATAATTTATTGCTTTAACCAATAATCAAATAATTGCAAATATGTTTATTCACATTTGTTGACTTTTTACTTAAATGCAATTTGCAATGCTGGAAATGAGGAAAAAATGTATTAATATTAAAAGGGTTGAAAATTGTAATTTCAAACTTATTATAATTTTTGTATTCTCATATTCTATTATAGATTTAAAAATATATTTCAAGTTGATTTTTTTTTAGAAATTTGTAAAGAAACGACCAATAGTTTATACTTTACGAAACAAGTGCAGTCTACAGCCCCTGCATTTATGTTTATTATTTTAATAGGAATATCAATTATACTGGAAGCTGAATATTTTCAATAATATAAACGAAACTTTAAAAAAATAAGCAGATGACTACTCGCAGGTGCTTTATCTATTTACATGTAACTAGTAACGTTGAAAATGGATCTAGTACAAGTTGAAATGCTTTAACCGGAATATTTAAATTTGACCTAATACTTAGATATAAAATATTTAACGGCTTTGTCAAAATGTTAATTAATTTATGGAATGACGTAATGGCGCCTAAATAAAATTGGATTCGATAATCGCAATTTCAATTCACTAAACAATGCGATTGTGGCGATTGTCATACCGATAAATGTGACTTTGTCACATTTGTGGCGCAGTTTCGAAAATATTTTACAGTCTTGCCTGCCAATTACTATAGCTAAAATTCATACGTAAAAATAACATTTAAATTGGGTACTGAAAATATTTTCATATGACTGGCAATAGTGGTTAAAATTGAAAGCGTCAAAATTCTCTCACATGCAAAGAAACCAATAAATAAAAATTTAAGCAGTCTGGCAGCACTAGCCGCTCCCAGTCAGACAAACTCGAAAGCTTGACCTTGCTTTTCATTTTGTAACTATTTCTTTGGCTATTAAAATCTATTAAACGATGAATAGCCATTTCTGTTTATTGTTATTGGCGAATGCCACATTATTTAAATGTTTACACTCAATAATAATTCAAATTTTAGTTGCTTGATTTGTTTCTTTCACTAACGTATACAATAGACACTTAACGATTTGTTTCTTTTTTAGCTTGTTGCTGTTGTAGTCGGTACAGTTAAAAGTAGATAATGTCTAATGTTTCCGGTTATGCTGCTTACTTTAGTTTCTTTCGAATTTTGATGTTATGTGTTTTTTGCTTGCATTTTATGTATGTATTTTTATTCCGTTTTGGCGCAAACGTTAAACTTAAAACGTTGTGTTATAACATTTGAAACTTAAATGAAATACTTAATAAAGAAGATCGCATGAAACAATGTATATTTTTGTGTTATTTTGTTTGTTTGTTTGGGAGTGTTGGTCGTACAGATGTGTGCGTCGACGTGATTCCAAAGTAATGGCACATTAAGATGCGGCCTGCCCTTTTGATATAACAACGCCCCCTCTGCTCCACACGTAAATCCAACTCCAAACTCTCGGCAGCCAAATTAGGAAACGAAAAACAAACTGCAACGAGAGGAGAAATATATGTATGAACTTTTCGTCAGTTGTTAATAATTAATCGGTATTGGTAGCCACTCATTTTTGAAATAATGTAAAGTATACAATGAAAAAAAAATCTATATGACAATAACATTATATCATGATATAAACCAAAAAATTAAATCCTCATTAAACATTTTTATATTCATTTAATCACTTCTTAAATATTTCTGATTGAAGTATGTATATATTTGAAATGTGTTTTTCTTTTTAGTAAATTTAGTATATTGAAAAATTCAATCACATTCGTACAGATGCAAATTTATTAGATAATGGAAGAGGGCTTTGTATATTACGTTCAAATTATAAAGACTGTTGACTGCAAGCAAAAACCTTAGTAATGATCATTAGTCTTGAAAACGAGGGACCAAAAAGTTCTTTTAAGTGAAGTACAAGTATAGTAAAAATAACTAGCTAGTGGTATCCAAGTACTTTCTTTCTTGGGATACCCAATTCAAGAGAGGAGAGGGGTACAACTCTTAAAATAAAGCTTAATTTAATTCTATTCAAAACTACTAGTTGGGATAGATAAATGATACATCCATAATTTTCTATATTGTGTCAAAATATAAAGTTTTTCGAAACTTAAAAGATATACAACTATGATTTATGTTTTTTCATTTACGAAAATTATATATTTTTTTCAAAATGTAAATATAATTACGCTGAAAAGAATCGATATTCAGGGCCGGATTCGCATTAAGGTCAAATATTCAATTCAAATCCGTTACTCACTTGTCAAGAAAGCCATTTGAGCCCACTTTTATCCCCGCTGTCATCCATTTACTTGTTGTTTATGGATAAGCGCTCAACACTGGCGAGCAGTTCGTCAGCCGTTTGTGACACAACCTCCTCCTGATAGTCGCTGGTGCTTAGATTTTGCAGGCGTTTCTCCAACGTCGACAAATCCTCCAGTTCGCGCTGCTGCTTCACCATGTAGCGCAATATGAGGGTTGTGAGCATACACATATCCTCGAGGACTTTTGCCATTTCGGGTGTGGGCTGGGGCTGGCCATAGCGATTGCGGAGCAGGCGTAGTTTATTTTCAGCCAACTCCAATGGGGATTTACCGCTACGATCATACATATGGACACTGGCCCCACCTTGAAGGAGGACACGCACAACGACATTGAAGTTGTTCGAGCTGGCCGAGATGACGGCCAAGTGGAGCGGCGTATTGCCAAGAGAGTCGACCACATTGGGATTGGCGCCATACTTAAGGAGCTGCTGGACAATGGGTATATAGCCGCGACAGGCGGCCAAATGCAGCGGACTGCGTTTGTACTCGTCGGCAGCATTGGGATCGCCACCGTCTTCCAGGATGCGATTAAGGAGCTCAATATTGCAGGTGGAGGCGGCGGTGCGCAACTTGCGACCATTCGACTCAAACAATATGCTACGCATTTTCATGCGATGCTTAATGCTGCCCGGACGTATTTTGAAGCTCTTGCTGCACGACGGCAATGTGCTTGGATGCACCAAGCTCGGCGCATATTCTGTATTCATCGGTAATGGGGGCAAATGTGGCAGCGCAAAATGTTCACCTGTATTGTTCAGCTGGAATGCGTTCGGATTTAGATTGGGCCACTCGCCGTGCGTGTTTGGGGATGATGTGGGCGTGGGCGGCATTACTGGCGGGGGCGTTATCATAATGCCACCTGCTGTCGCTGTATCGCTGCCACATCCAGAGCCGTTACCATTATAGCTGCTGCTGCAGCCGCTCGAGCTGTTATCATTGCTTTTGTTGTTGGTATGGGCGTCCAAACCGGAGGAGTTGTTGTTGGCGGCCGCGGCCATTGCTGTTGCAGCGCCTAAAACTTGTATGGCCTAAAATTGTATGGCCTTAAGTTGTTATTATTTTTAATAATTTATCTTTTTCGTTCTCTATTTCTTTTTCTATCTCTTTTCCTTTTTCTGTATTGTTTGTATGTTTTTCTCCTGTTTACATTTTGTGCGTGGTCGCTGCTAACTCGCTTTAAATGGTGCTGCCCACTCGTCAATCTTGCGCCTGTCAATTTGCCAATTTAAGCGCAAAAATACCGAAATTTATGTATACAGGTGAACTAACAGTATTTGTGTCGTATAAAAGCTAATCTGGTTTTCGTTTTACAAAAGAAACTGATAATAATTACAATGTACATATATGACATAATTAAAATAAAGATAGAATGATTTACTGTACTTAGCAAGTTACAAAAACAATTGTTATTAAAATGCCTGTGTTAAATCACTTTTCCAAATCAAAGAGAACAATAAAAATTTGTTATACATATAAATGTTTACTTATACAATATTTAGTTAATTTACAATACCTAACCTTAATTCGAAATTCACAAAATCTAATCAATTGATTAATTATTATTTATTAATAATGATTATTTTATTTATTTTAAAGTTAAAAATACATATTTAATTTTTTCAAAATGTAGACTTAATTAAGAATTAAGAATCTATGCATGTTCGTTTTTTTATTAGCAGATGGTTAGGTAAAGAAAAATGTGAAGTGAAACGACCTAACAAGTATTTTTAGGATTACGTTCTTCGCAATCTTATGCGTTATTTTGCTTTACTAGTTTTAGCAATTTAATAGTTCTAATACATTTTTGGTATGGCGGGACAGGTACTTAAAAAGAGCTTGCACCAAAATACCAATGTAACTTAAAATACCAAAGGGGTTTCATGATATATTTTTTTAAATTGGTATCACTTTTACGTATCGCCGTCAACCGTTTATTTACCGGCCTAGTACTAGCTAGCTGCGTCTTGTTAGCGGCCGATTTAGTCAAATATTTGATAAGTAGGGCGTAAAGATGATGCAAATGAAAGAATACAAGGAAGTGCCGCAGGATGTGCCACACGATGATGCAGTGGCCGTTATACGACAGCCACAGCCCACGATTACCGGCAACGTTGCAAATGGTGGTAAGCAAGATGTTTATATTTTATTGCGCATTCCTGTGTGCGTGTGTACGTGTTTGGGCGTTTGCAATATTTGTTGTGCTTTGGCATTTAATGAAATGCGTGTTTTCGTTTTTGTTTATTTACATGTATGTATGTACAAAGATTTAATGAGGAACGCCCTACGTTTCCTTCTTTGTTTGTCGTCTTTCAGAAAGCTGGATGAGCATACCAGTGGGTATGAATAATTGCCCTCAGGGTCTGGAATATTTGACAGCATTGGATCAGTTGTTGATTTCGCAAAAGCTCGAGAAACTCGAATTGTTGACTGGCTTCGAGACAAAAAATCGTTTTAAAGTTAAAAATTCACTGGGACAGAATGTTTACTTTGCACAAGAGGTATATTTACATTTATTCGCACACACATGTGTGTGTATGTGAAATTCTTCGAAATTAAGAAATAGTTGTTATCTCAGGTCACCTCCGCTTGGCCTTAAAACATTTTTGAAATAACATTCTAACTAGGAAAGATAAGCGTTTAATGAATGCATTTCTTTATTCTGTACATAGGAGAGCGATTGCTGCACTCGGAATTGTTTGGGTGCCGCTCGGCCCTTCGAGCTTAAAATAACGGACAATTTCCAAAACGAAGTTCTACACTTGAATCGTCCCTTTCGTTGCGATGTTCTTTGCTGCTTCCCCGAATGCATGAATGCTGTTGAGGTTTCGGCGCCACCGGGACAAGTTATTGGCACAGTGGAGCAGGTCTGCACATTCTTGAAGCCCAAATTTAATATAAAAAACTCGTTTGGTGACATTGTGCTGTATATTGAGGGACCAGTCTGCCCATGGAAGTGCTGCTCTGATACTAATTTCAAGGTCAGTGTGTACAAGTGGTTCAATGTATTTGTTGGGGTTTTTCTCTGTCTTTTTGTCTTAAATGTACATATTTGTATATACATGTATATCAAGATTAGCGAGAATCGCCGCCGTAGTTGATGATGTCATGGAATCTATAGCAGAGGGGCAGGGCAATGTGGTTAATGCTATAGATTATTTGTCTATATAGTCTTGAGTATGTATCTCTCTCTACGCTTGCCTGCGCTTTGAATGTCTACGTTATTCGATCATAGTCGAACCTGCCTATAAACAACTTATCAAAGCAAAGAATATTGGTATATGATAGTTGATCCAGTATAGAAATGCAATGATGAGCTTGCCCCACACAAATGTGGTTGCAAACTATTCAAATTATTTGGGACAGCATTGAAAAGTAAAGACCCCAAAAGCGTGCTTGAATATGCATAGAACTCCATTTATACAATAATTATTATTATTTTTCTTAACTCAGTATTTAAGTAAATACAAAATTCTGTGGTTAAGGCTTGGATTTAACGTTTGAAACTAAAATATAATAAAGTTTTATCATTAAAAATGGCTTTGTATTTTCTAAATTATGCTTCCACAGTTCAAACATACTCAGCAATACTTATAAAGATCCCTTATGAATAAAACTTTCAATAAGAAGTCCTAACTTATAGCCCTTTAAAAAGGACGTTCCTTTAAAGATCCAAATCAATGAAGAGATCGCAGTTTTTAATATCGATGAAATATTACAGTCGTTCAATAATCCGTAACCGTTTATAAATTTAATATTTTCTATATCTGTGATATATGATCTATGTATGATTTATATAATTCTATTATTCTATTATAAAGTTAATCAAATATATTATCAAAAAGTATTCTTTATAAATAATATAAAATAATTTGAAAATTTTTTCAATTAAAAGCACTAAATCGATGTCAGACTGTCATGAATATATATACCTTTAATTTAAATTTGCGTTCGTATAATTCTTCATTTTAGGTACTGAGCGTCAATAACGAACAAATTGGGAAAATTTCCAAGCAATGGTCGGGGCTGGGCCGGGAATTGTTCACAGATGCCGACTACTTCAGTGTCACGTTTCCGCTCAATTTGGATGTGCGTATGAAGGCATTGGTGCTGGCGGCATTGTTTTTGATTGTGAGTGCATTGAACTCGAAGTAAATGAATGCTATTTATTTATATTCTCAAACTTCTCTAGGATGTTGTCTACTACGAGCAATAGGCGGGCCTAAAATATAAAACCAACGGCGAATAACTTCATCGACTTCATAGCTGTTCGGGCCGTCCACGCAAATTTTAAATGACAATATGTAGACGGAGAGCTGCTGTTTGTGGAATCTCTGCGGCTACGAGTTCATTGGGACTTAATTTCTTATTTATATACTCGAATAATTGAACGTTACGCGCGCACAAATTTTGTTGAACACTTAATATATCGTAACTGGACAATTCATACTTATATTAGCTTGTTAAGTTATATACGAATATGCATTTAAAGCATCACACTCAACACACGACAAAATACTTAACAAAGGAACGAGTGCCTTAAGACATCCTAACTGTTTGTATATTTAAGCGCCCCATTCCATACCTCGACTCGCCTCCCCCTCCCCTTAATAACATAAATAACATTGCGTACCTAATCGTTTCGATGTAACAAATATTTTTATATATGTATATGAGGACTTGGGGAATTTTATTGTTGTTTTGATGAACAATTTTATGCATTATACTCATCCATAATAGTTTACTGGCATCCATATTTATGCGACAACTCTCGAAAATAAAACGAATATTATATTTTATATTAAAAAACAAAACCAACAAAGGCAATAAAAGTTCTTTCTGGTATTCTGTGCCTATGTACAGGAAAAATATGCCTTTATTTCTCAGTCGTGCACATTGTTTTTGGTTGAAAACGGAATTAAAATATTACTGGGCATATATTGTAATGCTTCCTTTCTTCTTTCATCCCATCCACTCACTCCTCTAGTTGTTTTTAGCAAAATATTTGGTCTTCTCTTCCGGGTTTGGCACGATCTGTGACAGTAAATGTATAAAATTGTTAATATTAGCACAGCTGCAAGAATTCATTGAAACTTGCCGTGTCAGCGCCCGGCTTCCAGCCAGCTGGACAAACTTCGCCGTGCGTGTCTGTGTATTGGAATGCCTGCACCAATCGCAGAGTCTCGTCCACAGAGCGTCCCACAGGCAAATCATTCATCGTTATCTGACGCAACACGCCGCGTTGGTCGATGATGAAGAGACCGCGAAGTGTGTGGCCCAAATCGTCCAAATAGATGCCATAGTCTTTGCTAATCTTGTGCGTCAGATCGGATAGCAGTGGAATCTTTACATTACCCAAACCGCCCTCCTTGCGTGGCGTATTAATCCAGGCCAGATGAGTGAAATGGGAGTCCACACTTGCAGCAATCACCTCCGTGTTGATCTTGCGGAACTCGGCAATGCGATCGGAGAAGGCGATAATTTCGGTGGGGCAGACAAAGGTGCTAGAAATGGGAATGGTTTTTGAGTAATAATATAAGACAATTTTGAGCTTCCGCCAGACACGCAAATTATTCGCACACAAATTTGTAAATATCAAATGGAATTGTAACAGCTTCCTTTCTGCATAAAAGAACTATCTAATTTATTAAGTCAATTGTATTGTGCGGAGTCTAAATTAGAAAACTTTCGAGTTATTGGGTTTAAAAAGAGGCTTGTGATATAGCTATATGATTATACTTCGATTCACATATTTTGATCGAGTTTGCTTATTGAATCCATAAATTGTTGTGCAAATTATTGGCCGTCTGACTATATTGTTTGTTGTTCTGATCGCTGTCATATTAAAATATACATCAACTTACAAATCCAAGGGATAGAACAGCAACACCACATATTTGCCTCGATATTCGGATAAGGAGAGCTTAACAATTTCCTTGTTCACCACTGCAGTGCCTTCAAATGTTGGCGCCGGCTTGGAAACTGCAAAACAATATTAAAATTAATCTTTGTTAAAAAAATGTCATTTTCTATCAAAAGCTTAGTTGTACTTTTTTACATTACTTTTTTTGATCTGCATAATTTCTGATTTTTCGTCATACAATAATTACTTACTAACTGCCTTGGTGTACTGAAGCTGATGATCGCTCTTGGGAGCCTCCGCGGGGTACACTGAACCGCCCGCAAACGAATAACAGGACTCATTATCTTCAAGGCTGCCGGCCAGGGATGTCGCCACAAACAACAATAGAGCCAAAGACCTCAGCATTCTGTCAATTCGAACTACAACTAAAAAACACGTAAGCTCAATTAATGCTATACATAGTACATACATACATGTATGTATGTATATCGACTCCTATTTATGACACGCAAACGCCTATAAGCACACACACACACACAAACGGATATGGATGGACACACACACTTAGCTTAGCCACGCAGTCAAAAAAAAATAAATAAATCTGAAGAACTATTTATTATTGAATGGGTGTACCACGGAAAGTAAGTGCAAGCAGGCAGTATTGATAAGCAGCATATTGGTAGGCAGGCACGCTTATCAATTTTTTATACTTGGCGCTGTCTACCCATTTAGTTTAACAGCAGCAGCAACAACAACAAAAGTACAATGCCACTGTCTTTCGCACTGTTTGTTCCCTTTCTTGTAAGATAATTCGCATAAGCCGTTGAATACAAACCTTCTACAGAACACAGGAATGCTACGTAATTTATATTATTGTATATTATTTACAAATATTATTATTAAAATCTTGTAGTCTAGCTATAATAAATAATCAAAGTGACAACAAAAACAAATGCCGCTAGTGATGTGACTTTTCCCAACGCAACTCAATAATTGCATTCAGAAGTATCGGAATGTGTGAAGCTGTGACTTAACGCTGGGAATTCAAATACTGGGAACAGCTTCCTTGATTAACGTGCTTTTTTGAAACAAAAATATGCAATTCTTTTATTTGCAACCTTTTGTTACGAAATGAAATTGAGCATTTGAAGGAAGAACGTAATACTTGTATAATGGCTGCAAGTCAAGCGCAATTCAAACAGCTATTAAATTTTAGTTATTTATTTCATTATAACAAAAATATAATAAATTATTTTAAATTTATAATAGGTTTTAGGGTTTAACCAAAAGTTAATATATGGTTTTGATTCACAAATACAAAACAGCTTATAACGTTATCTAATTTAAATTATTAGTATTTCTGTAACTATTTTGCCCAATTATTATAAAACCGGCGCCTAGTAGTCTTTGGGAATAAGGGATTATTCCCGACTGTGTATACTTTACGGGTATAATCATCAACAATTTCAGTAGTTGGCTCAGAAACGGCCTCTTCGGGCTTGGGACAATTATTTTGCTGTATTTTAAGCAAGTGATCGGGATTCATTCCAGCATTTTTAATAACTTCATTGGCAATCGTTATATATTTGGCATCTGGAATTGGTTTGCGTGTTTCAATGATCCAGCTGTCTGCAAAGAAGTATGATTCCAATTTAGAACGACCGGAACAGAAAAAACGAACTGTATTGCTCACGAAATGTAACATATTTGTAGACATCAAAACAGGAGAGGCGAACCGCATAGTTATTGTAATCTGTATCTAATACCCAGGTAACAATGGGGACCTCAAGCACTTAAAATTATAAAAATGATATGTACATGTCAGATGTTACGTTTCAGAATTCGATCAAATTGGTTGAATGTGTTTGGCGAATATATGAAGTTTACACGAATTTGGAAATGAAATTTAAACCGATTTTGAAAAATTTGGTTGAAATCAGAAATGGGTACAGAACAGTATAAATACTTACTCGTTAGTTTGTCGTTATTGTGTATACTGAAGGAGGGAGCATTACTAACATTGGTGATGCCTACTTTAGTTAAACTTAAATACTTCTTTCTGTTAAAAAGGCCGATAAGTACACATTACGATGTTGCTATATAACTCTCGACTTACTGCGGAGGAACTTGCGTTGCTTCTATGGCATAATCCAGAACCTGATCTTGCATGTAGTTCCATCTCACGCATCTAGATAGCGGCTCATACGCAAAAGGGTTTCGGGCATACATATACCAGACTCCCAAGTACTTATTCATATCAAATTTCATATTCTTAGGCTTAGCCGGCGTACGGCATACATTAGAGTCCGATGATGCGCCAGCATTACTTGCCGAGGTAGTGAGCCGAATCAAAGGTGGGCGAAGAGTTACCCCAAACGACTGGGCTTCCGAAAAGCTGGCGTAAATGATTAACACATAGGAACTGTCAATTAAATGAATAAATAACTAAATAAATTCAAGCGAATTCATTTACGTACAGCAATAAAAAATGCATAATGAATTATAGAGCGATCGGAGATAAACTATTTGAGGAATATCTTTTTTGTTGTTTAAATACTTACAGACCGTAAAATCTCTCTTTAAAACCATAAAATCGAAATTAGCTGCTTGATAAAAAAAAAAAACATTCAAGAAAGTACAAATATCTTGTGGTTTAAAAATAAGTGATTTAGTTGATGAGGTATGATGAGGCTGGGCTTCTCAGGCGGGTGAAATGTTCATATCCTAGATTGCCTTCTGTACAGCATCTGGTTCATTCTGCCTGTGGTCTAAAGAAAATATAAAATCATCATAGCAGACTTCCAGTCCAAAACAAAATCTTTGCCTTGGAGGGATAACATTCCCACAGTAAGGGAGGAGGGCGGTTGGGGAAAGCAAAGAAGTAAATATTGAGGTCTTTTTCGTTGTTCGATAACCCCAACGAACTGACTGTATCACCCATTTCTATTCAAAACATTTACACCTAGCTCTCGCTTAAAATAATCTCGTGTTCAACTTGACATAGTCTCAATAAAGATTGCAACAAAAAGTAATTTTAATTTAAAAATTTTATTTTTCCCTACTCTCTCTTAAACTTATTGTCTTTCGATGAGAGGATTACAATTTATAAAGCACTGCTAGCATATGCGAATCGTTCTTGACGTTTTTCTTTAGTGAAACATATATAGGCTGGTTTCTTTAAAGTTATTTTGAATTGCATTTCAAGCAATAATTTGTGAATTTCGAACTCCTGCAACGGTTGTGGCACGACAAGCGATCGACAAAGGTATGGAGAAGAGTGTCTTGGCTGTGAATTGTTAGTTAGTTATTTATATTTTAATCTTCAGCTTATTGACTGGTATTAAAGAATTTACACATGTATTGGGTGCTTACGCGCTGTAAACTTTATTAAAATATATATGTATGTATATTTAAAAATCTTGATTGCGCTTAAAAATTACAATTTACGCCTAGAGTTCAAACAGCACTTTTGTACGCCATACATACTTATGAGTGTGTGTGTGTTGCTTCTTTTGTTGTATGTGTATGCATGGGCTTAAATGTATATATATAGTGTGTAGTTACATACTAAGACAAATAAATATATAGATACTTTCTCTCTTATAACGTAATGCATATACCTTATACTTATAACAAATTGAGCAAAATTTGTATGAATTGCACGAAAAGCAAACACTTAAAAGTACATGAATAAGCATATACTAAGTTCTGATTTCTGATTTCTAGTTACTAGCTTTGATTGAGAAAATATTGTGGGTGTTGCATGTGGCGTTGCGCAAAATGCCGGCAAAATGCATCATTAATCATCATGCATCCTCTCTAGCTTTCCCAGGCCTCGTCGCGTTGTTTGGCAGCTAAAAGTTTACGTTCTGCGGAAGAAACGATAAATAAATAATTAAAGGAGTTGAAAGAAGTGGTATCTCAACATAAAAAAAGTTCAATGTTGAAATAATTGAAATAATATATAATCAAATACTATTTGAAACCCAGAAATAGTTTGTTTACGATGTCGTTTTAATATGGTATAAATATAGTCAACCATTATCAAAAACTCATAAGTAACAAATCTGGTTACGATAAATTAATAATCAGAACAATTATTCTACAATGAGATATTTATTGACTGATCGTTTTTATTGCTTCAAATTCGAGCAATAAAAACTCATAAATATACGATACGATAGCATAAAAAACAAAAAGTAATTTTCCCACAGATCGTTAGTATGGCAGCTATACAAAATAATGCGGCTATATAAGGGTATAAAAAAGTGGGTTAGTACATACCTTTGGCTTCACGCAATACACGCCGTTCGTTTTCCCGCTCTTGAGGTGCAGTTGGTAGCTTTACGCCTAAGGCGCCCGACACCAGTCGTCGAGCCAGGGCTGTGCAAGTCGCTGGTCGTTGGCGGTAGGGTTCAAGAGAACCGGCACACTTTTTGGCCTTCAGACGTGATTCCAGAGTGGCCTCGGCAAGGGGCTTTAATTTGACAAAAGGATGACCCATGGTCAGAACCTCAGCAGCTATTAAATAAATAAAAAAAAAAACAAATCGATTGCATTTACAACAGGAGAAAAAATTGAAAAAATCTCGCACTACACACCAATTCGGGAACTGCTAAACACAGCCAATGCATGAGTATCATCCACCCATTTAATATCGAAACCAGTGCCCTTGTACTGCGAGAAGAGCATGAGCAAGTCGGGTGTTTTGAATTCAACAGGAAAATTTGATACTTCCAGCACATGTGGGTACTCCTCCTCATTGAGCAGCGACTGCTTTATGTGGAAGGTCTGCGAAGGGAGGAAACTTGCTATTAGTAAATGTTTGCTGGTCTACTAAGCTGTGTGAGCTTAGTTATTTTTCCGAATGCCATACTTACGCTATAGTCCATTTTGGGGAGTTCTATTTTGCATTTGCCGACGGTATCGGTAAGTTCTTGCAGGATCTTTGGATCCAAACAATCACCGCTTTCATCGTACATGTTCTCCCAGTCGTCTTCGTCCTCCTCCTCGTCATCGTCTTCCTCGCCTTCGGTGGTGCTATCCACCGGTGGTTGGGCAAATGGTGTTCTAGTATTATTATGGGTATTTGCCTGACTAAATAATGTTTGATAGTTCTGCGGCTCAACAACAGCGTTGTTGTTGTTATTGTTTTTCTTCTCGGGTATCTCCAGTACATCCGATACAAAGGTTTGTTTCATGATGCGTCGATTGCTGCGATTGATTTCCTATACAAACAAATAACCAAAGCATTTAGTGGCAATTGATGGTAATGCAAGGAGGTAGTGAAGAGATAAGGACCTCACCTTTGAGGCACGCTGTAGCTCGCGCACATCATTATCACATTTGTTGGTGGCATCCTCAGCTGATTTTGAATTGCTTACTGCGCCCACATCTTCGATGCGAAGCGGCGGTGGTGACGTTTTGCTTTTGGACTTGCTGCCATTACCAGATTTTGTTCCATTAGCGCAACTCATGATGGTCTGCAAACGCAAATAATTTGTACAGCTGTTAGAGAACTTGAATTCTGAGAGTTGGGCTCAGTACATTGATACTATTGTTGCTGATATTATACTTATATTCTGATTTCGTCCATCTAGCAAACGATACGAAAATATTACTAAGCTACTTATTTATTTTAAGACTGCCAATATCAATTAAAAACACTTCGAAAGAATTCACTAATTATTTAGTAGACAACCTACTTAGCTAAGTTTGGAGCCGATATCTATAAAGCAACTTTTAAACTTTTTTAAACAAATCCCGGCCTATGACAAAGGTTTTATTGATTTTTAAAAACATATGCAGATAAGTGGAGTCTCAAACATTACCACTGTTTGGAACACGATAAACACTGTTTGGAACTTGATTGTCAAAATTTCGGTATATTTTCGGAATGCCAATTCTAGTGATATATCTACATACCGAACCCGTATCACAAATACTGCTGTTGCTGTTCGTCGGCGTTACGTTAATTTCAGTCGCTTTGGGTGCTGACTCGCTGCTTGATATTACAAGTATCGTGGCATCCGTGGGTTTTTCCTGTAAATGAGTTTTCTTGCTGCGTTCACGTTCCCTGCGCTCTCGATGCGACCTTGTCTTCTTGGGCTTGGCTTGTTGTTGCTGTTGAAGTTGGCCGTTTGTATCGTCCGACTTGGACGAGTGCGTTTCTGCAACTGTTGGCGGTGTTGCTTCCAACGTTTGTGGATTGCACGTAGACAAGGTTGTCGCAGTCGCAGTCGCTGCTGCAGCTGGCGTCGCTGCTGATGTTGCAGTTGTTGTTGTTGTCGGTGGCGTTGTTTGACTGCGTCGTGCCCTTGGCACATAAACAGCCCGATCCGGACGACGCTCTCGACGCCCTGCATTAACCTGTTGCTGTTGCTGCTGTGGCGGAGACGGTTGCTGTTGCTGCTGCTGTTTGGGCTCACTTTTGTCATCAGGTAAGGCGAAGCAGATGAGCAAAACAGAAGTAGAAAAAATAAAAATTGAAAGGCGAAAGAATTTCGTAAATACTTATAAACGTTTTTATGGCAGTTCACGTTTATTTATTTTTCTTACCTGTCCAGTGCTTTGACAGCGTCGGCGCTTGTTGTTTCTGCTGCTGCCGGCGCTGAGGTAGCTGTTATTGTTGTAGCTGTTGTTGCCGCAGTTGCCGTCGCCGTCGCATCTTCGTTACTGTTATTTCTGAGCGCTGGCGGTCGATAGAGATCGACAGAGTTTGATTTGCTCACTGCAAACAAGAAAAAAAGTAAATATGTATGTAAATAAATAAATCAAATAAATAACAACTCAAAATATATGCAATTAACAGCGTATAGTATTTGGCAAATTCACAAAACAAAGGCGAAAAGACAATCAACAACCCACAAGCGGCCATTTAGGCAACGCGTTTGGCATGAAATAAATAAATAAAAAAAAACAACAGAAAAAAAATTCACAAATTTTGACCCAATTTTTTTTCATTTGCTCTCTTTCATTGGCTGCTTTCGTGAATGTCAACACCGCCGAAAAGTCAAAACGTTAACAGTTTTGAATTTCATGCGAGAGCGCAACAAGTGAGCGTGCGCAGCGCTGCGTGAGAGAGAGGCGAGTAAGAGAGTGTCAGTGCAAATGATGCAACAACACATTGGCGGCCAACGACAGCGCGCTCCAACAAAATTACCAACGCACACAAACACTCACATACATAATCACAAAACAAAACAAAGCAAACGGCCCGACCTTGAATGGAGCTGCGTGAACCGACCCCGTCGCTATGACAGCGAACGCCAAAAAACAATCGTCGGCAGCGCTGCTTGCTCTGTTTTTATGCTCTTTCCCCATAGAGGGAGACTTAACTTTAAGACTTGATCGTGTTGCTCAAAAAGTACTTAAAAACCAACAAATCTTTGAAAATATTTGTAGCTTTAAATTGTAAATGAAATATTTAATGTGATAAAATAAAAAATGTAATTATGGGACCTACCCGAGAAATATTTCATTATTTGTAATATGAATTCAAATGTTTTGAACACTACAAAAAAATCGAAAAACGATTCTTCTTCTTACATACAAACTTTTGATATTTTAAAAAGTCTAGCTTCTGGCTTGAATGTCTAGCTTAGTAAAAAGAAAATCGATTTGTGATCATTCTGGACTTACAATTAAGTCATTGATTTGAAGATATAATTTCTAAGAATCCAATAATTTCACCCTAGTTTTTATAATCTATTTTCTAAATCATTTGGCGTAATAAATTCTTTGAATTTGAGGTATTTCCGAACATAATTGTATGTAACTCGGAAATAATATAGTGGCGAGAATATAGACAAATTTGTACGTAGAAACATAAGCTTTGCGATCGTTTTTTCAAAGGGTATACCAACGTCGATGTGCCCATTTATTTTTCTTTCGACATCTCTTTCTGAAATTTGCCTCACATAATGCTTAAGGCTTTGCCGGCGTTATTTTTAGTCAATGGTCAAATATTTAATTGTTTTTTATGTTTCAAGCTATGCAAACATTTTTAAACTTGCCAAACACTGTTGGCTATAATAAAATTATTCGCAACCGCCGATGATTTACTCATGCATATACACATTTGTGTGGGTGGGTGGAGGTGTACAGATCAGTCGGTCGGTCAGTTGGTTAGTGGGTGTTAGTCTTTTACTTACAGCGCGCTTCGCTGATATGCTTTTTTACTCCCATTTTGCAAAGCTCCTGTTCGCGTTTGCGGCTTCCACTGCTGCTTCTGCCACTGCTACCGTTATTTAGATGACCACTCTGCCCGTTACTGCGCCAATTTTTAACTGGCGTGGGCTGCTGCTGTTGCCTGCGCCTGAAAATTGCAAAATTATATATTTTAGAAGGTATACACACATATGTACATATACAATCTCGTATTGGAAAAGTTTTCTGATCAAGTGATATAAGAAGGTTTTCAGCTACATGCTCGGATTTACTTTCATACTTTCGATTGTGATTTAAGTGATTTTTAAACGGGTTAGTTATTAACTGATATCAACTCTTAAAATGCAGATGTAATTAATGATCGACTAATGATATCATTTCGTTCTTATTATTTGCATGCACTCGCAAAATATGGTTGTATACATAAGATCTTCAAAGGGAGGATGGAGGCTGGCTATGAGATCAGCTGAATACTCACGCTTCAAAGCCTTGCGGATCCACTAATTGATTCCGAAAGCAGAGCACCGTGCGTCGTTGAGCGCCCTGCCCCACTGAGAATGTGAAGAGATCGTAATGCTGGCGATAGTTCTCACATGTTTGGTGTATGAGATAACGGCGATAATTGCTTACAGGTGGAAAGAGCAACACACTGAAAAGACAACGGTAAAAAAAGAGGACAAGTGGCTCAGTAACATGCCAATATGTGTACATATACATATGAGAGTGTGGAATGTTTATGCATAACTGCGTCTGTATGTTTATGCGTGTATGTGTGCTGGCTAACAGGTTGCTTATTAAGTTATGGCGTATTGTAGAAGCAACACACACACAAAGCATAAGAAGCGCACGCAGTCTTCGAAATTAAAGTGAGACTTGTAAATTATTATGCAATGCAGCACCAACCACAACAACAATAGCAACAACCAACGGCAGTTTCGGGCGATTTACAATGTACATACAATATACATATGTAATTAACATATGCATAATAAAAATATGCGCACAATTATTATTTGTTATATGAGCGAAATGTTGGAAAATTAATTGTTTAATACAACGCGTCTTGCATGACAATAATAACAACAACAACAAACTGCAGCAGAAGAGCGCAGTACAATGCGGAAAGTTGCAAGCAACTATTGTTGTTGTTATGGTTAGTGCCTATTGCAGCTGAGAAAACTTGCATTGCAAACCGGTAATGTTGCAACACACTGCAAAATACTGAAACTTGTACACAAGTACAAGGCACAGTTTTTGCCACATTTTTTGTTGTTTTTGTAGTCCGCTTTTGGTGGCAACCGCAATTGTTTGAAATATTTCCGCGTTGCTGTTTTGTTGTTGTTGTTGTTGTGGGTATCAAGTGGTCCGCTTAGATGGCAGGCGCTTCTGCCAACAGCTGCTACCAACCCAACTGGCATACACATACACTACACACAATCATGCATACACACACGCACACACATAAATACGTAGAAATATCGTGGCAAGGTTCTAATTGGCGTTGGTTGCCTCCTTACCCATTGCTCAGTCGTTTCTTTAAAAAATGCTCAATATCACAACCAACATTGTAAACAAACTCCTCATCGTTTAAACTTAAACTAGCTGTGAATGTGTTTTTTCGTGCATTCTCCAGTTTTTCGCTGAATATTGCGACTTTTTGTCGCTACAGAAAACACGCACACACACACAAGAACACGCACGCACACAGGCTAAGGCCAACACACACAATCGTATGGCTTAGAACTTTTGCGTTTCGTTCACGTCTCGTATGCAGTCGCTAATAGCATCATTCGAATACGCTTCAGCAATACTTAAATGATTAAATAATGAATTTTTTCGTTTTGATTGCACACTAAATCACTAACAATTCTTAACTAGAACTGTTTAACTTTTCGCATTGCACGCGCTATAGAGATGGACTACGAATGAAGAATTGCGATATGTTACAAAAAAATCGATTCTGCTCTACTCGATGTATCGGTAACACCGTGCAAGTAATAATTGTCTTGGAGATGAGTAATGTTGACGTATTTGTTACTTTGTCACGGCCAGTTTTAGAGTAAGTGTTCTTATTTTAGTTCTCATTGATAAATAAATTATTAATTAATTTAAGTACTACATTGATTAAACAATAAGAAAAATTCTCGGATTTCAGAACTTGTGAGTAAGAACTTTATTTATCATGCGTATAAGTGTGTTTATTTTTTAGGTCATATTCCCAGACTGTCCAATGATGTTCGTTTTAAATTTTCATATTGAAAAGGGCATTCGCACTGGTAAATCACTGTCAAAAATGTCTCTCCTCTGGGTGTCTCCTAGTTTGTGATGCGAGGATTCTGTTTAAAAAACTGCTGCCCACTCAATGTTTTATTTATCTTTGTACAATAAGAATGCTCTTGTGTGAATGAATCCGTTAACTTTTAGAACCGTTACAATGACACTATCGTGAGCAATGCCACTTTGATATCGATATCATCACAATCGCGCTTGTGAATAAGTAACAGTCAAACAAATCGCCAATGTATTTCTATGCTAAAATGTGCGATCCAGTAGAAACACGCGATATTAACGATCTGTTTGATGATATAGTATTAACGGAGGAGAAACACGCACGCCTTGGCTTTGAGGAGGGACTGAAGGACGGACTTGAGCAGGGCAACGAAGAGGGCTACAAACTGGGCTATGCACAGGGCGTAGAGCTGGGCAACGAAATCGGCACAATTTATGGTCAGGTCTTGGCGCAACTACAGGTGCCGCATACGAGCAAGGTGCAGAGGACATTGGAGCAATTGCGTGCACTAATCGATCAATTTCCGCGCACCAACGATCCAGAAGCAGATATTATTGGTGCTGTGGAACAGATTCGTAGCAAGAATACGCTGCTCCGAGCTCTGTTGCGTTCCAAGGCGGCAGGCGGTGTTTTGGAGTCGGCGGGACGCAAGGATTACAGTTTCTAAGATGACATCCTGCAACGTTAAGCAGATCCAGCAACGCCTGGATGGATTGCTAGCATATATGCAGCCTCACTGGAGTTTTGTCAACTGCCACATGGTTAATTATATTACAGACGAACATTGGGAGCATTTTGTGCCCCAGAAATTACGGGTAGAAGTACCAACTGCGACAGATGTGAAGCAGTGCATAGAGACGCTGTTCTGGAAAGGGGACCGTCAAACCCAACAGTTTCCAGAGTTTGCCAGCTTTCTGGCGGCTGGCGAGCTGCAACGCCTGACTTGCTCAGACACCGAGTTGCTGACTACCGTGGAGGATTTGGAGAAGCAATTGCTGGATGCGGACTCAGAGCAAGCGACATTAAGCATCAAGGAGTTCATGAGCGCCAAAAAATGTCACGAAGTATATTTAAAGTCTATTTTTCCAAAAAATGTTTCTTTTAATATTTATTGTTTTGCCAACAGGTTGAAATTACTGCAGCTTTGGTGCACAAACTTATAGAAAGTGCTTCAAAAAAACAAGATAATGATTTCTATATTGTCGATGCTGGAGATGGAAAGGGTTATCTATCCTCACGCCTGGCACTGCAATATTATCATCGTGTGCTTGGAATTGATGCAAATGCCAAAAATACAGAAAATGCTTTGGCACGCAACAGCAAGCTGCAGGTTAGGTCTGGCTCTCTTAAAAAATTGTCACATTTTAATATAAACATAATGTTTCTTCAAAACAATTATTTTAACAGCGAGCCTGGAACGGCTTAACGGTACGCGCAGAACTACAAGGCCAGGGAATTACGCCCAAACGACGTGGAAAAAATGCGACCAAGGAATGTGGAAATCCTGCACCCAAGCTAGACAACTATAAAACGTCATCGAAATTCATTACGACGCAGCTAGACTTATGCGCTTTGTTGGATGAAAGCTTTCCAGAGCAGCAGGTCGACAAAATGAAACGCATTTGTCTAACTGGCCTACATACTTGTGGAAATTTAGCAGCCACTTGCCTGCAGGTCTTCGATGCACAGCCCAATTGTGAGATTCTCTGCAACATCGGTTGCTGTTACCATCTGCTAAAGGAACGCTATTCGGACCAAGAGTTCTTTGGTAACAAGGCGCTCATGGATATGCAGACAGAGTACGGATTTCCGCTAAGCGATTATTTACGAGAACGAAACGTGTGTTTGGGTCGAAATGCGCGAATGCTGGCAGCCCAGTCTATGGAACGTACGCAGGCGGCCAAAGAGTTGCCAAATATAACGCTCTATTATCGTGCTTTAATCGAATTATTGGTCTGTCGCCATGCCCCACACCTGAAAAATGAATTGCAAGTGGGAAAGGTGCGAAAGTTTCAAAATTTCTACGAATATGTGCAATTGTGTGCCAAAAAGTTGAATGCCACATGGCTCGGTGCTTTGGAAGAGGCAGAATTAGAGGAACTAGCTCGTTCCTGTGATGTTGACAGGCATTACCTGGAGCTCTTCTATTTATTGCGTATGTCTTTTGCACCGGTACTTGAGAGTCTAATACTTTTAGATCGATTGCTATACTTGAAGGAGCGTGGCCATAAAAAGAGCTACTTGGTTAATTTATTTGATGCAGTAATATCGCCACGGCATTACGCAATTGTTGCCTTTAAATCGCACTAAAAAATGGTTGGATTGTATAAATTAGAGAGAAGGGTTACAGATGACTTAAAAAAATTAATTTTGATAGCAAATTTTTAAAGAAATATTTGTTATTGAATGGAGTGTTGCAGAAACCGTGTTATAGGTACGTATATTATCAGAATATATATGATTAGAACATACTTCTATGAACAGTATATTCATACATATATGATTACTCTAATACGATATACAAATGTGCCGTTGTTCGACTGTATGAACATCGAGAACTTATGAATCAAAGCAGCTGAGATTACGAAACTTGGCATGTAGACTTGCCATATAAAACCGCTTTATTTTATATAGCTGCAAAAAAAACAAACTTCAAAAAAAAAACTTTAATTTGCTTAATATGTTAAAATATTAAATCCTGATTGGGTATTTATAATTTAATTATAATGTCTCAGTATATTGTTTAGCTGTGTCGAAAGCGGTTCACTATATCATATAGCTTCCATAGTTTAGATTTTTCAGACATTGACTATCCACAACTTTATGGCTGAGCTTTTTCGGTTCAAATGATTGGCTTGTTAATACACAAAGTATTGGCATTAATATTTGAAAACTGTTTGTTGTCTGTACCGATAAGCCAGCAATAATTTGAGGCGTGGGTGCCAACATTAAGTGCACCATTTGTGGTGTATGATAAAAATGTAAACATAAAATATGTAAGCTCCAAGACGCAATGTCTGACACGAACCCTGCGGCAGACATTAAATTCCGAGTATCTATAAATACGATGAGCTAAAAAGTTATCTTCGTCTCCGACGGAGCTATACACCCTTCACTGTGTCTTGCATCACAACTTTATTGCTCTGTATTTTATTAGAAAGTATTTATTACTTATTTTGTGATTGGTCATCCAAGGCCATCAACAAATATGTATGTAGAATGGATAATACGTATAATATCGCACTGAGTGATAAGAAAGCCTCAAAAGTAATCAAAGAATGACACGATGATGGCGTTATTCGACTGAAAAATATTACGTAGAATATGAAAACTTTATTCAAATTAATAGTTAATTGGATTCGGGAAAAAGGAAATCTCCTCTCCTCTCTTGTACTATGCCTCGATCCACAGCCGTATGTTGCAGAGATTCCCCAGAGATGGGATTAATTCTAAAAGAGAGAGAGAGTTTATATATATATAGCGAAAATTCTATTCACGAACACAGTTAGAAATAAATTATAATTTGAACACAAAATCCAAAAACGATTACAAAGAAAAGTCTACAAAGAAGAGTCTAGATTACCAATAACCAACCTGTTAAGAAAAACTATACCAAGAACAGTCCTAAGCATTGTTAATGCTGGAAGACTTAGAAGCAAAAGTCTGGCTGGAATTTCTGGCCAGACTCAATACGTTCCTGATGCTTTCTATAGTGCTGACACTAAAAGCATGATCAGTATTCAAGAATATAGCATTTCAGAGAAGTCTCATTTTAGCTAAGTCCAAGTATACCCTTAGTTTTACTGAGAGATATGAAGATTGAAGTTCAATTGGAAATCAAAAAGTACCCAAGATCGTCAACTGTCGATTCTTGGGCCATAGTTCGATGATAGTTTCTGTCAAAATGAAGCCGCGCAGTAGCGCTACAGTTTGTACTTTATAACTGTAACATCTGGTCCACCATTCTTCCTTCTGGCCGTTACAAACTGACAAACCTTGTACTTTTCCGGGAAGAGCATCCAAGCAAGGATGCTTGATAGTCCGTAGGCGACTTTTCTTGTTGTTTTATGCAATTTTTTCTTTTCTCATTTTATAGGTATTGAAAAATGGTTAACAAATTTAATTGGCTACACCCGCGCTTTGGATTCGTGGAAGTAACTCTGCTTAAACATGTTTTTAATAAACAGACTGAATTGCCATTAAAATATTAAAATTCCTTCCACTTCACGTTGCTTAGCCACCTACACAGCCAAAAATGCGGTGGCTTAGACCCATTTGCTGTTGTAAGAAATTAAATTAAAAGTAGGTAGCATGAACCGTGTTTTCATTTCGTTTCGTTGATTCAAAAGAAGAGTACGAGCCCCACAGTTCTTTTTCGATTTCAAAAATGGATTTCTTACCCTCTTTTTTTTTGTTTTAATTTCTCTTAAAATAATAAGAGTATATACGATGTTTTTTTGGATTATTCATTTATTGTATGCTGGTTACAAATACTATCTCTTTATGTAGCATTGGAGGTAAATTTGATGTGTTTGTTTCATGGTTGGGGCAAGAGCTTGGCGCGACTTGCTAGGGTTCTGATTAAAGATACGAGCAGTCAACATTTGCATTCGCTATCTTGCAAAGTTTTGGGGTAATATCTTAGGCGTTCTAACTTCGTTAACCCTCAAAACGACTTTAGAATAAAGATTAAGGGTTGCGGGCTGCGCCCTGCTTTGCGCGTATTCGCAGGAAATTTGACAAGCACTCCTGCCATTGTATGCCACATCCCCATTATTGTTGTTCAAACTCTGCAAGCACTATAAAATATATTGGGAGCCACTGTACACACATACATATATACACATAGATTTTCATCAATATGCATGTATGAGCACAGTTTGTAAGTGTGTTGGGAGCTGGATAAACGTGCTTTTTGGCCTTTAGAGCTGTCGTCTATCCCCTTCTCTCCCTTAACCTCCATTTCCACCTCCATCTCGACCTCCATTTCCACCCGGCCACAACCATTTGCACCATTTTTCTACACGACTGGAATTTCAGCTTCTGTTGGTTGGCGCCATGAACTGTGTTGTCGACAGTGGCAGCGTCGTCCTGTTGCTGCCGCCGCCACTGTTAATATTTTATTAAGTGCTTCAAATTCATTTTGAATAAACACGAAAAAGACGCCAACAAGTCTGGGGAACAAGCGGGGAACCTGTCGCCGAGCTATGGATGCTGCTCCGAGTTTGACACTTTCGCGAAACCTCTCTCTGTACCTAGAAAATATATTGTTTGTGTCCTTTGTAAATATTTACCTATGTGTTTATTTGTTGGTGTGCACACACACACACACACACACTCACACATAGAAATACACCCTCACCATGGGCAAGGCATCGGACTTGTCTCTCAACTCTGTCAAGGTGTCAAGTGGCAGGCAACTTTGGCAAATATTTTGACATTGCTTTTCTTATTTTTTTTTTTTTTTTTTTTTTTTTTTGGTTTTTGTTATTTTTCTGCTGATGCTTCTGTGTTGGCAAAGATATTTTTGTTTTATTTTCATTTCGGTTTAATTTGTTTGTGTCGGTGTGTGTGTGAGAGTGCCTTTTATGGCCCAATTAATTGGGCCGGGGGCTGCGTAAATTTGTCTGTGCAATGAATGGCGAAAATCAAAGAGCAAAAAATATGGTTTTCATGCTTCAGGCTATGGGCCATAAAAGTGACAGTGGCAGCCAGCAACTTGGACAATCTGCCTAGACTAGATTGTATAATAAGCACATTGCGTATACGCACTGTCATCCCTCATACATACCTATTGACTGTTTGGGGTTTGAGCAAAACTAAGTGCTACATACTTGGTTGTCGGCCGACCATTGTCAACGCCTTTTGGCGCCTCATTGTGGCGGGCGTCAACAACACGGCCCATAAAAGTCGACGAAAAGCGGCAAATTGTACGCATTTATTTCGCCTGATAATGTCTCAATAAAATCTGTAAGGCATCTGTTTGCTAGGTGGAACCATGCATGTGTGTGTAGGTGTACGTTATTGCCAATACAAACGCCATTTGGTTGAGCAATGGGCCCCTGTTGCTGTCGATGTTGTCGAAGCTGCCGATGTTCGTGCTTGTCGCAGGAAAACTATTTTGTAATTACAAAAGTTGTAAAATTTTATGCGCTCCTCCCTGAAATGGTTCACGGCCTTTGTAACATAAGGCTGTGGTGTCGTTACCTGAAATCATGTGTGCGCCACATCCTATACATATATATGCATGCATGTACATACATATATAATTTGTACATCTACTTGTACTTCCGAGAATACAGAAGAACTTCACTAAGTAAGCCTTTATTTTCAAAGTAATTGCCTACTCTTGGAATAAGTTAATATAATCGGGCTTAATTTATGGCATAATTTTTTAAAAATTATATTTCAAAAATGCATTAATTATATGAATATAATGATTATTTAATAATATTCCAGTTCCGCTTTGTGTGCACTTATTTATATTTTTATTTATTATATCACAATTATGCTCAATTTTGCACAATAAATTGCAAGAAATAATGGAAGTGCTTGACAAATGAAAGAAACCCAAAAATTGTTTTCTTATTCTTACAATTTTTTAAGAAAGCTCGAAAGCTCTTTTGCTCTTACGGATCTAACTGCGATCTTTCTCTTGCTTCGCTGCGACAAGTTGGGCGTTCAACCACCTACCGTTCAACTTGTTCGCACAACTTCATTCTCCTAGCAAATTGGAATACTGTTATACAATGAAAGCATACGGCATAAGTAGTACAGTGAATTCTGTTTTCTCGTATTTTGTGTCTTTCTTTTTTGTAAAAACGATGTTTTGGCTAACATACGTAAAAACAAATGAACTCTTATACAATTATACGCGTATAGTACTATATGTAAAGTACATACGTTAATGAAAGCAATAAAATAAAAATTGAATAGGCTAATACATTTAAAAGGTGTTACACTTAAATCACTGCGTACTTACAAATACATACTCATGTCAATACAGATACGTTTTGATCCTTTCTACTAAAAATCGATGTATATTTCTGAAAGCTCAATAGATTTAAAAATTATCTATGTACATAAGTATATACATCTGTACACATATTTATATACATATCCATCTACCTATACACGCATATGTATACGCAAATATCAATAAACATAAATCTACTATGTACACTTATGTAAGTACATACATAGCTATGTATACATATATGTATGTGTGTGGACACATGCAGTGCACAAAAATCGCGGAGCAATGACACATTGTTTAACATTTATTTTGCAGATTTTACAAGTACATTGACAATTATGCATACACACACATATACATGGGAGTAAGTATAAATATCACTATTGTTTGTTGACATAAAAATATAATAAATTGAATAAAATATTTTAATTGATATTATGTTTAA